GCTATAAAATAATGAGTTAATTTCCAGTTTTGGGTGAACTTTCCCTTTAAGTTCTTTTTAATGCAGTGTTTTTTTGTTCCTGTGCAGGGTATGTGCAGGGCATGAGCGATCTGCTCTCTCCCATCCTCTTTGTGATGGAAAATGAAGTGGATGCCTTCTGGTGCTTTGTTTCCTTCATGGATGAAATGGTAATGCCATGTGTTTAGTACAGCATGTCTCTCTATTTAGCACTCTTGGGTTGGCTGTGCACGAGAAGATTTGCCACCTCAATTAAGCATGTTTCTGTCCTCACGTTATCACTGTTGTGTGCAGGCACTTTAAATCAGTCAGCCAACACAAATGGTTTATTTTGTCTCTGCATGTTAAGGTGGGATTGGAGAAAGAGTAGTGTTAAAATCAGTGTTTATTGCAGCATGAAAACTTTGAAGAACAGATGCAGGGGATGAAGACTCAACTAATTCAACTCAGCACTTTGCTTCGGCTGCTAGACCTGGCCTTCTGGAACTATCTAGGTAAGTTACCCAGAAGAAGACTAGTTAGAGTGGTCTTTTTTATTAAAAGGTCAGTTCACACCAAAATAAAAAGTAATTGTTTAGTCATCCTTGTGTTTTCCAAACTCCCAAAGAATTTGATAATGTTCTAAACACTATCAGATTTGAGAGATTATGTCCCTTCATTAAAAGTATATTAAACAAAACTGAGACATTTCTACAACTTTCAGAAAATGAGCAAAAATTTATTAATTAAATTTTTATTCACATATAAAACAGCAAACAATGTTTATTCTAAGTTTGTCACAGAAACCCCATTGTGCTTATGTGTGATAACAGAGGCTCAAGATTCTGGGTACTTATATTTCTGTTTCCGCTGGTTATTGATCCGCTTCAAGAGAGAACTGCATTTTCAGGATGTCCTTCGCCTTTGGGAGGTGTGTATTACTGTCTTTGTCTCTTTGGGATATTGGCAATGTTATTCTGACCTTTAATTTAATGTTTTACTAAATTAATTTTTTTTCATATTCAGGTCATGTGGACCAGACTGCCTTGCCAAAACTTTCACCTTCTGGTGTGCTGTGCCATTTTAGACTCAGAGAAACAAAAAATTATGGACAGAAAATATGGATTCAATGAAATCCTAAAGGTTAGCCTTGACTATAAATATTATATTCACTTTATTTCGCAATGTGAAAGTAAGTTTTTTTTCTCTGAATGTGAATCATTTGCTGCTACGTGTAAATGATTAGAAAAAACGACTCCGTAAACTGCAATAGTGTGTGTTTTCACTGCAAACCAATGTGTTTATGACAATACATTAACATTAAAATGTTATGATAAGGGGTGCAGCACGGTGTTTAGTCAGTGATTAGCACAGTCGCCTCACAGCAAGAAGGTCACTGGTTCAAGTCCAAGCTGGGCCAGTTGGCATTTCTATGTGGAGTTTGCATGTTTTCCCCGTGCTTGTGTGGGTTTCCTCAGGATGCTCTGGCTTCCACCACAATCCAAAGACATGCACTATAGGTGAATTGGATGAACTGAATTGGTCATAGTCTATAAGTGTGTGTAAATGTAAGAGTGTATGGGTGTTTCTCAGTACCGGGTTGCAGCTGGAAGGGAATCTGCTACGTAAAACATATTCTGGAAAGGTTGGCGGTTCATTCCGCTGTGTTGATCCCTGATAAATAAGGGACTAAACCAAAGGAAAATTAATGTTAGGAAAAGTAAATAACACTTTGCAATATCAATCAGAATAACAAGCTGTTTTGAATGGCTAAAAATGATTTGAATCGGTGAGACTGGATATTTTGACACATTTAAGTTAAGGCTGTGTCCATTCCTAACTGGAAAAATAAGGTGTATATTGGTGTCTAAGTATATACTTTAACGGTTTTTAAAACTGTGATGTATAGAATTACAAAAAATATATTTATTCATATTTATTTTGTGCTATAACACGTAGTAAAGATGGCAAAAATTTCACATTTATTTGTGCTTGTACAAATATATAGACACATATAGAGTTGCTTGTACAGCACTACATCTAAAAGGGACAACATGTGCACTACACAATGTCAACTTCTATTCACTTATGAACTAAAACAGATTGAGCTTAGATTAGCCATTGATATTAGTTCTTTAAAATGAAGCTTAATGAAACTACAAGTTTAACCCCTTAACTTTCACCCCACATTTGGAGTTCATATTTGAAAAGTATGTGTTAAATATGCATATTATACATAATTTGTCAATGTAAGTAATGTTTTTTAAAAAACAAATACTTTTTTTTTTAAATGTAGAATTTGTGTACAGTGGTAAATATAACATACCGTAAATTATATTTGGTTGACACAAACTGTACCAAAGCTTTTCAACTGGGAACATTGGTTCAAGTATTGATGTTTTCTTTACAGCATATAAATGAACTCTCCATGAAACTGGACATCGAAGAAATCCTTAGTAAATCTGAATCTATCTGTATGCAGATAAAGAGTTGTAAGGTATGTCATAAGAGTAATCCTTTATAGTGTGGTATTTAATGAATACATGTTTTTGTTTCCTAACAACAAGTATGTTTACATGGACACCAATAATCTGATTTTAATGCAATTAGGACAATACTCTGATTTAGAGCAATTTTTAATTAATTTAATTTGATTAAGTTCATAATCAAACTAAACAGAAATCAAATTAAGAAATGTGGAGTATTGCGATTTTAGTCACATTTTTAATGTGTAGTACAAAAATGTGAACACTGCAATCAAACTATTACAGATGTGCAGGATTTTCACAGTATTTTGTGATAGAATAGTCTATACACACATGGCTGTTTGACACTATTCTCTGCATCTATCGAGTCAGTGAAGGACCACAGACAGACAGACACACACACACACTGCCAAATGCAGAGGTTTTTTGCCCATACAGCGTGCGGTCTCAAATTCCGTTAAAACAACGCTTTTCTAGCAGTTTAGATATCGCATCCAATATCTCATTTGTCACAGGGAGCATTCATAAAATGTGAAAATGAAAGTGAAAGTGCCAAACTGCAGTTCAAGTTGACATACTGAAAATAAAACACCTGAAATTAAATTTACTCTGGAGGAAATGTGGATGGTGTCGTAAAGCAATGGCGTTAATCGAATGATGTGCTGTAACATGTAAAACAGAACCATGAAAGGAGCATTCAAAAATACACTCATGTAAACAACTTATTTATATTATTGGACTATTCAGATTAAGGCAAATATTTGAATACTGATGTCCATGTAAACTTATTCAATGTGCACTTGTTTTGTCTCAATAACATGAATTTTGATTCTCTTTAAGGACTTGCCCCATTCAGTGAGTGAGATTCTTGGTCTGAACACAGTCAGTGAACCCTCTGCAGCATTAGAAACCAGTGAATATGGAATACTTGAGTCACCTCAAACCTCACCGAGATCCTCACACAGACAAGATCACGTCGTCTCCAACGGCCACAGCCACTTAAAAGAAACAACACAAAACGGCTGCAAAGTAGCCTTCATTTCCTAGTGCACAGCACTACATGATGTATAGTACAGATTTTATAGCCTCTGTATTCCAGCAAAAAGAACAGTATTGGGTGTCATGTAGATATTTGCTACCAAATGCCACATTGTAAAATATCCCAGAGAAAATATATGAATGTAAAACTAGGACCCAAAAAGGATCCTAAAGCATTATTTTTGTAATATCTTGTACCATATTGTCTTTCATTGAAATAATCATTCCTTCTCACTGTAGAGAGAGAGAGAAAGTTTTCATAATGTTTCAGGGGTGGGGGATTCATTGTTGAATATTATATATTTTTTGTTCTTATCAGTTTGCCCTTTTCCTAAATAATTCAGATTCAAATTAAAATCTGTCTTCCTGCCATTAGTCTGAGTTATATTTTGGAAAGCTGATGAAGATCGGTAAGATTGCCTTTTTTATTACATAATTTGTAAATGAAATGCATCATTGAGGCTACTGTTATGCACGTTTTTTTGTCCAGTGAAGCCATTTTGTATAATGTAATAATACTTAAGTTAATTTGTTACGTAATTCTCAGATTTAATTAGGAATTTTCAGATTTAATTAGGAAAGAGGACTTTATAATTAATTGATCACCTAAGATAAAAATTTGCTAAGAGCGACAAAGTTAAATAATTTAATTGATTTGAGGAGAGTAAAGGAGAAAATTTGCTTGGCTGTAGAAACCAAAATCAGTTCCAACTGGCATGAGATCATCAGTCCGCAGACTTGGTTCATGTCACTATGACATTTCCAGATGAGACGTGGAAAATACAGATTGAGGATGAAATGTCTTTTATCCACTCGTAACCATGGCCAACAACAAAGACACACCGAATCAACTTCCATCTCTTTCATTTCCTGCTTGACAGGAAATTGCCTCAGAGGAAGCTGATAGCTCACTGCTCACAACAGTAATGTTATCTCTCCTCCAGCTCCCTTTCATTAAAGGAAGCCAGCATTTTGTGCACTGACAAACACATACCCGTTCGATGAAAACATAAACAATATGCATCTATCCTTAAAGGACGATTCAAGAACTTCTATAAATGTTTAGCTGATGTCGATGTTAACATGTGAACCAAGATATCAGTATTTCTAATTAAATCACATCCCTCTTACTTGCTTTTAATATTGTACATGTCTAAAATCTTCCTGTCAAGTATGCACTTCACAAATTTCTTATATTTTACAAATATGGTTGCTAATGTTTGTCGATTTCTCCCTCTCTCCATCTTCCAATGGCTGCATTTATGAAAATCTTTACCAGTTATTTTCCTCTAGATTTGTTTCTTCTAGAGAGCGAAGTGAGCTTATCCACTTCAATCAGGACTTGGACGTCTCGACATTTCCTAGAAAGAGCCATCCCCTCAAAAGCTAATATGAGTGATGGCCTATCCTGCGATAGATCGGCCCTTCTCCGCGTCATTCGTCACAGTATATAATCCCAGCTCTGATGCTGACAGGGGAGGAGAGTGTCAGGTACTGTGGTGTGAACTCCATAGCAGCAGCTTAAGGAGAAATAATCTGAGATAAAAAACTACCTTTGCCATATTAAATGCAAGGGAAGAAAACCTCTCAAGAGACAACAGCAACTATGTCTAATGAACTGCAAACTAATCCAAAGGGGCAGCAAACAGCCCCTAAATCACCTGTTGGGCTTCTTAGGAAAAGAGGTCAAGAAGCAATTCCGAAGATGCAACCTGCCATGATGATGTTCTCCAGCAAATACTGGGCTCGGAGAGGACTATCTTTGGATTCAGCTATGTATGACCAACAGCACCTTGCATCCTCCATGGTGAGTGCTGAACCCATTGAGAGATCCTGTTTCGGGCGCCATATTCCTGGCACCTGGAAACTTAAATCTTGCTTGTGGGTTATTTTTTTAATTTTATTTAATTGATATTTCTGTAATATCCCTTTAATTGCCTCACCAGGAAAAAACATTTTGGATAGCATTTCTTAACTCCTAATGTCGCTAGTAAACATGCTCAATCCATTTTTTTTTTCAACACATCCCATAATTTCTAAAATATCAACCTCTACCAAATGGTTAATGTCAATTTATGGTAAAAGTATCATAATTAATACATATAGTATGAAAAATCTGAAAATATTAAGTGTAAGACAAAATTATTTCAATATATATTTAAAATAAATACTAAATCACCTTAATATTTTTAAGTATGCTATAAAATATTTCAGATTATTTTAAATTTAAAAAATTAAATTATTATTATTATATTTTTTTAACAATAAAACCCAAATCAAGTGTAGTAGTGCAACAGGTTTATAATTGTTAGATTTTTTGTAAACCAGCAATGCTGTGTGTGTAAACCATTATATATTAAACAGTCATTTTTTAAATGTCTTCAATGTCATTATTAAAAACGGTCAACACATAGTCAGTCGTTTGTTAGAGCTGCAGTTATAGCTGCAGGATATATTGATTTTGAAAGCTTGTGAAAATGGACCTAGGCACTGTGGTACAGTACATGGTAGTGGGCAAATTAATTACTGCAACTTTAAACTTTGTTATCTCCTTTTAGGCCGATTTGTTCTGCATTACCAACAGATTAACAACACACAAGAAAGATCACACACAACAATAATAGTAGTACAAACAGTGTCTACCTCTTCCCATTCAAATTCAGCAAATCAATTGAATAAATAGCAAAATTTTTATCTTTTAGTCTTTGCCAAGGGCATCGTGAGGGAAGTGTTTTAAATAATGAACAAAATGGATGAGATGTATCAGGTGTAATCTAAATTCTGGGTGTCTGCAGGGTCTTAAAATGTCTTAAACCTCAAAAGATAAATTTTAGGCCTTAAAAAGTCTTAAATCTACTAAAATGTTGTGTTGTAGGTCTTAAATCGTTTTTTTAAAAGATCTTAAATGTTAATTTCCTGTACATTTTTTTCTTCTTAATTTTATTATTATTGTAGACTGAAGTAATTGACTGCTGTTTTGTCCTTTTCTTGGTAAGGGTTGTAAAAATATTCAAAAATTATTATTGAAAAAAAAAAAGTTATTATTATTGGGTAAGTAAAAAAATTAACTGGGATATTTGAAATTTGGAAATGCTTTCTTTATCACCTGGATTCATACAAATTGAATAACACAGACAATTATACCCCCAATACTTTGGTGCAGGTATTAAAAACCTTTGACAAAAAGGTTTTATCTTTTAAAGCCAACAAATCAATGAAAATGTTAATTTTGTGAAGGTGTTGGTTATCAACCTTGTATCCTTAATAACGTTTCTGTGGCTAACTGAATAACCTTCATCATCGATGGAATCTTTTTATTGATCAAAAAGTTCCTAATAGAGAAAAAAGGTTATGTTGTTTTACTCTTTTATTTTTTATTTCTTTGGGAAACCAAAAATTCACTTTTGTGTATGACTTTTTAAAATAAACAAGCTTTGTCCTAATCCATTTCTGCATCTTAAGAGTTTTATATTCACTGAACAACACCTCCACGCAGCTCCGCAGGACATCCTTTAATCGGATAGATGAAAGACCTGACAAAGAAGAACAGAAATCCACTCATGACCTTGGGAAGCTGGCAGTGATTTTCTCTCTGAAGAATGAAGTTGGCTTTCTGGTGAAAGCGCTGAGGCTCTTTCAGGTCAGTGTGCACCTCATCATTTGGTGCATAAATAATATTTGTGTCTTTTTGATTGAGAAAAGCAAGAATCAAATGTCTTTGCGTGCTTGTGTTTAAAGGAGAAGCATGTGAATTTGGCGCACATTGAGTCTCGGAGATCAAAGAGACTCACCAATGAGATTGAGATATATGCAGAATGCAACTGCACAAAGAAAGAGTTCAACGAACTGGTGCAACACCTCAAAGACCACGTTAATATTGTCTCGTATAACACACCTCAACATGTGTGGTCTGCAGAGACCGGTAAGTCTGAAAGCTTGACATTAAATTTGGGATTTTGAGTGTGGAGGTACTGATTGGTCTGAATAGTGGTAACTGATTCATCTGGCTCTTCTTTCCAGACTGTTTGGACTGTGTGTGTGTTTTGGGTGGATTGCCAGATGGGGAAGGAATACCATGGTTTCCCCAAAAAATCTCAGAGCTGGATCAGTGCTCCCATAGAGTGCTAATGTATGGCTCTGAACTGGATGCTGATCATCCAGTAAGTTAATATGTTTGTGTCAGTGCAATAGTTGAGTGAATGGACCTCAAAACATTTACTGTCAACTCTGAAATTTAACCATGTTTTTTCTACAATACCACTAGTTCAAAAATGGTATTTGTGGTAAAATGTGGGTAATCACTTTGCCCTTAAAAAACGTGGTTACTACATTTTTATCATTGTAAAATCATGGTTCATTTTCCATAAGGGATATCTAAAGATTGACAAGGACCTATTTGGTTTTTTTTTATAGTAAAAATAAAGTGTTGTTAAAACAATTCTAGTTAATTTCGAGAAGTAAGTAATAATTTTAAACAATTTGAAAATAAAGTAATACATTGTTATCTGTATGCTTAATATGTGGAACATGCTAAACATTTCTTGTCTTATCACATCGATTTGGTAACTTGGCTACATTAAATCACATGACGATACCATATTTTCAGAATGACACCAAATCTGACAATATTTACTGTTACTGAGTAGTTTGCATCACTGAATTTTGCTGTAAAAATTGGTCAAATATTAAATATTCAGTATGTAAGTGAGGGATTCTTGTAATTAGTGCTCTGCTTCAGTCAATCCAAAGCCCCACCTACTCTTATTTAATTAGACATCTCAAATGGTAACTTTTTTTGATATGCTTTTTGTCCAATGTAATAACTAACAAAATATCATAACCTGACACATCCTCAGTATTTACTGATTAAGTTTAAATGTATTCAAATGATTCTATATACTTATACCATCTTACATGCCACATACAATTATAAATGTGTGTGATTGTAATATTCTATGCAATATTTCTCATTTCATACTAATTATGGTTGAAGATACAAATGCTTTCATATATACCACCATACCTACACACACACACCTCCTATATAGCATTTGTAATATTATGCCATGCATTTGTATAGGGATTTTAACAATAAGGACTTGCATATAGAGTAAACAATGTTGTTTGTCGATGTGGGGTTACTCTAGCTATTATTAAAGTTATTAATCTTGTTGTGAAAGGGATTTAACACCGTGTATTCATTAATTAACCTCAACCTAGATTCATAAATGCTGTAAACATTGCTGCTCATTAAGATACGCCATGTAGTTATTAACAATAACTTGTGAAAGTGAATCTTTGTTCTCTTTTGCAGGGCTTTAAAGACAAGGTCTATCGGCAGAGGAGAAAGTACTTTGTGGAGGTTGCAATGAACTACAAATTGCAAGTATAGATTATACTATCGTTTAAATTCTGCTGTTGATGACTGTGCCGGTGGGTGCTTGTAGCTCAATTGTTAGAAAATGGTGCTAAAATGGGTAAAGGTTGATGTTTATTGCAATGGATATTGCATATGACAGTTGCTGCCTTTTTTTCCCCACTTCCTGCTTAAAATTAATCAGAATTTCTTTGTTACAGTGGGCAGCCCATCCCACGGATTGAGTACACTGCAGAGGAAGTAAAGACATGGGGAGTCGTTTACAGAGAACTTACAAAACTCTATCCAACTCATGCCTGCCGCGAATACTTAAAAAACCTTCCTCTGCTGACAAAGCATTGTGGGTACAGAGAGGACAACATCCCACAGCTGGAGGACGTGTCTCTATTCTTAAGAGGTAAAACATGTGAAATGATCGAATTCATCTGCATTTGGTAGCACTTGTTGTTCCCTTTTGACATTCTGTTGACAATAAATAACCTACCAGTCGAGCAGTAGAGTATTAACGGACTGCATGATTAGTATCTGCTAACACTTTCTTTGCACGGTCTCTCAACAGAATTACTAAGATTATCCAAGCATGCCAACTTATTCTACTAATCCTAATGGGTTACTAATACTCATTTACACCTGGGGCCCATTTTAGTAAAGAGGTTTAAACTTGAACTCTGCATTGACTCACTATTAGATATAAAAAATCTGAGTTTTCAATTTCAGATCACATGAACAGAGTTAGTTTAGTCAACTCTGAGTAGGCTGATTCTTGATTTTAAGCCTGTATGATATTTAAAGGCAAAACAACTATATATTTACACTTAGAAATTGACACTCTGAATTAGATTTCTTTTACTACCACACTGCTCTTAATTTAGATGCCCCCAGGGTCGAAGCCAATAGCCTAGTGATTAAGTGATATATAGCACCAAGGTTTAATTCCCGGCTCGAGGTCCTTTGCCAATCCTTCCCCTCTCTCTGATCCCCATGATTTCCTACCAATTCTCTACAGTTCTATCAATTAAAGATTAAAAAACCCTAAAAATAATTTTAGATGCCCCAGGAAATAAGACCTATAGCTGATCCACTAGGTCTAGGATATCATATTTTCAACCATGCGCATAGACCCAGCACAGAGAAGGGGTATGGCCAGAGGCACTGTAATGTTATAGCAAAGAGCTAAAATGCTATCCAAATGCTGCTATTTTCACAGAGCTTCTTCTGTTTCTGTATTTGGACTTCCAAAGGACACGACACAAAGAGAGAAGTGCTTACAGTTCAATATTAATTATGTTCCAGAGAATTATAAAAAATATATAGCATGGTTAGCACGTTTACCTCACAGCAAGAAGGTTGCTGGTTCAAGCCTCGGCTGGGTCAGTTGGCATTTCTGTATGGAGTTTGCATGTTCTCCCCGTGTTCGTGTGGGTTTCCGTCGGTTGCTCCGGTTACCCCCACAAGTCCAAAGACATTTAGGACAGGTGAATTAGGTAGGCTAAATTGTCTGTAGTGTATGAGTGTGAATGAGTGTGTGTGGATGTGCCCCTGCTGGAAGGGCATCTGCTGCGTAAAACATATGCTGGATAAGTTGGCGGTTCATTCCGCTGTGGCAACCCAAGAGTAATAAAGGCTTAAAACTCCTTAAAGAAGGAGCAGCTCCAACCATAATAGACGAAGCTGTGTATTGTGAGCCACAACCAGGAAGTTTTTTTATTTGTTAAAATTGATCTATTACATGCGTAAAATTGATCTATTACATGCGTTACCAGCATTAACGGCTTCAGACATGTATAAACAAGGATGTAAACAGGCTGTTTGGCACCTTTAACAACTTAGCTACAAATTCATATTTATCCGTCAAACCCCTGTAAACGCCCACAATCTTCAGCAGCGCTACAGTGTCTCTCTATGCAGCTGCTTTTCCTGCATTCTACATCTCATATAACACGCTTGCATTAGATATGTGAACGTTTCATATTACTTAGACATGCTTATAACGCAAATATATGTGAAAGACACTTGTCAGCTTTTATTTTAGGGTGCTTTCACACCTAGACTTTTGTTTGGGAACCTGTCTCATTTGCCCAGTTGGCGTGGTTCATTTGGCATATGTGAAACCAGCAATCGCGCTAGGATCCGCGCCAAATCAATCGGTCCGAGATTGCTTGAATGAGGTGGTCTCGGCTTAATTGAAACGAACTCTGGAGCTGATCGACTGTAGTGAGAAAGCAAAACTATCCGAGCCCGGTTATAGCACAGTGTATTATGGATATGTAATAGGTATGCGGTTATATGCAGAGAGAAGGGCGGGAGGTCATTCCAGACATCCCAAGTCTCCCTGATGTTTCAGGAGTCTCCCGCAAATGCACAGAGACTCCCGGATGCCCGCAAGCGAGTGATAATCTCCCAGAAATCTTCTCCCGGTCCTCAAATACATCGCACACCCTTCTCACCCCTCCCCACCATATCCCTCCGCTCTTCAGACATGTCGCACACACCTTGTCAAACACCACCAAACCACCACCCCCCCCTGACAGCTGAGCGGGATTCTGCAAAATAAACCCCCAAAGTCTGACCAATGTGAGGAGAGTTTACTCACACAAGACTTGTTTTAGCTCTTTTGGTCCGTTTAGAAATGTTGTCATGTGAAAGCAAACCACACCAAGAGCAAAGAGCAACAATGTAACAATAGTAATCGCGGTTTCTGAACAACTGAATCGATTCACAGGTGTGAAAGCATCCTTAGAGAGCAGGCATGAGGTTCAGCTGTGTCCTCTTCATATTCTGTCTAATTCAGGCTCAAACTGATACAGCTAACAGCTACTCTGACTGACAGTGTTTACACAGCGCAAAAGCGCGTGCTATTAGAGGCATGGCGCTTTTCCTGATGATGTGGAGCCAATCCGCGAATCGCAGCACATTATGTTAACTGACCAATCAGAGCCTCTTGAAGGCGGGCTTTCAGAGAAACTGGGAAATATGGCAGTTGTTTTCATGTTAGCCGAGTAGCTACATATAATCAAAGTAAGATATTTAAAAAATAATATTATTTTTTACAAATGAACCATGAGCACACATTGCTTTGCATCTTATAAACACAACTAAGCCTTAAAAATAAACTCTGGACCACCCCTTTAATAAATAATTTCATTTTTATAAAGAAATACTATCTTGATGTAAGAATTGTTTAATATTTAAAATATTAATCATTTAGTATGAGAAGTATTTTTGCAGCATGCATGAATTAAGTATTTAAACGGCTTGAGCTTTAAAAAGTGAAAGAAGACCAAAAGAAACTCTGGGTTTACTAAAGAAATCCTGCTCCTTATTAGGTTCAGTGTTACGATGGTAACTGACTCTACCTTAACATCCTATTAGAAATGGGCTTGACTTACTTTGCTTTCTCAAGTTTGCAGAGTTTCCCTCATTTCAGAGTTACTGTACTCTGAGTTTCCTTTCTGAAACCGGCCCCTGGCATGAAGATGTTTTCGTAAATCCACTCGCAAGTGTAGTGTTTATACAGGTGTAAAGCCAAGTCAAACTAAAACATTTTGAGCTTGTCCATTTTTTTTTTTTAACGCTCACCAGTGAAGACACTTACAAAAGTAGAGTTTTACCCTATTTTCTGCTAATGATTGATGAACTATATTCATTCTTTAACAAAAACATAAGCACTCTTCAATATGGATGTCTGGGTTGTGACTCTTTACAGAGAGGTCAGGGTTTACCGTAAGGCCTGTGGCTGGATATCTCTCACCACGAGACTTCCTGGCTGGACTGGCTTATCGAGTGTTTAATTGCACTCAGTATATTCGTCACAGCACAGACCCTCTCTATACACCAGAGCCGTAAGTACTAGCACACACAGGTTTTCCTGTCATTGTCCTTCACCACTTCTGAACTCAATTTCTTGTCCACCAGGGACACCTGCCATGAACTGCTTGGTCACGTGCCGCTCCTGGCCGATCCCAAATTTGCTCAGTTTTCTCAGGAGATTGGCCTTGCATCTCTAGGCGCTTCAGACGAAGATGTGCAAAAGCTGGCAACTGTAAGTGTGACAGCAGCTTATTGAGTTTTTAAATGCCACCTACAACCTAACTCAAAGTTTCATGACATGAAAAAGGTCACATAGGCATAAATGCATAAATCTATGGTGGTGAGAAACATGCATTTGCATTGAAATCAGATCAGAGTGAGAGAAAATCAGTATACTGTCTTTGGTGGTTTCAGTATGAGTAATTGCATCTCAAAAAGGCATGAAGGAACTTCCAATGAAACCTTTGCGGTACATGCTTAGCTATGCAATAAACAACTGTGCTTTTTCCCCTAGTGTTATTTCTTCACAATAGAGTTTGGGCTGTGCAAACAAGATGGTCAGTTGAGAGTCTATGGAGCAGGTCTACTGTCTTCTATTGGAGAGTTAAGGGTAAAAGAGCCTTCATTAACCAAACAAACACCACTGCTGCTGTATATAGATCATTATTTTTTTTTTTAAACACATAAGGTACGCCATACAGTATATCATCATCAACAACTTGTCCTTAAATGTGCAGTAGGTGATTGTCTTTAGAAAATTTTTTGTTGTGCTGGTTGAAAATCCCTTCACATTCCAATAGTAATGATTAAAGTAAATGATCTAAATGTGTTTATATGTATTTTTATAGTCTGGGTGAGGCATAAGACTAAAAAAAATGTTTGTCTAATTAAAATTTGTCAGGCCGATTATTCTGATAAGTAGCCCAAACTGTCTGTCAACTAATGTAGATTTGTACATCAGACACCCCATTCACACAGACAGATCCAACGTTTGGCCAGCACATGTGCTGCATTCACATGCACACAAAAGAGTGACAGCAGTAAAAACTCAATCTAAACTTTTTAAAATCCTAAATCAGTGTTAGGTGAAGGATGACACCATGGCTGATGTATTTCTGTTAGACGGGTAAAGTTCTGTTTTAAAATAACCTATCTTATATGGCTTAATATGGTGAATAAAGCCCGTCAACCCAGCCAATCATTGATCACTATAGATCGACGATACTTCGGCGGAGGGGCTCGGACCAGATGTGAGTTTCTGCAGATTGTGTGTGACTTGGATGTTTAGAATATAAACAAAAGAGACAGTTGTTGTTTAATTTTATTGTTGAATCCCAATATGAAATTCAGTGGTAAGCTTGGCACGCAATTTTGAGAGTTTGATGTTTCCCCATTCAGACAGAAAACCTGAGCATACTGACTGAGAGGTGTTTCAAAGACGGCCGCCGAGTGAAATGACTTGCCTTAAAGGGACTTTGACGCAAAGCTGATGTTGATTGTGTTGTGTTATGAATGGGATGAATGCACAAAAGTGTTGTTCAGCTACTGAAATCTTTCAGTGAAAGATTGATGTGACTATTTCCAATTTCATAAGGTGCCTTTTACAGCATTGATAATGTAGATTTTTATTTAATTTAACATCAAAACATCAGTAAATAGCACAATTCTGCCTAGCCTACTTTACTGAGGTAAAGTTGGTTTTATATTCTCATTGGTTCATTTTTGAACTATGATAACCTGTGACGCGCTCCCTAAACTGTTTACCATGCTACTTTGAATATCGGTCTCAAATAGCATGTAAGTTTAGCTTGGTAATAAGTGTAATTCCTGCAGCCCGCCGGCCAAGCACTAAGAAGAGTCGCTTTAGGACAAAGCATGTAAGAGAGTGAGATCAGCGATCCTTGCATGCAGGAAATATTGCATATTTCACAAAATATTGCACGACAAGTGCTTGCTACACAACTGAAAACGTGCTAGATATAATACAGTTTTTTTTTTGTTCGGAATTGTAGTATTATAAAAGATTATAATTTCTAACTGGTGAATGACCATCATCTTTATCATCATCATCGTCATCTTTATGGTGCGCATTCGTGATTTCAGGAGGCGTGGCTTTAGATGGCAGGGGAGAGACTGTTTTGAAAGCCAGTATATTAACGCTTAGCATTTCGGCTGATCACCTACTGCACCTTTAATGGGTGATTGTGAAAAACACTACTTAAAGCACTGCATACACACATTTTAATGTTAAATATTTGTTTATTTATAATGTAATTGAGCAGAATTTGCTATATTATAATTTTTATAATACATATATACAAGTTTATTTGTTTTAAAGTTTATAAAAAAAATATTTGGAAATTAACAGTTTGAACGTTAGTTAAATTTGAAAGTTTATTTGAAAGTTTAATACTGTAAATTCTAATGAATTTATAAATCAATTGCTAAAAAAAAACAAAAAACACTCCAGTTTTATAAAACCTGTTTATTATTAACACACCCAAACCAAATAAATATTACTGTTAAAATCCAATTTATTTTAATACTAATTTTACATAAATATGAAAAGTTCTGCATTTTTACATAACACAATTCAAGCCTATAGATTTGTGAGATGTCATTTAATCGCTTCTCTCTTAAAAATATATAGATTCAGCTCAGGTTAATGGTTCACTAAATGAATAATCGTCTTTGATTATGCAGCATGCGCTTTCTGATAAAGCAACAGTGAAGGTGTTTGACCCCAAAACCACGTGCTACCAGGAGTGCCTCATTACCACATTTCAAGATGTGTATTTTGTCTCTGAGAGCTTTGAGGAGGCAAAAGAGAAAATGAGGTAAATGCATAAATTCACTCAAATATAACGTAGTGATACTATATAATGTTGATCTAACACATCGCTTCCTCTTAACAGGGAATTTGCTAAATCAATAAAGAGGCCTTTTTCTGTCTACTACAACCCTTACACGCAGAGCATCGACTTACTCAAGGACACCAGGAGCATTGAAAATGTGGTTCAAGATCTACGCAGCGACTTAACCACCGTCTGTGACGCCCTGGGAAAAATGAACAAATACCTCGGTATCTAAACAAACACAGTCCCTCAACAATGCTGTATGATTCAGTTCAGGTGAATCATATAGTTCAGTTCATCATTCCTTCTATAACAGTTGTTGTGATTATCTGGGCTAAACATACTGGCCTTTCCTTGTTATTAGGATGTACGTCACATAAACACAGGTGTGAAATGTCGCAACCAATTAAAAACGGCTATTATTATAATGTATTCAGACACTAAAGGAACAACAAAGGAAAAGAATCAAGTGTAGTCTTTGCCTCTTTGTGCCTAATGTTGTGCTTAATCATACCAGATTTGTGTTTTATTTTAACTACATACTGCAGTATCTACCAAATGAAGGCAGTTGATATTATGTACACATAATAATTCAATGTAAAAGTCCATACGCATTGTTCCGATGCCAATGCTATAGTGTATTTGTATAGTATGTTTGTGGTGCTTGCTTGATTTGTTGCTCACAAAGCCAACAATCAATAAAACATTATATTTTAGGAGTTTCTTTTAGTGTGTAATAATATGTTAAAAGCGCAATTTATTTAAAACACAGTGTCTTTTTTTTTTACTTTATTTTAGTAAATGTATACAAACAAATATGTTCAATATTGTGAATATACACATTTAAATAAGCTCTGTAAAAAATCATAACAGAAAAAATCTTGTCAGTGGACCTCTTCATCATCATCATCACCAACACCAAAGGCCCGGCCCTACAGAAAGTCAGAGGTGACATATTCAGTGAATTGCACATTCTAAAAATACCTCATGGAATATTGTGCATTAATTTCTAGTGAAATGAAAGCGACACCTGTGGACAGAGCACACACACACTTGGATTGGTGTCAACTGAGAGAGGCAAGTGTCTATTTTCCATATATTTTAGTTTCATTTTTGCTTTATTTAAATGTTTTAGGCTTCTTGTTTAAAATAATTGTTGTGTATAGTAAATAACATTATAATGTCTTGTTTTGTACTTGCTAGATTAATTTCTTTCTATGTTACATTTTGATTAGTGCATCTGGTTACTTTTATCAGTGCTTCAATTCAATTCATATTTATTTCTATAACAATGCAGATTGCGTCAAAGCAGCTTAACATAGGAGTCCTAGTAAATTGAAACTGTCAGTCCAGTTTTCAGAGTTGAAGTTCAGTTTAGTTCAGGTCAGTGTGGTTTCATTTTCAATGCTAAAAATAAATAACATAAATAAATATATTTTTCAGAAAATAAGTTGAACTGAGTCAAAATTGTGTAGTTGAGAGGACAAAAAGCACCTATGAGTTGTTGTGATGCATTGTTGCGATGCAGAAATAATGGCTGCGTCTGAAACCGCATACTTCCATACTATATAGTACGCTAAAATCAGTATGCGAGCCGAGTAGTATGTCCAAATTCATAGAATTCGAAAATCAGTATGCAAGAAGTACCCGGATGACTTACTACTTCCTCGGAGATTCTGGAGTGCGCATCCCATGCACGCTGCGCTATACCATGATGCCCCGCGAGCGAATTCATGAATGGGAGTGAAGCGACGCAAATGACGCAGGTAGGTCGCGTGACCATGACTTTTCCAACAGTCGAGTAGTACGTTTACATTCAAATGCAGTACCTACTGAGTAGTAGGCGGTTTCGGACGCAGCCCGTGTTATGTAAGTCAGTGTTTCCCAACCCTGTTCCTAAAGGCACACCAACAGTACACATTTTCAAGCACTTCCTATTCAAACACAAACGAGTCAAAACATCAGAACATTAGAAGAGATTTGAAAACTGAGTGGTTCAGATAAGACATCCAAAATATGTACGGTTGACGTGCCTCCAGGAACAGGTTTGAGAAACACTGACTTGTATAACATTATTTCTGTATCACAGCAATGCAACTCATAGGTGCTTTTTATCCTCTGAACTACACAATTTTGACTCTGTTCAACTTATTTTCTGAAAAATATCATGTTTATGGTTAAATGTAATTTGATGTGTAATAACTCACCCAACCGCCCTTCTGCTTAATCCATGGAGCGAAATGTTCTTGCAGGTACTGCGCTCCGTATCCCATGATTCTGTTCATGGGTTGAAGGTCCATGGCTCTAAGTCTGCTGGTGACCTCAAAGGTCAATGCGATTTGCTCACGTTTGCATGTGCTCTCCTGATTTCCTGGTACTACAGTACTGATAAAGGCTTGGGTTAATTTGCCAAAAAATCTATAAGAGAAAGCTTTCTGCAGATCTGCAAAAAACGCATGGTCCTCCTTAATCTAAGCAAAGTAGAAACAGATTTTAGGACTACAAACTGAACCACTTAAAATAGATAAAATGTTGCATTCAAAAGATTATTACAAAAATAAAGTCATTATTTTTTAAAGTCTGCTTTGAAAATAATAATAAAAATTTCCCCTTTTTTCATTAGTATAGCCTAAGTACAGTATAGACTCACTGGCCACTTTATTAGGTACACCTTACTAGTACTGGGTTGGACCCACTTTTGCCTTCAGAACTGCCTTAATTCTTCATGGCATAGATTCAACAAGGTACTGGAGATATTCCTCAGATTTTGGTCCATATTGACATGATAGCATCATGCAGTTGCTGCAGATTTGTCGACTACACGTCCATGATACGAATCTCCCGTTTCACCACATGCCAAAGGTGCTCTGTTGGATTGAGTTCTGGTGTCTGTGGAGGCCATTTGAGTACAGTGAACTCATTGTCATGTCCAAGAAACCAGTCTGAGATGATTTGCGCTTTATGGGCGCCTTATCTTGGTGGAAGTAGCCATCAGAAGATGGGTACACTGTGGTTATTAAGATGTGGACATGGTCAGCAACAACTCTCAGAGAGGCTGTGGCATTGACACAATGCTCCCACAGAAATGCTGCTCAATGGATATTTTCTCCTTTTTGGACCACTCTCTTTAAACCCTGGAGAAGGTTGTGCATGAAAATCCCAGTAGATCAGCAGTTTCTAAAATATTTAGACCAGAACGTCTGGCATTTACAACCATGCCACGTTCAAAGACATTTACATAACATTTCTTCCCAATTCTGGTGCTCAGTTTGAACTGCAGCAGATCGTCTTGACCATGTCTACATGCCTAAATTCATTGAGTTACTGCCATGTGATTGGCTGATTAGAAATTTGCATTAAAGAGCAGTTGGATTATACCTAATAAAGGGGCCAGTGAGTGTATACTTGGCTTGTGTCCTTCAAAATAGACCAAAATATGCAAAAATAGACCAAAATATGCATATCTGCATTTAATTCAGTGGGTAATCCAAAACTGCCCACTAAACCAAAACTGCTGACCATTACCTTCTGGTCTAGGTCATCCCCTGTTTTCTTCAGTAATTCAACAAGCTTGTTTATAACTGGATCATCTGTAACAAAACTGGAACCTGTAACAAAAATGACAGAGCACGATTGAAATCTGGCTGGACAGAACTTTGTTCAATATTAAAAATTTTTCACTGACTTACTTGGTTTCGGGCTAGGATTATCACTCTCGATGTTGTCATCATCATCAAGAGGTAGTTCACACGCAATCCTGGTCAGTTTTTCAGCCACAACACTAAACTTGTCACCTGTAACGTTATTTATTTATTTTAGCAGATGTTTCTCGAATGTGCAATGTCATAATCATCTCAAAAACATATGAATGACATTAGAGTTTGTGGTCTGACCTGTTGCTCCACATAGTTTTAAAACGTCACTGTTTTCCCTCCTCTGGCAGTATGTTTGAAGTAAAAGATATTCATCGCTATTGATCAGGTGTGGATCTTCCATCGCGAAAACCGGACTTCTGTTCAGATAAACAAAAGTTACGGAATTTGACTTTTTATCTGCAATGCCACATTTTATCTGTAAAAGCTCAAAACGTGTACACTTTCTCACACATGTCATTTCTAAATGAGTTTTAATTTTACAGAATTAGCTAGCAAGCTGTAGGAGTTACTGATACACGCCGACATTAATCAATAGTGCCGCAAACATAATCAATAGTGTCCGCAAACACATTTCAGTGCAAAGCATATGCATACAGTTTTTATAATGGCAAAATATGATCAGAAGCATAACTTAACAGAAAACATTAATGATAAAAACAAAAACGTACCCGGGAACATGGAGTACAGGAAAGTTTTGAAACCCAGGAACGTAGGTTTCTAGTGACGTATCGGGGGAGGGGTTTACCGTCACACACGTGACCGTTGCTTTCGTTTGAGACACTTTATAACAATAATTAATATTTTTTACAGTAATGTGACAGTTGTGGTTAGGGTGGTGATATGCGTAAAAAATACAGTTTATTGGGTAATTTAATAAATAACATTAATAATACTCGGTACAGCGACTGTTTTTAAGTTATTGTGACGGTTGGGTTTAGGGTGTAGGGTTAAACGTTAATAAATAATAAAATGAATACCCACTGTGTTTCGTAGTTTTAATGTTGCTAACAGTTTACTTTATAAATACAACTTAAACAATACATAAAAACAATAGGTTTGAATGAAGAAAGCTTTAAAATAGCATTAATATTTGTACATTTTTTTAAAGTTTTATTTTACACTTTCAATGTTATTTTCTTTGTTTTGGTAAAATTTCTTAGATTTTATGTATTTGTATGAATTGGTTTTTAATTTAATTAGTCTAATTGAGTTAGCTAATCCTCACCATAGATATATACACTAGATATCACATACGGACCCCGAACATGCGTCAATATAGCGCCGCCACATTTGTACAGTGCTTCCAGGACAAGTGCCAAAGTGAAGATGCTGGACTTTAGCGCTGTGTACGGGTGTTGTGACTAGCAAACAAAGGCACAATAATTCATAGGTAAGATTTCGTTTTTTACGTTTTTATTTGTTATGAACTTTTGTGCAGTAGCGTTATTGATGATAATAAAGTCCCCAACAAACACATTTACGTTGTAGCGATGTCTGCACAACGTTGTTTTTTTTCAAAGGCAACGTTGCCGCTTACGTGTTCGCTACATTGTCACAACGTAGAAATGTAAGACGTGAGAAGGCTGTAGCAACGTTGTCGTGCGACATTCAGCAACCGCGAGGCGGCGTTCTTACTACTTGTATTAATATTTTTTGTGGCAGTTTATCAATAGCTGCTTTTCCACTATCGTGCCAAACCGTTCTAAGAACACTTCGGTACGGTTACGGTTGTTTCTCCACTTGAGCCTGGAACGGCGCGGCACGATTACAAACCGTTCTCGGCCCGGAATTCTCGGCACGGTTAGACAACCGTGCTGAACTGTGCTGACAGATTCTGTGTGTAGACGTCGCGACTCGGTTGCTAAGCTACCACAGCTGGCTCAGCAGAAGCGCGCTAGTCATCAGACATCCTCAATAAACTACAGTGCATTTAATATAAAATAACGATCCAGGTCTAAACGATACAGTTTCAAAAGGGTTTTAAAACCATAGAGCAGTCTCTGGCAGAGAAGTGAATAACTCATCACATTCTAACGAAGATATTTTATTCATTAAAGTTATTATTTTATTGACTTGAATACAGACCTACTTCGCCTGCTGAATGTGAGTTTATTGCACGCAGCGCTGTATTTCACAGCACAAAACTCGCTCTGATCCGGGAGAGACATGCCAACGACTTGCGCTGCTGACTTTTTTTTCCTGCTGCGCATCGAATAAAGCGAATAAAATCACGCTTTGCATCGTCGATGTCCAAATTCCACAACAACATCACTATATCCATGGAACACGAACTTGCAGACTCTTTTAACAACGAGGAAATAATTGAAATAAAAGCCAGGACAGCTTGTTAATACCGGCGAGACCACCTGAAGGACGGCGTGTTCGTGTTGTAATGTCGGCCGTTCAAAAGACTTTGCTTGAAAGCTTTACGGAGCGGCACTGTAACTGTCCAAGGTACTGTTGTATGATTTATATTATAGCATATGCACTAATAAACAAGTCAAAAGAATGAATGAATTAAATAAATATGGATACTTAAATGCCAGTATTGTTTACTCAAAAAATATCAATACGTTTTGACAAATGTTTTATAAAAACAAAATGAGCAATTTTCATCATTTCAGCTATAGGCAATTATATGATTCAGTTATACATAAGTTATATGACATTTATGAGGCATGTAAGATGTTTCTGTGGTTTTTTTTTTTTTTTGTGGTGATCTTTAATATAGCTACGCAAATATTTTCTAAAACGTCTAGCAATATTTCGCCTACAGCTTGTTAATAATGAACACAAAAATAATTATAAAAATAAAAATAAAATGATCAAAATAAAAAGATAATAAAGCAGCATTTTAGTGCTTTATATGCTTTAAATCCTGCAATATATATGTGTTGTTTCATATTCGTTTTTTTCACTTGCTGCATTCGTTATTTAATGTTTGAATAGTAAAACAAATAACAACCATCGCTTAAATGGTTTCATTTTACTATCAAAATGTAGTATATTTTATATCATTATCAACTTTTGATATAAATACGCAGTGTAATTTAATTAATTGTTAAAAATGAAATAATTTATGTGCTGTGTTTTTATTAGTGAAAGTGCCCGCTCACCTTTGACAAAGCCTGTCCAAAATGATATTTTTGCCACTATAATGCAAATGCACTATTATTGTTGTCTTATCATTGTTTTTTTTTCTGTTATGTTCAGAGATTTTAAATATTATTTATTTCCCCTCCAATTATTTTTAATCATCACGTTACATTTTGGTAATTTTCCCTCCAAATAAAATTTAGCCAGAGCTGCGCAACATATAAATAAATAAGGGTGCACATTTAGCACCCCTATTTGATAGAGCGGCATAACAGTGTTTAGTCACATGCTTTTGCTTTTATGAAAAATAAATAAATAAATAGTTTCGGCTCTTATTTAACTTTAATTGAACAAAGGGAGCCGTTTACATTGCGTTACCAAGGGAACTACTGATGCGTTTTGTGTAATGTTTTAAAGAGCTTTGTCGCAGCACGACAGTGGAAAATGAAACCGTATCCGTGCTGTCTGGCCCGGTTTGGCACGGAATGGAACAGTTCTGTTTAAAGAACGATTCAGCACGATAGTGGAAAAGCGGCTAATACTGCCTAGAATACAGGATAAGCAGCAATTCTTTTCCAGTATTGCTTAATATGAAATATTGTTCATTTATTTTTCCAATTTAATTTAACAACTGCATGTGTAAACTTTAAAGTGTAAAAATAACAAACAAATGAATATAATCAAACTTTTTATTATATATTTCACAACATTTAATACATACAGTACACATCTAATTATAAACAAACAGTATAAAGTTTAGATTATATATATATATATATATATATACATATATATATATATATAATTAAACTAAAGGGTAAGCAAACAAGAAAAGTAAACAAGAAATCATTAAAATGTAAATATATATATATAAATAAATATATAAATTAAAATTCAGACACTGGGCAGTGAAGCTGGACTGGAGAATACAGCAGACCGGGGAGCGCAGCTGAAGACCAGGCATAGTTGTTGGTATGGAGAAAGCTGTCAGAGGAAAAAAACAAATTCAACAGATAATCCAGCTTCAGAGATCCACAGCAGACACAAGTCAAAATAGGCAGTGAACAAGAGAGGACAGATGGAAACGGCTATGACTAGCAAGTTATTGAAGTTTCAGACATTTATTTTAATTTCATTACATATAAAATCTCCAGTGAGTAATTATGTAGCCTACTTTATTTTAATGCTTTAATAGTATATCATATACCAAAATCACATACAATTAAATAAATTTAGAGATACAGGGAAAACAGGTTTGAGTTAACAGAGTTAGTCTCCCAATACTTACTTAAATTATGAGAAGAGAAAGAAGAGGTCCTGTAGTTGTGGCGTTGCTCGCTGTAAATGGAATGTTAAACTTAGTGTCATTTCAATAACAGCTGTACAAAATAATAAAGTAATTTTTCATAAGCATGATCTATTTTCCACATTATGAACATGCTGTTTTAAGTAACATAACTACATTTATTATGATAGTAAATAGAGTAGTATACTTCTTACCTCATTCAATTATTCTTTCCATAGATCGGGAATTACAGCAACACTGATCTGAGGTGAATTCAACAGCTGAAACCATTCTGAAAGACAAGTTACACGAGTAATTTGAAAACAACAGTGAGTGGTTAAGCAACAGAGTTTTATGCAACTTACACATACTTAAAATCCAGAAATTATCAATAGAAGATTACCTCCATGTGAAAATAGCCTGTTGAGCAAAGAAAAGAGTGGGTTTTAAATAAAACATTAAAAGATCAATCAAAATAGAAATTTAGACTAGCAGACCTTTTTACTGATATCTATATTAATTAGGCATATGAACATCAACTTATATACTTTAACTTATAGAGATAGCTCACCCAAAACTGACAATTCTGCCATTTAGCCTCATCCTTTATTTGTTCCAAACTTAAGATTTAATTATTTAGCTTTTTTTCTGCTAAACAATAAAGATGTATTAAATAAAGCTGGAAAACTGTAACTATTTAATTAGTGTTTTTTACTATGAAAGCAAATGCTTACAGTCTTTAGTGTTCAATAGAATAAAGAAACCTAGAGGTTTGGAATCACTTATTATTTACAGGGCAAATAATTCGTGAGTACATATCATTTTTGAGTGAACTGTCCCTTTACCGGGACGCAAACTGCACAGAGGTGTTTTGTATTTAAAAGTTATTTTGTGTGTTTTGTAAAAAGTGGGTCGGCTCGTGTGATGAAGTATCATACTGACTGATCACTATGGATATGGAAAAAACTGAACTTCAAAAACATTATTTCCTATTTGACTAAAGACTAGGCGTAGGTAAATAATCAGGAAATGTTTTATCGAGAGATTTAATGATTTTAATGTTGTCGCCGTCCGTGAACGGAATGCTGAAATGTAACAACTTCATTACGGCTTTTGTGAGTGTGTAATGTTGGAACAGATTGTTGTCGAAATCGTAGGTTTGTTTGAATATTCACGATTTACGTATCTTATTTAGCAAGAAGAAATAAAACAATACTCACGTCTCCTCAGTTGTTGATGAATGAGACGACGGCTTGTTGAAATTTAAACTGATTCAGCTGTGACCAGTAAATGTTGTACAGTGGTTGTCCACGCCACCTAAGCACAACCTAAAGTATGCGGCCCTCGTGATGTTTAAATGGCAACCTTATGACATCGTTGTGACAACGTTTAGCAACAACGTAGAATCCTCAACCTTTTTGCAAGGTTGGTACAACGTTGTAGGAAGGTCGCTACGTTGAGGCAACGTTGTGTGTTTGTTGGGTCCCCAACAAACACATTTACGTTGTAGCGATGTCTGCACAACGTTGTATTTTTTCAAAGGCAACGTTGCCGCTTACGTGTTCGCTACATTGTCACAACGTAGAAATGTAAGACGTGAGAAGGCTGTAGCAACGTTGTCGTGCGACATTCAGCAACCGCGAGGCGGCGTTCTTACTACTTGTATTAATATTTTTTGTGGCAGTTTATCAATACTGCCTAGAATACAGGATAAGCAGCAATTCTTTTCCAGTATTGCTTAATATGAAATATTGTTCCTTTATTTTTCCTATTTAATTTAACAACTGCATGTGTAAACTTTAAAGTGTAAAAATAACACACAAATGAATATAATCAAACTTTTTATTATATATTTCACAACATTTAATACATACAGTACACATCTAATTATAAACAAACAGTATAAAGTTTAGATTATATATATATATATATATATATATATATATATATATATATATATATATATATATATATATATATATATATATATAATTAAACTAAAGGGTAAGCAAACAAGAAAAGTAAACAAGAAATCATTAAAATGTAAATATATATATATAAATAAATATATAAATTAAAATTCAGACACTGGGCAGTGAAGCTGGACTGGAGAATACAGCAGACCGGGGAGCGCAGCTGAAGACCAGGCATAGTTGTTGGTTTGGAGAAAGCTGTCAGAGGAAAAAAACAAATTCAACAGATAATCCAGCTTCAGAGATCCACAGCAGACACAAGTCAAAATAGGCAGTGAACAAGAGAGGACAGATGGAAACGACTATGACTAGCAAGTTATTGAAGTTTCAGACATTTATTTTAATTTCATTACATATAAAATCTCCAGTGAGTAATTATGTAGCCTACTTTATTTTAATGCTTTAATAGTATATCATATACCAAAATCACATACAATTAAATAAATTTAGAGATACAGGGAAAACAGGTTTGAGTTAACAGAGTTAGTCTCCCAATACTTACTTAAATTATGAGAAGAGAAAGAAGAGGTCCTGTAGTTGTGGCGTTGCTCGCTATAAATGGAATGTTAAACTTAGTGTCATTTCAATAACAGCTGTACAAAATATTAAAGTAATTTTTCATAAGCATGATCTATTTTCCACATTATGAACATGCTGTTTTAAGTAACATAACTACATTTATTATGATAGTAAATAGAGTAGTATACTTCTTACCTCATTCAATTATTCTTTCCATAGATCGGGAATTACAGCAACACTGATCTGAGGTGAATTCAACAGCTGAAACCATTCTGAAAGACAAGTTACACGAGTAATTTGAAAACAACAGTGAGTGGTTAAGCAATAGAGTTTTATGCAACTTACACATACTTAAAATCCAGAAATTATCAATAGAAGATTACCTCCATGTGAAAATAGCCTGTTGAGCAAAGAAAAGAGTGGGTTTTAAATAAAACATTAAAAGATTAATCAAAATAGAAATTTAGACTAGCAGACCTTTTTACTGATATCTATATTAATTAGGCATATGAACATCAACTTATATACTTTAACTTATAGAGATAGCTCACCCAAAACTGACAATTCTGCCATTTAGCCTCATCCTTTATTTGTTCCAAACTTAAGTTTTAATTATTTAGCTTTTTTTCTGCTAAACAATAAAGATGTATTAAATAAAGCTGGAAAACTGTAACTATTTAATTAGTGTTTTTTACTATGAAAGCAAATGCTTACAGTCTTTAGTGTTCAATAGAATAAAGAAACCTAGAGGTTTGGAATCACTTATTATTTACAGGGCAAATAATTCGTGAGTACATATCATTTTTGAGTGAACTGTCCCTTTACCGGGACGCAAACTGCACAGAGGTGTTTTGTATTTAAAAGTTATTTTGTGTGTTTTGTAAAAAGTGGGTCGGCTCATGTGATGAAGTATCATACTGACTGATCACTATGGATATGGAAAAAACTGAACTTCAAAAACATTATTTCCTATTTGACTAAAGACTAGGCGTAGGTAAATAATCAGGAAATGTTTTATCGAGAGATTTAATGATTTTAATGTTGTCGCCGTCCTTGAACGGAATGCTGAAATGTAACAACTTCATTACGGCTTTTGTGAGTGTGTAATGTTGGAACAGATTGTTGTCGAAATCGTAGGTTTGTTTGAATATTCACGATTTACGTATCTTATTTAGCAAGAAGAAATAAAACAATACTCACGTCTCCTCAGTTGTTGATGAATGAGACGACGGCTTGTTGAAATTTAAACTGATTCAGCTGTGACCAGTAAATGTTGTACAGTGGTTGTCCACGCCACCTAAGCACAACCTAAAGTATGCGGCCCTCGTGATGTTTAAATAGCAACCTTATGACATCGTTGTGACAACGTTTAGCAACAACGTAGAATCCTCAACCTTTTTGCAAGGTTGGTACAACGTTGTAGGAAGGTCGCTACGTTGAGGCAACGTTGTGTGTTTGTTGGGTCACTGCATTCACCAAAGGGAAAGTAGCTCAAACTTGCACTAAATACTAAGACTGCGGTAGTTTTGTTGAATAAAGTAAGCAAACAATTTAAATTCAATATGAAAACGAGACGTTGCGGTGCCAGAAACTTGTATTGGCCAAGTGAAGGAATCGTTCGTAACAGAGATTCATTCAACAAATAGCTCCCTCAGGAGAAGTGAAAGCAGGGGAGAGAGGTGTTTCAGGAAACGGATTAAATCAGATTTAACGTGTGGGGGGGGAATTGGGGGTAATTTCATACACACAAACACTCGTTATGCCCGTACAGTTATCCATCAATATAGAAAAGTGATGGACAATTACAATTTTCGTAATTTAAAAAAGTATTTGCATAATGACCAATGGGAAAACTCACGATCATAGATATGTGCATATTTGTGTATTTCTCTGGCTCTGGATGGCCACAGTACTACTGCACCTTGGTCTCGCATTCATTTTAATGGAAGGTTAGCCTGTACGAAAATGGCGGCTCTGTTGACGCATTCCTTCCAATAGACAACAACAGGGTAAGCGACATGTAAATATATATATGATACGCACTCAAAAATCCTTGCTTTTTTTGCAGAGAGACGCTAGGACCTGGCACTGAAGGCACACAGACTCTGAGTAAGTTTTTGTTTGTATTTTAATGTGTGTGTTTTTTATTGTCATTTAGTTGTGTGATATATTGTCATAGAAATTATCACGATCAGTGATATTATTGTCATTTTAAGACTAATGTATGCCTGTTTATATAATGATTCTAAAACAGCATTTACATTTGCATATACTTTTGCACAATACATTCAAGGCACAAAAAATACATGCCCTTTTAGGTTTGTTATTCGTGAGTCATAACTTTTCTGTGGACTGCAGATCTGAAACAGAATTTACATTGATGCCTCTTCAAAACATGTAGTAGTATTCTGGAAAAAATGTGAACATTTTATTGACCTATTAGTAAAGAAAAAAAAGTTGCTTTCGTTTTTGATGGAGGTTGTTTTTACATTCAGCTTGTTTTTGGTCTGATTCCCTTCAGTTAATGTTATTAGAAATGACATCATATCCAACGTTAGGCTGTGTTTGAAAAGTTTAATGTTGCAAACAGAGCACCTTACAATAAGAAATTCAACAATACATAAAAACAATAATTTTGAATGAAGAAAGCTTTAAATTATCATTATTATTTGCACATGTCCATGTTTTATTTACAGTTTCAACGTTATTTTCTTTGTTTTGATTAAACTTTCTTAGCTTGTAGGCTATGTATTTGTATGAACTTGTTTATTGGAGGTAAGTTAGTTGTAGAAAGTTAGTTTATTTGTGTAACTAATCCGGACTCAAAAGTACCACACAGAGAATTACCAAACACTGATGAGCCACAGACTCAAGAGTACGTTTTTGTTTATATTTGAATGTGTGTACATGTTTTTGTGACATCAGGACATAAATCTGTATAATGACATAGGTAGGACACAGGTATTACAAGAATACGGTGAATTATGAGGACATTGCTGATGTCCTCATTTCTCTAAAAAGCTTATAAATCACACAGAATGTGTTTTTTTTTTCTTTTCAGAAAGTAAAATTGCACACAATTTCTCATGAGGGTTGAGTTAGTGGTAGGGTGGGGTTAAGACTATGAAAAATACAGTTTGAACAGTATAAAAACAATGGAAAGCTATGTAATGTCCTCACAATTCACAAAAACAAACATATGTGTGATTGAAACCAGTCATAAGAGTGCATCTTTAAAAATTGTTATTTATACGTCAAAATTCATCAGTATAAGTGTTTAGTACTGAGTTGCGACTAGAAGGGCATCCACCGTGTAAAACTCATGCTGGAGTAGTTGGTTGTTTATTCTGCTGTGCAGACACCTGATAAATAAGGAACTAAGCCAAATGAAAAAGGTTTTATTCTAAAAGCTGAATAAATACGCTGTATTGGTTTTTTAGGACAGGACAGTATTTGTTTAGTTATTTCTGGAATCTGAGGGTTAAAAAATCAATATATTGCTTTTAAATTTGTCCAAATTGAGGTCTACTAATCAAAAATCAGGCCTTGATATATGTACAAATGGAAGTTTATTAAATCTTTTCATGGTACATGATTTTTACTTAATAATCTAATTATTTTTGACATAAAAGATAAATTCATAATTTGAACAATGCTATTTATTGTTGGCTATTCCTACAAATATACCCATGTAACAAAGTCTGGATTTGTGGGTCCAGATTGTCACTTTTATTGTATGCCTCTCTGTTACAATCCCTTAATTCAGAATGTTAGTGGAGTTTGTGTGTGTGTGTGTCAGCAATGAAGTCCCATGAGCAACCTCCCGAAGGATTAAACGAAAGAAAAAAATGCAACGTGAATAAAGATTAACAAAAGATTTATTCAATGATTAAGGGAGGGCTTCAAGAAAGCTTCAAGAAGGAGTTTAAGCCAAAGCAACAAACAAAAAGTCCTCTAACTGTTAGAAAAGGAAGAACTAAATAATCTATCAAAGAAAAGAAAAATAGATGAAAATATCTTCACTCCCTTACTAACATAAACAGGAGAAAAAACTATTACAAAACAGACAATGGCATCACATCTCGAGTACTAACCCAAGCCCAAATTAACTAAACAAAGTAAAGAGTCAATAACAAAGTAGTATTGAAAAATCAAACACAAACTCACACCAAAAATAGTTTCTGAGGCAAAAACGATATAAGATTGACAACAGCATTAACAAACCTTAAACTAATTAAAGCTCCTAAATAAACAGATAATGCTTAAAAGGATAAAAAAAATATCTAAAATCTCACAAAAGAGCCTCCACACACACACAAAACACATTGTTCTAGTGGAGACATGCTGCTTTAATGCCCACTGCTCTTCTCATCCTCCAATTAGTGAGCAGTTCGTCATTGATAGAAGGCTACTAGAGTAGAGCAGAGAGAGAAAGAAAGAAAAAACAAATGTGTCCTGTGACGTAACACTCTCTTATAATATCCAATAAATAATTTGTAAAAGACTCACACTTAAATACTAAAGCACACTAATTGAGCACATAGCATTTCTTAAGTTTTGTTTGCCAAACCAAAAGTAGGACTACAAAAAAATCTACCTTATCACTATAGTTATAAGTAACAATGATCCATGCACTGACAACATATTCAGCTGAATTTACTTACTGAATGTACTAATGTCATATATCAGCACATATATCACTTGTGATGCTGTGTTTCTTGAGTGGTGGTTGTTTGCTCATGTTCAGCTTTTTTCTTCCAACAGGCTAGTTCTTTCGCACGGGACACATAAAACACAGGCCCGATACAGACCCCAAGACTGGGAATTGTGTGGAATATATTCAAGATCAAGCAGAGCTCGTAAGTAGCTTCTTTATGATTTTTTGAAACTGTGAGGATATACGGAAATAAGCCCAGGACAGGGCCGTAGATCACAGCGGTCAGGACTAGCATAGTTAAGGTGTTCTTTAAGGCTCGTTTTTTTACCCATGACCCACTTTTTTGCCCTTCCCCTGGGCCCTTTTTGCGGAGTGCACGGACAATGCCTATTAAACACGCCGCCATTACGAGTAAAAAGATTTCAAGGATGATTGACAAGATCAGGGCTAATTCAGGGAGCCTTTCTAGATAAGTAATCACCGCCACACCTAAAGTGATGATCCAGACTAGAGCCGAGCAAACAGCACGATATTCCCTTTTGCTCCCGTATTTCATGTAGAAGACTGCATGTGCCGTGGCCATATATCGCTCCACGCACATGCTGGTTAACAGAAGAGGACAGCCGATCGTGTTAAGGATGTACAGAGACTCTGAAGCAGGCAGAAGCTCTCCGGGGCTTTTGGTCAGGGTGATGTACACGTCAAGAGGAAGACCAAGACAGTAGATTATGTTTAAGATGGCTAGATTGAGCCCCAAAACGTCAAAAGGGGAGAGAGCTTTTTCACCCCTCATCAGCAGCCACAGCAGAGCCACATTGGTTGGCAGGCCCATCACAATGGTGGAGATTTCCAGTGGCAGGCGAACACAGGAAAAAGCTTCTTGATTGCAGTCATCCGCAATGCTTTGTAGTGACAACTGAATATTTGTTGTTTGGCTGCTGATGTTACTGTAGATTGTGGCGGCTTGGGTTTCATTTGATGTGCTGTTTGCCATGTTGCAGAGACTGGAGAGAAACGGCATAGAGTATTGAATATAGTACAAAAACAAGGAAAATTTGTATGGCAAAGTGTATTTAAACTCTATGTCAAAGTCGAAGATGTGATGTCCCAATTTGTGTAAGCATTAAATGAAAATGACAAATACAAATGTCAACTTTCATGGTTCAAATAACATTTCATTTGAGCAAAGATTAATCTTGATTAATCGCATCCAAAATAGAAGCTTGTTTTGACATAATACATGTGTGTGTATGGCGAAGCAGTGGCGCACCAGGTAGTGCTGTTGCCTCACAGCAAGAAGGTCGCTGGTTCGAGCCTCAGCTCAGTTGGTGTTTCTGTGTGGAGTTTGCATGTTCTCCCTGCGTTCGCTAGGGTTTCCTCCGGGTGCTCCGGTTTACCCCACAGTCCAAAGACATGCGGTACAGGTGAATTGGGTTGGCTAAATTTTCCGTAGTGTATGAGTGTGTGTGTGAATGTGTGTATGGATGTTTCCCAGAAATGGGTTGCGGCTGGAAGGGCATCTGCTGCGAAAAAACTTGCTGGATAAGTTGGCGGTTCATTCCGCTGTGGTGACCCCAGATTAATAAAGGGACTAAGCCGACAAGAAAATGAGTGAATGAATGACGGTGTGTGTATTATGTGTTTGGTTTGTATGTGTGTATCACATATACATAATAAAGTATACGAAACATTTTTTATATAGATATTTACATTTTTGGTATCATCAAAAAGTAATTAAGCAATTACGGTAGCCGTTAATCACACATGAACTCTCGTGACTCATGTTGTAGTTAAAGTGAATTGATGATTAGCACATGAATTATCTCATCATTATTCATTCATTTTCTTTTCGACTTTGTCCCTTTATTTATCCGGGGTCGCCACAGCGGAATGAACCGTTAACTTATCCAGCATATGTTTTATGCAGCAGATGCCCTTCCAGCTGCAACCCAGTTCTGGGAAACATCCATAAACACTCATTCACACTCATACATTATGGACAATTTTGCCTACCCAATTCTCCTGTACCACATGTCTTTGGACTGTGGGGGATACCGGAGCAACCAGAGGAAACCCACGCGGACACGAGGAGAACATGCAAACTCCACACAGAAACACCAACTGACCCAGCAGAGGCTGGAACCAGCGACCTTGTTGCTGTGAGGTGACAGCACTACCCATTGCATCACCTATTCATCATTAATTTATAATAAAGTAATTTTTAGTTTACGTAATAATAAATCATTTTTCATTTACTGGTATTGAAAGTGTTATCAAATTTCCATATTATTTGTGTTATATTGTGTGTGTGTGTGTGTGTGTGTGTGTGTGTGTGTGTGTGTGTGTGTGTGTGTGTGTGTGTGTGTGTGTATATACACACAGTTGAAGTCTGACTTATTAGCCCCCCGTTTATTTTTTTCCCCCAATTTCTGTACATATTATTTTTCAAAATATTTTTCAAGACACTAGTATTCAGCCTAAAATGACATTTAAAGGCTTAACTAGGTTAATTAGGTTAACTAGGCAGGTTAATAATTAAGCAAGTTACTGTATAACAATGCTTTGTTCTGTAGACTATCGAAAAAAATATATTGCTTAACAGGGCTAATAATTTTAACCCTAAAATGGTTTTTAAAAAATTAAAAACTGCTTTTAATCTAGATGAAATAAAATTAGACTTTCCACAGAAGAAAAAATATCAGACACACTGTGACAATTTTCTTGCTCTGTTAAACATAATTTGGGTAATATTTAAAAAAAATATTTGCTGTTTATGTTTATGTAAAAAAAACTGATCAATTGATCATTTAATAAAAAACTGACAGTGTGTCGGCGCCAATAGCCTAGTGGTTAGTGCGTCGACATATAGCACCGAGGTGCTCACAGCGACCCAAGTTCGATTCCCGTCTCGAGGTCCTTTGCTGATCCTTCCCCTATCTCTGCTTCCCACACTTTCCTGTCTCTAAATCTCCACTGTCTTATCAATAAAGGTGAAAACCCCTCAAAAAAACTATTAAAAAAAAAAAAACTGACAGTGTGTATATATATATATATATATATATATATATATATATATATATATATATATATATATACACACACACACAGTTGAAGTCAGAATTATTAGCCCCCCTTTTAATTATTTTTTTTCTTTTTAAAATATTTCCTAAATGATGTTTAATAAACCAAGGAAATTTTCACATTATGTCCGATAGTGTTTTTTCTTCTGAAGAAAGTCTGTTTTATTTCGGCCGGAATGAAAGACGTTTTTTTTTTAAATTTTAAACACCATTTTAAGGACAAAATTATTAGCCCCTTTAAGCTAGATATTTTTTTAATAGTCTACAGAACAAACCATCGTTATATAATAACTTGCCTAATTACCTTACCCTGCCTCTATATATATATATATATATATATATATATATATATATATATATATATATATATATATATATATATATATATATATATATAAACTGTCAGTTTTTATCAATAAAATTATTTGCAGAAGTATCGATTTTTAAAAGTATATAATAATCACAACATATTAGTTTTCATATAAATATAAACATAAATAGCTAATAAGTATTATTAATAACATTTTCTTATTATTCATCTCAATAATATGATCAAAACATATAAATGTTAAGAGATAAACTGACCTTTTCTGGCTCTGACATCAACTTCTTTTTCCTTCTTACTTTTTGACAAATCTTAAACGTATAAGTCCTTATTCAGTTGTGTCAATGTAAATTATTTCAAATGATTTGAATTTCTGTGTTGGGTCATTGAGTGTATGTCTATCACCCAATGAAAATCCATATTTCTCCATATGTTCTGGTTTAGAAAAAAACCATATAGCAAATTTTACCCAAATCAACAAAAGCATCTGGACTCAATAAAGGCACAAGGAAAAAGACTGAAACACCAATTTATTACAAATGAATCAGTGCATTTAAAGTGCAAGTTTTACAGTAAAATTTTAAACTAACAAATGGCTCAATTTACGTTTATGGGTCAAAGACAAAAGGTTTTAATGCCTCAAAAGAAATAAAAAGCATAATACAGCTTTGAATGTTATGTTTACCCTGTACATTAGAATGTATCTAGAAGTTTAATTTATTCATTTTTCCTGAGCACAAGTTATACTTTTTTACCATCATTTGTGTATGAGTGATACTATGGGCCTTATCATACACCCGGCGCAATAAGGCGCAAGACGTGTTTGGCGTGATTTGTTGCTATATTTAGACCAGCACAACCATAATTTTTACGTTTTGCATCACGTTGTTTATTTAGCAAGTTTACGAATGGAAGATGAGACTTTGATTGGTTTAATGCATGTTATGCTCAAAACACATCTATAACTAGGCCCACACGGAATCTGCATGCACAGAAATCCACAGATTTTTAGCCCATCGTTGAGTCTATTTATTTACTTTTGTAAATGTGTGTAAATTTATATTAATTTAGTTTTTAAATTAATTTCAGTATTATTATTGACTAATATGGAAATGTTCATATGATTTATTTAGAATAGAGTAGGTAGTAGGTAGTTGTTCTAACTGGATTTGCATTGTAAAAAGTTGAAAAGTTGTTATTTTTTTATTTCATATATAATGTTTTTAGTTACAATACTCCCGAAATCATTCCGCATGAATGCACAGATTTTTTTTTCACAAAATTCTTCACAGAAATAGCAAAAAGTATTCACAGATATCTATAACTCATTAAGAGAATAAGCACAACCCTGTTAGACCATGTGTCAGGGTGCAGAGCATATTTTTCCATCTATAAAATAGCAAAAGTGGATTCAGACACGCCCTTAATGCGCTTCAGACTTTGCGCCTGTAGATCGTTAAAATAGAGCCCTATAGCTTAAATACCCCTTAAATAAATCAGTCCAAGGCACTCGAGTAAAGTGAAAAAATTAAAAAGCCTTTATTCACATGGCTAGATCCTCTAGCCATGTGAATAAAGGCTTTTTAATTTTTTCACTTTACTCGAGTGCCTTGGACTGATTCTTGTTGCAGATTTGATGAATCCCTTACCCAAAGAGCACCGACCATACATTTGAACTTACCCCAGAGCGCTTTTTGTTTTGTTTTTTCTGAAGTACCCCTTAAATAAATCTTGTTATTCATAACGATGATTTTGAATGTTCAGTTTCACGAAAGTATTTAAAAATGCAATAAAGTACACTTTACATGCATTTAATATGCATCATGTTTTTATAAAATCACTTCAGGTAAATTTAATTAGATGTAGATGCCAAAATATGTTTCATCTTTGACCCATATACTACATTTTCACAGTACATTATGAATATAAGATAATGAAAATGAGTGGTAGTTGGCCATTTTAAGCAAAATTCCTGTGCAAAACAAAAGGATTTTGGTTAATGTTTGGTTTTACTTTTCTACAACATCATCAAAACCTCTATTTACAATTTGGTTGGGTATCTTTAGTGCTGTTATAATACTCAGGAGGATCACCCCAAAATGGAATATTTACAACATAGCAAATATTAAAAGACATCTTAACCATTGAAAATATCAAAGTGCTTCTGGTTTGACTCTGCCCCTCATAGTTGTCCAGTGTTTTCTGTATTGTCTTGTCCACATTCAGTGCTGCTGATGAGAAAATGGACTAATTGTTGTATTTATGGGTGAGTGACAGAAGCGGCGTGATGGGTTTTGTTTTTGGGAGGTGTAGCAATCTGTACGTAAACTGGGTTGGTAGAAGAACTCGAGGGGTTTGGCTCAGTTTGAACCCTCTGGAAAACGAGAGCTGGGTAGATCTGGCTGTTGGCGGGGTATGTTGGGTAGGAAGTATTAGGGCTTCTCAGCAAACTCTCCTGACTCCTGTGTAGAAAGCAGCAGCTTAAAATCACAGAATGTAAAGCACATCTCATTTGTGTTATTTCTTTACGTCCTCCCACATATTACATAATAGTAGAAATGTGGTGTGGTTGTAGCTTGTGGGCTCAGTTTGTGGGATTCAGTACACGGATATAGACACAAGGGAGGCTACTGATGATTTATTGTACACTGTAAAAAATAATTATTGTACACTGTTTTTTGTTGGGAAAACATAAAAGAATTAAGTTAATATTTTCAAATTCAAGTGGATTGAACATAAAACAAAAAACCTTCAAGAATTGTATTGTTTCAGCTCATTTTAAATAAGTAGTTTGAATAAACAACATCCATCATTTTTTGAGTGTACGGTTTACAATACATCAGCTTTTTTATGTGTAATGGAAATAAAGTACTCAAAATACTTGAGTTAATGCTCTTTATCTGTTTGTGTTAGATGCCAATAACAAATGTATTTCTCAAGGCCATTTTCTCAAAATGAGTTTTATTTTCCCGCACCACAAATCTCCACTCTAGCTTAAATACATCAAAATGTGGTTTTATTTATACCCATATTGTTATTTTTGTACAGAAGGATATGTTTATACATATTTAGCATTATTATATACATTTTATTCAAAATTTGTTTTCAATTATGGGTTGTTAAAAAAAGATACCCAAAATCCCATCTGTAAAAGCCTTTGACTTTTAACAAAAATGTTGAGCCAATGTTCGTATTTTTAATGATTAAAATGTATTTCAAATGATCACATATTTAATTAAATCTTGCCTCATTTGTATATTTAAGCAGTACATTTTAGAAACCTTTAGAAAATGTTTACAATTCTTAAAATATTCAAACAACAAGGGAAGTAAGTATATGGTAATAGTTATTAATTTTTTTCTTATCCTATTCACCTGTTGTGCCTTACCTTATGTATTTTACAATGCAGTTCATTTAGTGTGATTTAAAGTAGGTTTCAGTACCTTCTGATCCTTCAGAAATCATTGTAATAAGCTGATTTGCTGCCCAAGAAAGATTTCTGTGACTTCTCTGTAGAAACGAATCTACTATTGGAACAATAAGATGACTTTCTTACCGCTCGTAGCCTCTGTTCTCATAGGATCTGATAACCTCTGAATAAACAGGACTACCAGGAGGCAGCGGTCGGTCGAGACGCTGGGACAGACTGAAAAGTTTTGGCGGAGGAAATGCTTCCCAGTCAAGATGCTCTCTTTCCAACCAGGACGGGCTTCTCCGAGACCTGGAGCTCCGTGTTTCTCTTCTCCTGGAGGTAAATGAAGACAGTCGCAAAACGTTTATTACAATAATTGTTTACATTTGAAATTTATATTCCATGTTGTCTTTTAACATTAAATATACTTACTTTAATACAGTTTTAAAACAGTATATTTGCTATGTCAATAGAAAAACAATTCTAAGAGGGTCAATTTTGGTGTCTTTATCAAATTAAATTTACAAAAGTGAGATTATGGTAATATTAAGCATGTTAGATCAAAGTAAAGCATCAACTTTAATGTTTAAAAAAGCTTTAGTGAATATGCTATTTTAGTGGGTGTCTTTTTAGATCATGATAGAAGTGTATGACAGTCATTATTTTCTGTTCAGAAAATTAAATATATAAATGAAAGAATGCATGCATGAATGAACCAGGACTTGTTGTAATGGGGAAAAACGAAGGCTGTATCACATTATTTAATTTTGATGCTTTTCAACTTACAAAGCAGTTAAATATCAGGTATTTGAACTTAAATTGCATTAATTGTATTGCATTAGGTTTAAAATATCTGCAGAAGACATTGACATTTTTTTTAATAAAACATTTTAAAGTTATTAAAATAATGCATTAGGAATGTCATTAACAGCCTACTTTTAAAATTAAATAATGTGCAGTGCACTAAATATAATAGATTCATATAAGAACTTTAAATGTAAAATGCATTTATTCATTAAAATCTAAGAGAAACATATTTAAATTAAGACATTTAAAATAAATATAATCTTTTTATCATATGATATGAAATCAATTCAGATTTATAGTTCCACCTTTAAAGAAATACTCCACTTTTTTGGAAATAGATGCTAATGGTTTAATCGGATTCAATGATTTATGCTAAGCTAAAAGTGTTCCTTCCAGTCCTCGTGATTTTCTGAAGTGATTCAAAAAAGGTCAAACTCAACTATAAAACTCTGGGTTACTTGTAAAATAAGCCTATTTCCAAAAAAAAAGTTAGGAAGTTTGAGTTTTCCTTAAATTTGACTATTTTATGGAACCACTATATATTTGTTTAGGTTTTTTAATTGAATAAAAGATCACTTTTTATGATTTTGGTTGTTTTCAATAAAACCTGTAAGCGGTAAGGTTATTAATTATGAAAGTACCTGCTCCTGCCTGTGCGATGCTTTTCCTTCTTTTTGCTAATGTGCTCTTGACAACAGCATACGATGAAGCAGACGGTCATGACGAGGATGACCACCCCGCTTACTACTGACACCAGTAAAGCAATGCGCAGACCCTGGTCATTTGGCCGAGGGATACCTGAAGAAAAAAATAATGTTGGTTTCACCAAATATTTGTTTTATCAATAATATTTTTTTATATTTTTATTATTAAAAATACCTAAATGTAATCTTTTAAGTTTTAATATCAGATATTCATTAACATTAATGGAAAATTATCAATAAAAACAAGACATTTTTACTTTAAAAAAAGAATAAGTAATATTTAAAATATATATTTATATATTTTCTATTTTTAATTATACATAAGTTATTTATGTATTCAGAAAGATAATTGTATGGCTGGCCTACTCTCACAGACTGGCAGGTAGTTGCTCCATCGAGGGACGCCTGAATGCAGGATGCATGTGATTTTCTCATGACCAACCAGCTGGTAGCCTTCCTTACACCAGAACACAAGCATTGAGCCCACAGACACCCCTGTCCCGTGCTCCACGTAGTACGAACCCCGTCGTGGAGGAAGCACAGAAATACACACAAGTCCTGTAGGTACACATGCACAAACAATAGTGTAATCTTATTCAGTAATTCGAACGGAATCCAAAATTATGCATCATGAAGTCATCTGTGGAAATGATAGCCACTGTATTATTAGTATGTTCAAAAAGTTTTGCATATGCTATTGTTTTTACTGCTGCATGCATCTTGCTGTCATTACTGCAGGCATGTTTTCCCTCACTGTGAGACGTTACTCTCTATATCCTGTGGTGAACCACAGTACATTTGATTATAAATGTGTCGTTTGTTTGCATGGTGCTCTAAGAGTATATGTTGCTCTGAATCAGTGCCAGTATATCAGTATATCCAGCCTGTTTTTCCATCCCAGCTCACTGTCAAATCCTCCACCAGCTCCTCCTGCTTTTGGAATAGCATCTGATTAAATAAAGATAAAGGCCTTCATCAAATATTGATTAAATCCACGCTGTGTTCCTATCATAAAGAACCTGCGAAAGTGCACTTAGGCCATCAGCAGACATGTTAGACCTTTTTAAGCACAGGTGAGAAGACACTATCTATCTATCTATCTATCTATCTATCTATCTATCTATCTATCTATCTATCTATCTATCTATCTATCTATCTATCTATCTATCTATCTATCTATCTATCTATCTATCTATCTATCTATCTGTCTGTCTGTCTGTCTGTCTGTCTGTCTGTCTGTCTGTCTGTCTGTCTGTCTGTCTGTCTGTCTGTCTGTCTTTCTGTCTGTCTGTCTGTCTGTCTGTCTGTCTGTCTGTCTGTCTGTCTGTCTGTATGTCTATCTGTCTGTCTGTCCATTCGACTATCTATATATTTTTCAGTCTGTCCACTGTCTGCATATACATCCTCCCACCCATCCATCCTTCCATGTATCCTTCCATTTATCTGTCTGTCTTTGTGTCTGTCTGTACATTCAACTGTCAGTCCATCATCCATCCATCTTTCTGTCCGTCATTGTGTCTGTATGTACTTACATCTGTCCATACATTCACCCAAACATCCATCTGTCCATTCTTTCATGTATCTGTCCATCTTTGTTTCTGTATGTCTATCCATCCAATCGTTCATCAGTCCGTCCCTCCGTCTGTCTGTCGTCTGTCCATTCATCCACCTATTTATTTATCCACCGTTCCATCTATCTGCTTATCTATTTCTGTTGCTGTCTGTCTGTCTTTGTGTCTGTCCATATCTTTATCAGTCCGTCCACTGTCTCTTTATACATCCACCCATTTATGCATCTATCCATCCTTCCATGTATCCTTCCATTTATCTGTCTGTCTGTACATCCAACTGTCAGTCTCTCCATCCATCCATCCATCCATCTTTGTCCGTCATTATGCCTGTCTGCCCATACATCTATCTATACATGCACCCAAGCATCCGTCCATTCTTCCATGTATCTATCTGTCTGTCTTTGTATTTGTCCTTCTGTACATCTGTTAGTGTCCATCCATCCATCCATTTCTGTCAGTCTATCCAACTATTTGTTCGTTCCTTGGTTCCTCCGTTAGTCCGTCCACCTATTTATCTATCTATCCATTCTTTCTTCAATCCATCTGTATGCTTGTCATTATCTCCATTCATCCATCCATCGATCCATCCGTCCATCCTTTCATTGTCTGTCTGTCCGTCCATCTGTACGTCTCTATATTTGTGTTTGTCCTTCTGTCCCTCCATCAGTTCGTCCACCTATTTATCTATCTATCCATTCTTTCTTCAATCCATCTGTATGTTTGTCATTATCTTCATTCATCCATCCATCGATCCATCCGTCCATCCTTTCATTGTCTGTCTGTCCGTCCATCTGTACGTCTCTATATTTGTGTTTGTCCTTCTGTCCCTCCATCAGTTCGTCCACCTATTTATCTATCTATCCATTCTTTCTTCTATCCATCGGAATGTTTGTCATTTTCTTCATTCATCCATCCACCGATCGATCTGTCCATCCTTTCATTGTGTGTCTGTCTGTCTATCTGTCTGTCTGTCTGTCTGTCTGTCTGTCTGTCTGTCTGTCTATCTATCTATCTATCTATCTATCTATCTATCTATCTATCTATCTGTCCGTTCGTCCATCCGTCTCTATGTGTTTGTTCCTATGTCCCTTCATCAGTCCGTCCACCTATTTATCTATCCATCTTTCTGCCTACCTATCTCTGTGCCTGTCAGTCAGTATGTCTATCCATCCGTCTGTCCATCCGTCATCAGTCAATTCATCCACCTATTTATCCACCCTTCCATCCATTTGTTTATCTATCTCTGTGGGTCTCTGTCTGTCTGTCTGTCTGTGTCTATTTGTCAATATGTCTGTGCATCAATCTATCTATCTATCTATTTATTATTCATTTATTCAGTCTGTCCTTGTATATCTCTCCATCCATTCTCTGGTGTATCTGCTGCAGCATGTTCAGTTGTATGTACCCGTGTTGTTGTTTCTAGGTGGATCTGTGAAGTCCTTCAGTTTTGGAGTAGTTGTTGTTGTATCAGATGTAGTACTCGCTTCAGAAGTGGTCATGAGCAGAATGGAGCTCACTGAAGCTGTGTGAGAGTGAAGAAAGCACACATCGTTTTACAGTCATGCATAATATTAAAAGAAATATAATTAAAACTATATATTATACATCAGAACACATACAACATACCCAAAGCAGAATAAACATTTACAACAATTGAAAGCTTCTCATCAATGCAATGTGTCTGCAGTCATTCTCACCTGTGTCATGGCTGATGAGTAGATCTGTAGGTTCAGTCTGAAGTTCTGGATTGATGGATTGCTGGTCATCGGTTGGATCAAAGGTTGGCATGAGCAGAATGGGGCTCATTGAGGCTGCATGAATATGAGGATCAGAAACCCCATCATTAGCCCATCATTAATTCTGTTTATTTACTTGAGTAAATGTGTGTAAATATAAATTTATTCAGTTTTTAAATTAATTAAAGGTATATTATTGACTAATATGAAAATGTTAATCTGATTTATGTACAATGCAGTTTGTAAATTAATATTTTCTGTCTTTTAGTAGATTTATTATATGAGAGACTTTCTTTGTTTAAAAAATGAAGTGAATCTAATTGGATTTGGATTTTAAACATTAAATAAAAGTTAAAAAGATATTATTTTTTATTTCACATATTAAGGTTTTAGTTGTGACACTCCCAAAATCATTCCGCAGAAATCTGCAGATTCCTACTAAAGTTTTTCGCAGAAATAACAAAAAACGTCTGCAGATTCCGTCTGGCCCTAACCATGAATTTCTTTCTATCTATGATATTCTTACCTGTGTTGATGCTGGGCAGATCTGCTGGTTCAGTGTGATGAAATGGATTGATTGTGTGCTCATCAGAGCCTGGATCAGAGGTGGTCATAAGCAGACTGGGGCTCATTGGGGCTGTGAGGATTTGAGTAAGTGATAATCAGTTCATACAAGATACACAACAAGATACTGTGGTCATTTTTATATGTTGTTCAGTAGTTTTAATACTTTGATTAAAGGTTTTAATCCACTTCAGATGCTGACTACAATATATTGTAACAGAGAAATTTTTATTTGTAATCAACTGTGAGCTATTTTGGTTTGTAATGCATCTTTCTCACCTGTGTGCTTGTTGGCTGGGTCTGCAGCTTCAGTCTGATGTTCTGGGTTGATTGATTGTTCATCTGGTTCTGGATCAGAGGTGCTCACTAACAGATTGGGGCTCATTGAGGCTGTGTGAATATGAGTAAAGCACACAATCAGTCCACACATAAGTCGCAAGTTCATTGATCCCACACAAATTCATTTATTTTCTTTCGGCTTAGTTCCTGCTTTATCAAGAGTCCCCACAGTGGAATGAACCACCAACTTATCCAGCATATGTTTTATGCAGCGGATGCCCTTACAGCCACAACCCAACACTGGGAAACATCCATACACTCTCATTCACACACGCTTGACACTACAGTCAATTTAGTAATTTAATTTAGCAGCAAACCCACACGAACAAGCCCCACACAAAAATGCCAACTTGTCTAGCTAGGGCTTGGACCAGCGACATATCTTTCAGATATTTTTGAATCTATTGCTGTACAATTTGTGTGGTTTAAAGGGATAGTTTACCCAAAAGTAAACATTACTTCAATATTTACTCTCCCTTTCAAACATGTATGTGTTTTGTTTTCTTCTGTTTAACTCAAAAGAAGATTGCTGGTACCCATCAACCACTAGAGTAGGAAAACAAAACAATGGGTGGCAGCTAACATTTTTCAAAATACCTTTCTTTGTGTTCAACAGAAGAAAAAACTCTAATAGGTTTTGAGAAAGTGAGGAGTGAGTAAATGATGACAAGATTCTTATTTTTAAAAGGCACCTATTTAACCTCTTTTATAAGATGTAAGATAAGACTTTGGTGTCTCCAGAATGTGTCAGTAAAGTTTAAGCTCAAAATAATCATCATAAAATGTATTTTATAATGTAGAATCTCCCAATTTTGATGTCTCAGTACAGTGTAGCTGTTTTTGTAGCCTGTGCCTTTAAATCCAAATGAGCTACTTTTCCCCGCCCACTGCTCTGACGTGCTTGTCTGCTTTTCATGCCTTACGTCAGATAAACAGCAGTCAGTGATAGAGACAGACACGGATGAAGCTGAAATAAGGTCACTAGTCAAAAATAGCAAGTACGTTTATTTTATGTTTTTTGTGGTGGGGTTTATTCTAGCCTTTCTGAAACGATGAGTCTCACACAAATGACGTACACATGCACACATATACGTGTTTACTGACACCATTCGGCCCTGGGGATTATAGTGCTTAAGAATTACATAGCAATTGTACTCTCTTTATTACAAACATGCTCTGTTTTAAAAACGTTTTAAACTTATAAAATTAATATTTGAGGTGCAGCTGATCATAGACAGTTGTAACATGGTTTAATCCCAGTTTCTTTGCAAAAATGTTCTGTGGCCATCCTCCTACATCTTCCTACTCCTACATCACATGGCAGTGGGTGTCAAAATGGGAAGGATTTGGATCCTATTTAAAAAAAGAAACTTGTTGTGTTCACTCCAATATGACAGTGGACACACAGTTCTGTACAAACAGCTTCCAAAAGTTGATTTTCATCATAAGTCCCCTTTAATCAACTATCCTAATAAGTCCTAATACCTGATATTCAAATCCATATGTGTTTTCAAAGTTGAAAACTAGTTTGCACGCATAATAAACTGTGATATAACTTTTTTTTATGACAACAAGTCTTTCTTTATTAATTCTTTTTTTTTTTTTTGAGCAAAAGAAAAAAAAAAACTACTGCCATACATTTTTGAAAATTTATGTCACATATTGCCTCTATTCATCCATCAATCTTTCTCACCTGTATAGTTGCTGGCAGGATCTGCAGCTTTAGTCTGATGTTCTGGACTGACTGATTGCTCATCCATGGCTGGATCAGATGTGTTCATGGGCAGGTTTGGGCTCATTGAGGCTGTGAGTATACCACACAGTCAGTTCATATACAACCAGGGTTTAACATTAACAAATGCGGGTCAATTTTAGCTTTGGCCGATTAGACAGTCACTCCCACTAGCCACTTTGGCTGGTTGAAAATAATTTTCAAATTGTGGTTTTCTTAAAAGCAGGGTTTGACTATAAGGATGACCAATATGCATGCAAATGTGATCTTAGAATCGAGAAACAGCACGACTAACAACAATAATTGCTTTTACGCGAGCAATAGAAAGCAGATGAATACCAATTGAGAGGATAATCACTGGCGCTAACAGCTGATGTGATGCGTGCAACTGTTTAAAGCACTTGTGCACTCCTGTTTCCTTGCTTGAAGCAGCCGTGCCTGGAACGCAACTATGATTGGTTCTCTTTCATATGATTAAAAAAGTTATGCACCCACAGTCTTGCTGCTTTCAAGAGCTCCACATGTGTCTTTTTGTAAGCAGCACCGGTTGCTTTCGCTTTGAACAGATCATTAATTGGCCTTAACCATGTGATCATCCTTTCATCATCACACACAGTATGTTTTTCACCTGCTTTCTTTTGCTTACGGTTTTTGTTAATATGGTCTAATTATAATTTTTTTACAACAACATCACTTTAATATGAGATCAACTCTTCATTTATTTGTAGTTAACTGGTGAACTGAGAGACCTTTAGCGAGGGGGGTTAGGGTTTGATACATGACAATCATTATTTTTAAAAGTCAATTGTTTTTCTTTGTTTTGTTTTTTTAAAGAAATGTTTTGGTAAATAAAAAGTATAGTATAGAGCTATATTTAGCTTGTTTTGACACATTTAAAATTTGTGGCTAAGAAATAATTATTGTTTGGCGTGGTCAGAGATAAATTTGGTAAATCCCTAATTTTGAGTTCTGAAAAGTCATATGAAATAAAGACTAATTGTAATACAACACAACGAAGCCATGGCGCATTTGCTCATACATGACACACAAAATGTGAAATGATTGAGGGGAAGGTGGACAATACACTAAATCTAAATCAAGTAATTTTAGCATGTCAAAGTCATATTTAAGCATATAAAAATTGTTTTCCCAACAACAAAATTGTGACTATTGAAAATGCAGAGTGGCTCGTAACGTTGGAAATCTAAAAGCCACTGTGGCTGGTGATCAAAAAAAGTTAATGTCAAGCCCTGTATACAAGCCATAATCATAGCCCCACACTATATATATATATATATATATATATATATATACCAAAAAACCAATTATGTTGCACAGGTATATTTGTGGAAAAGCACTGTATGAGTCAAAATTCTCCATTTTTATTTTATGCCAAAAATTATTTGAATATCCTGTAAAGATCATGTTCCGGGAAGACATTTTGTAAATCACCTACTGTAAATATATCTAAACTTAATTTTTGGTTACTGATATACATTTCTAAGAACTCAACCTAGGCAAAGTTTAGATTGTCTCACTATTTTGATTTTTACAGACTCTCTGATTCTGTATTTTCGTACAGTTGTATCTTGCCAAATATTGTCCAATCCTATCAAAGTATACATGAGTGGAAAATGTATTTATTCAGTTGATGATGTATAATTCTTAACCCTTGTGAACTTCAAAATTACTGCCCTTTTGTTATGTTTGTGTTTGTTTTTGCCTCATTGACTCCCATGATAATTACATTTTTGATTACATTGCCATTATATGACAGCATACAACAATGCATTCTTGATTGACGAAGAGGAAAAATGTGTCATTTGTACTGTTGATCACCAGTTGGCAACATTAACTCTTTAGGTAGGCTTGTGCAAAAAAAAAAACATTTCTGGCTTTTATATATAGTTATGTAGATTAAAACCGCAGATTATAGTGTGTCTAAATGTTTACTATGTTTTGAGAGCTGAGCTGCTCATTTTGATTTTCTCAGACTTATCAAAGTAAGTGCACAAATGTATCTCTCTCTTTCACACACACACACACACACACACACACACACACACACACACACACACACACACACACACACACACGCACACACACACACACACTATACCTCATATGGAAGGTAGAAACTATGTTTTTATGCATTGTAACTGATGATCAACAGTAAAAAAATTAATTTTGAACTTTTCCCAACAGGGAAAACCAAAACAATCAAGAATGCATGATTATATGCTGTCATGACTTTCTTACTTTCTGTATTGATCCACTGTTTGTTGTTGCTTCTCACTGCTTCTGTTCATCATGATTGTCGGATTATGTACAGGAACTGTCATATTATAAAACATGCTGATGATTCAGTGATTGTGAGTCTCCTCCATGATCAGAATTTGGGGCATGGTCCTGTTGTGGAAGAGTTTACTTCCTGGTGTGATAGATTTTCTCTCCAGTTGAATGTAAATAAAACAAAACACGTAGAATAGAGGAAGGCTTTTCCTACCCCCAGAATAGCAAATATTAAATGTTTGGACATTGAAATTGTTGACACACATAAATATCTAGGGGTTGTTATTAACAACAGACACCCAGGCTGTCAATAAAAAAAAAGATTAACAAAGACTGTTTTTTTTTTTCTGAGGAAACTTCCCTGCAGACACAGGACATCATATTGAGGTTGTACCCCAATGTACCCCAACCCTATTATATCTGTTTTATCCTTCTGCATTGTAGCTTGGTACGGTAGTCTGAGTCAAATAAGAACAGGTTGAGTAGCCTGGTGAAGGTGGCAGGCAAGATCATTGGTATTAATTATGTTTTAAAGAGAGCTCAGAGTATGTTATGCACCTCGGATCACCTATTGTATTCTGTGTTTCAGCTGCTGCCATCAGGACATGGTTTTAGAGTTCCTATGTGCAGGACAAACAGAATTAGAAATTCTTTTATAATGGAGGCCATTAGGTCATTAAATGAGTCCATCGGGAGGGAGATGCATCTAAAAATGATTTATTTTATGTTTTGTGGTAATAATTTGGTAATGTCTACATGGAACTTCACCTGTGTTATTATGGCATCAAGCTGCAATTTTAGTTTTACTAAATGGGATAATAAAGTTGAGTCTGAGTCTGACTTTGCAATCTAAAAATGACATATTAATGGAAGTAAATAGGGGCAAAAACAGACACAAACATAAGGAAAGGATAGTACATTTTAGACAAATTGTATTGTTGGATTTTTTAAAAAACTTTTAAAGCATTTTCCCTACAAAATAACATTTGTAACCAAATATCATTCCATTTGCTGAAACAGAGAAATTTGTGGCCAAATTAAGTCTCAAAATCACCCCAGAGTGGATGAAAGCATCCCCAACAGCACATCACACAAGGGTTCATTTCAAAAATGGACACTTATGACTGGTTTTGTGATCCTGGGTAACATAATATAACAAACATATTACATATTAATAACATATTCATTTCATATTGTGCATATTAATTAATATTAACATATTAATTTAGTCACAAAATGTCTCTATCATCTTTCTCACCTGTAAAGTTGCTGGCAGGATCTGCAGCTTCAGTCTGATGTTCTGGATTGACTGATCGCTCATCTGTTACCGGATCAGATGTGCTCGTGAGCAGACTTGGACTCACTGAGGCTGCGTGTGTGTGGGGAAACCACACTGTCAGTCCGCACACAGCCCACCACAAGGACCACACTGATGTCATGATCAAAGGCCCCCAGGGCCCCCAGCAGCACAATGATATAAAAGGCAGAAATGTCCTGAGCTGATCACAGTAGCAAGCTAAGCATCGCTGATTATAATCCATTCATAATTCCACATGAAGAAACATCCCCAATAGCTTCCTTTCCTAAAGGTGAAAATGCAAACTCATCCAATCTCAGTGCATCCAAACTGATGCCCATATCTCCTGAAAATGGCAGCTTCTTCTTTGTGTCTGCTGCTGTATTAAGCGTAGTCTTCCCTGTGTGTGTACACAGCATCTGCTCTGCCTCTCCGCTCGCTGCTGCTGCTGCTGCTGCTGTTATCCTCCAGCATACAGTGAGCCAGTCAAGGCGCTTACATAACATCAAGTGCACGTGTGGATGTAATTTTGTGCACTCTTAAATCCCTGATCTCATCTCTCCAGTTACTCGTGCACACGCTCCCTCTCTCTCTTTCTCTCTCTCTCGGGACAGCGGAGGGTGATTCAGGGCATGTGGCTGTGTGCATGTGAGCCTCTGTCCCATATCTGCAGCAGGGAGTGAAAGGACATCCTCAATCTGCAAGATGCAGCAGAGGCATTATTTATTTATATAGTCATATCAACATGTTGACTTAATGCGTCACGATTTCTTGTGCACGCAGGAGCGCAATAAACGTGCGAGTGTATAAACAGAGCAGATGGTGCTCATAGATGGCACGTGGACTCAGCATCGACACGGTTGAATGAATTCCGTTCACTCAGATGAGCACGGTGGGTTTCAGTCTTAGAGCTGAGAGCCTGTTAGACTGTGTGGGAAGTGTAAGAAGGATGCTATTGGGAGGTTTCCTCACTGCATAACACCGAATCCCTGGTAACAGTGTCACGGGTTATAGATACGCACTTACTGGCCTCTTTATTAGGTACACCTGTATGTTTATCAGCTGCAGAAAAATGTGCATTGGTGTATCGTGTGTGCAGTAGATGTGGTCAAGATGATCGGCTGAAGTTTAAACTGAACATCTGGTGTAAATATTTAAGATATTGCTGGGATTTTCACACACTTCATTTATCTGTAGGGTTAACAGAGAATTGTCTGGAAAAAAATAAATATATATATATAAATATATATATATATATAGTGGTGTAATTCAGTGCTAGTGTAGCAAGGCGTACCTAATAAAGTGGCCAGTGAGTTTTTACAGTATAGTTCAGATATCATGCAATGCTGTCAGCTCCTCTTTGGTTTTTTAAACATATATTTTCCTGTAAAATGGCTAGTGAGTGTTTAATAAATCATAGATGATCCACAATCGAGAGAGACACCATCAAATACCAGTTTCTCTTATCAGCTGCATAGACTTTTTTAACATCTTCATGCTTTGTTTTTTAAGCGTTAGAAGAACATTGATTCTCTACATCATGCTGATACAGTGTGATGTGTGACTCACATGTCCTGATGGGACACTAGTCAATCTATGACTGGCTGTGGATGTCAAATAATTACTAAGCATCTGCCCCAGTAATCCTCTCAAGCCTTAACATGCTTTCATGCATTAACATGTTTGGGGAAAAGCGATTAAGATTTCCCCTGGCCTTTACAAGATACTTTCTCTTGAAAATATTATATCCAGATTCCAGGCTCTATAACATAAGGAATCAAAAGTAGCATTAACCCTTTTGAATATTTTTACATTTAATTTTTAGTGGAACTACAAACATACATTTTGGGCAATAGGTGCGTTTTATAGAAATTGTAACACTTCAAGCTAATTCCATCCAAATAATTTCCTTTTATAATTTTATTTTAAATGAGATACAAATATGTCCAAAAGTATTGAAATAATTTAATAATTTATCCCAGTGCCATATAAACATATAGTATCATAGTTTGTGTTGTTTGTTAACAGACTAGACTTCTATTTAGTATGCAAGGAAACATAATTTATCAATATATTATAAATTTGTGTAATGTTTAATTAATATATAGAAAAGAATACATTTTATTGTATTTCGATCAAAAATCAACAGTGGCATTGTGTAAGCAATGAATCTTTGTTTACCATCATGACTGATGCTGGTAAAGAAATCTGTCATAGATAGTGTAAAAACCTATTTGTAGTTGTTGTTTTTTCCCTCTTTGGACCTATTTATAAATGAGTGTGTAGGTAAATGACAAAGTAGTATCAGCGAATACACTTAAATAATTATTCACTGTACATAATATACACTTTAAATAATTTAGATACGTTTACACATGGATATATTAAAAGAGGCTACTTTTATAAATGTATACTCACCGTCCACTTTATTAGGTACACCTGTTTAACTGCTCGTTAACGGTTCAGGCTGGTGGTAGTGGTGTAATGGTGTGGGGGATGGCTTTTTTTGGCACACTTTGGCCCAATTAGTACCAATTAAGCATGTCAATGCTACAGCCTACCTGAGTATTGTTGCTGACCATGTCCATCCTTTTATAACCACAGTGTAACCTTCTTGCAATGACTACTTCAAGCAGGATAACGCACTCAGTCAAAAACATGAATCATCTCAGACTGGTTTCTTGAACATGACAATGAGTTCACTGTACTCAAATGCCCTCCACAGTCACCAGAACTCGTGTGGTGTGGCATGTGGTGGAACGGGAGATTTGCATCATATATGTGCAGCCGACAAATCTGCAGCAACTGCGTGTTGCTAACATGTCAAATGGACCAAAATCTCTGAGGAATATTTCCAGTACCTTGTTGAATCTATGCCACAAAGGATTAAGGCAGCTCTGAAGGTTCAACCTGGTTCTAGTACCTAATAAAGTGGCCGGTGAGTGTATACTATACATTTTATTAGTAATAAGTCTGTAGCCCATTAAAAAACTATGCTGAGAAACATTGCAAAATATCAGAAAATGTCACATTACTGAAGTTTGAAGTTAAATACACATTAAATATGCTTTTTTAATGTTTATAGCCTTGGGTGTTTTTTAATGTTTCACAATCGTGTTTGAAGGGATGGCTCACCTAAAAAGAAACTTTTACTCCTTATTTACCCTCTAAAGCTTTGAGTTTTTTTTTAACAAAAAAATTAATAAGTTTTAATGCAAAAATATATATTTTAAAGAATGTTGGAGACCGGTAACCACTGACATCTATAAAATAAATACTTTTGTATATAATGGCTGCTGATTTCTAACATTTTTCAGAATATCTTCTGTTGTGTTCAGCAGAAGAAAGAAACACAAACAACTTTGGAACAAATGGTGGGAGAGTAAATGATAAATTTGTTTTGTTGGTGAACTATCCATTAAAGCCACCGACTAGACTTCATTTCCCAGCAACACTTGGGAAAGAGGAAATGCTTTTCAACTTTCACTTCAGCGCCACACGCCCATCATCACTCAATACAGCGGCAACAGTTCGAGATTCAGTGAACTAAACACGTTCAAAAAGGAAACCGCGAACATTTTAGGCGTCATTTCATTGTAAGTTTTTTGTTGTGTTGTGAGTTTTAGATTGTACACAACATTAGAGAAGTGGTATACTTTTGGCTCGTTACATTCGTTACATGTTTGCTGCTTAAAATGTTGGAGAAACCTGAAAAACAAAACAAGTTAGTTTTAAAGAATGCAAAAGGAGCTCAGCAAACTAGTTGTCCGTATTGTGACTTCATTGTTGTGTCAATAACTTTGTGCACGTTATGAAATACTGTTTATATTCACATACAGGTTTAATCCCGAACAGTTGTGTTCATGGCCAGTCAAACCTGGTTGGAGTCTTCTCTGCGCCGGTCATATGAACTCGGCCAGGAGGTGTTGGAGAAAGCAAAGAGAAGGTCTGTTAGCAGCTCAAGTACAAAATCTAGACCAACTCTCGGGTTCTGTCACAAGGAAAGGGGCTCAGAGGTCAGTTGACTCACTCCAGATCCTTAATAATTAATGTGCATAAAACTAATTTTTTATTTTTTATTACTTTTTACAGGGAGATACCTGCCATTCAAACTTGAACCATGCTTTTGCAACAATAGTGGAGTACATGTCAGAAACTACCAGACAATGCAAGGTGAAAACATTTTAATTGAACTTTTAAGCCGTTAGGCAATTTATAAGCAAACTGTTTGGAAACTTTAAAATTGTCCTAGAAGATGTCCAAAATCTTTACATGCATTAACCCAGAGACTGTTTAGATGCATGTCCCTGATGAGATGATGACGAATGTTTACTGTATGATGACAGAAATAGCCTTAAACAACCAGCTGGCACAAGACATCAGATTGACGTTGTGATGTCGTGGGGATGTTGCATTTTGTTGAGAAATGAAAATCGGGTTGACATAGGAACCCAATGTCGGGCCAACCTCAACGTCCAACCTAAAATCAACCAAATATCAACGTCTAATGATGTTACAGCTTGAGGTTGAGTGGACGTTACCACTATGACAACGGTCAGATGTTGGATTTTGGTTGCCATACCTGTCGAATAAATGTCAGTATTTGACATCAGTATGACTGGTTTAAGATGGTGGCTCGATGTTGGATTTTGGTCACTTTCTAACACAACCTAAAATCAACCAAATATCAACATTGTTTGACGTCGTTATTTGACATCAAAATAACATTGTCCTTAGATGCTAGCTAGACATTGAATTTTGGTCACCTGACATCACAACCTAAAATTAACCTAGTATTTAGGTCTTATGGTGTTGTGTGCCTGCTGGGCAATAACTAAATGCACTACAGAATGTTACGTTTGACCACACATGCACAAATTACATGTAAATGCATCAGCTTTTTACAGTGTAATACTCGCTACTCTTGAGTACTTTTGAAAGGGCTACTTTTTACTCATACTTAATATAAGTATGTAATATTTACAACAGATACTTTTACTCGCACCACATTGTTTGGCAAGTAATTGTACTTTTTCTTAAGTATGACTTTTCAGTACTCTTTCCACCACTAATACCACAAAAAAATCTAAATAGTCAAACTATAATAATAAAAAAATAAGTAAACATGCCAGCAAATAAAACAAACAAACAAATGTGCTGTAGATACTTTATACACGCACATCCTATTATATTCCTTATAATCTTTAATCAAAATAATTAGACGTAATGAGGATGCTTTATTGAGACCTGAGTGAGAAAATAAAAGCCTGTGTCTCTTTTACAGAAATATTACACATCTGTGCACCGGACTCAGCCCAGTGAGCAAGAGCACATCTGTCGTTATCATTCCCAGCAGACCTTGAAGACTGCAGACCAGAAGCACAATGCTACGGCTGCCACTAAACAATATGCAGTACGTATTTGATGAGTTTTTTCATAGATTTTGTGAATTTGATAGAAGCCATATTTAAAGGCATAGTTCACCTGAAAATGAAAATTGTCAACGCTTATCTGCCCTTCACTTGTTCTAAACCTGTATATATTCTGGTTTATATTCATACATAATTTACCTGATTATATAGTTTACCTTAAATTTAATTTACAATTTACTTTGTAGTATTTTCTGAGTTTTAATTCCTGAATGTTTTTTTGTGCTAAAACGTGTAACAAAATAGCATGTTTAATGAAAAGACACATTTTTAACATACATTTAATAAAGCTTCTACTAATAAAATTGTATGCAATTCTTAATGTTATAAATCAACTAATGATGTAATGATGATATAATATTTTTTTTACCCTATTCCACCTGTTACACCTGCAGTGTCTTGCCTTAAGAACATGGTAAACATTCATAAAAATGAAAATTGTCATCATTTAACCACCATTAACTTGTTCCAAACCTGTCTGAGTTTCTTTTTTCTGTTGGGAAAAGGAAAAATAATTTGACTACAGATTTTTTTTTTTTAGCTTTCTTCACATTATCTTTCTTTGTGTCCAACAGAATAACAGTTCACACTTTATTTTGATGGTTTTACTTACATTGTATCTACATGCCAACTAATTCTCATTAGATTATAAGTAGACTGTTAGGTTGGCGTTAGTGTAAGCTGACATGTACTTGCAAAGTTTCTTATAGTCAGTTAAATGTCAGTTGAAGGAGCAGTATCAACAGATATTAACCATCAAAATAAAGTGTTACCAAATAACAAAACGTGTAAATGGCCCTGAGTAAATAGTGAGTAATTTTTTCATTTTTGGGTGAACTATCCCTTTAACCAATCACATTTATTCTGCAAATGAGCTCCTCATAGTGGTTCGCCTTCATATTTTATTGAAGGGTTTGTCAGAAGCAGAGGATTTCCTCATTGAAGTGTCTCCGGGAACCTATTCTATCACAGCAGCAATGCAGGACACAAGACCACAGACCAAAACTGTCCATGTCGATGCAGGAGAGAGCATGAGCCTTGCATTTAACCTCTGAACTTCAGCTCTATTTTAAATGGCCTTCACTGAGGACTTGCAGTAAAATTCTAAACGCACTGATTCTGACTTTCGTAAGTATTCATCAATTGTATTGTTTGATGCTCAGGAATATGTATTCATCTATTTTTATAGTAATCGTGGATTTAATTAGCCACAATGAGATTTAGCAGCAAGACATTTGCCCTTAATTTCACTTTATTCCCTGATGTTGGTGATTAATAAACTTCTGTGTAATTTTACATGATAGTCTTTTATGTTCCAAGATATTCGGTTTACAGAAAAATATCATCCCTCACTGGCAAAACTGAGAACTCAAAAAAAAAAAAAAAAAAAAAAAAATCCTTGGTTGTGGTATTAGTATCAGTTTGGTTGGTCTTTTGCTGATTGCTCCAGTTAGTGGAGATTGTGCTGACTTCAGTTCAGCTAAATATGTCTCTCATTTTGACTCTTTGTTTTGGTGAATTAGGAACCAGCTTGAATAAAGAGCTGTGATTGGTCATCATTGAATTTCCTGTAGATCTCGCAGAATTTCCAGAGTCTCTTGGCCAAGAATGGCTGACATTTGTAGATTTTACTGTTCTTCCTGAAATACCAAAAACACTGAGTCAGTACAAACAATTTATATTTTGAAACAATTAGTGTTTAGTTTTTTTCTTGAGAAAGTCAGTCCAGTCACTGGAGTCGGCTAAAAAGGCCACAGCAGTACAACTCAGCAGCCATTCTCAAAGAATGCGTCTTTGCGTCTGAAATTGCAAGATGCAGAGCTCAGAAATGGCAACAAACTTACACCGCTTCTATACTCTTGAAATATTTTCGCCATGTTGCCGTTGTCATATCAACTTGATACACAGAGGCTCGCAACTCATGCTCTGCACAGTGTAGTGGCTTACTTTTTATCCACAGAAAAGAAAACATACAGAGAAACCTTTTCAAGTTGTACAGAAATCTGTGTTTTCGAAACTAACAAGGAAAGCAGAAGTCAATGATTTACATTATTTATTTAGCCTGACATGTTTCATTCATTAATTTTATTTTCAGCTTAGTCCCTTTATTAATCAGGGATCGTCACAGTGGAATTAACCACCAACTTATCCAGCATATGTTTTAGATGCCCATCCAGCTGCAACCCATCTCTGGCAAACATCCATACGCTCTCATTCACACACATACACTACAGACAATTTAGCTTACCCAATTCACCTGTACTGCATGTCTTTGGACTGTGGGGGGAACTGGAGCACCCAGAGGAAACCCACATGAACACGAGGAGAACACATAGAAACATCAACTAAGCCTGCCGAGGCTTGAACCAATGACCTTCTTTCTGTGAGGCGACAGCGCTACACACTGTGCCACCATGCCCCCCACCCCACCCCCTTACATGTTTACTCTTCCAAAACATTTGAAATGTTTCTTTAAATAAAATATATTGTGACAATTTTTTTTTACCTGAATATTCAAAAAGAGCATATTTTAGAGCAGTAATCACAATACAGAGAAATAGAGGTCTGCATTCCTGTGGCTGTTACGCGGTACCCGATCAGTTGTCTTGCGGCACGGGAATAAATTTCCGAATATACTGCGGTAGCGATCGGGAACTGTAATTTGTATGGGAGCGGGCGACCTAATTAGATTGCTCCTGATAAAAAAAAATGAGCGTGACTGCTTTGCACTGCATGCCAATAAAGCACCTGTGTGTGTGTGTGTGTTTATGTGTGTGTATATGTGTCGCTTTTAATAGGCTGACTGGACTCTGTAACATCCGGCTGGGTGTTTTTGGGAGATCTATTTAATTGCTATACATTCTTCCATGGCCCAATATGCACCTGCTACATGTGTAGAAACAATGCTGATATGATATATGAAACACAATCGGTAGTTGGCAAATATACTGAGTGGATATTTTGGTAAATCTGACTATGAAAGAGTCAGTGCCTCACCAGCCACAAACCTCTCCGCACGTCCCACGCAATGGTCAAGCGGCACTCATGTCTCATCACAAAGGGGCAAACAAAACTGACATTTAGCCTACAATCGATGCACAACCTACACTTTTATGTGTTATCTCTCTCTTTTAGTAATGTCCAATTTTAACGTGAGATTTTGGAAACCAGATCTAAATTTAGCGGGAATAGTCGGGTCGGGCAGCGGGTGAACAAAGACTGAATATATGGCGGGAGCGGTCGGGTACTGTATAAAACCGGGAGCGAGATTAAAATTTTAGTCCTGTGCAGATCTCTAACGAAACCCTCATATTTTTATCCAAGGTTATACCGTCAGAATCTTATACCAGCCCATGCCTACTGCAGAACACCCGAGTGGTCATGCACGTCCATCAATTGCATTTATAGAAAAACAATAGAAATATAAGATTCTCTCTCATCCTGTGCTCGAGTCCTTTCTTTACATACACAAACTGAGGTATGTACCGAACTGCTACCTCTGTGTACTGTTGAACTCCTAACATAAATGTATAACAATATAAACAAACAACTGTTAAGTTATTTTTTCAATTAAATTGAAATATTCTTTAAAACTCAATGGTTGCGTAGGTATTCATCCATTTTGATATCTATGTTGTAATCATTTCCCCATTACCTGGCTTCATGTGATGTGGTTCTGCAGAACCTCTTTTCCAGTACTGCCAGGCTGGTCTGGCCTCAGGTTGAGCGTATGGCTTTCTCAGGCAAGAAATCTCTGTGTTTATTGAGCGGCTCACTAGTTCTGACTCCGAAGACCGTTGTTTTTCATTTTCCATATCTTCCTCATTGTCATCTGTGTCAGAGCTTGAAGATGCTTGAGTCTGTAGTTCTTTCAGCTGAAGATCAACTTTCCTCTCCAGCTCATCTTTCCTTTGGTTGGCCAGTACTGGCGGTGACATGAACGCTGGCTGGCACCTCTTGACTGGATAGTGGTATTGAGAAATGGAGAACAGATTGTGATGGCTGCACTGGTGATTTGGCATTTCAAAACATGCCGTTGTGCTGCAGTGTGAAAGCCTGTGGCAGCATGGCCTGAATGAGCAGTGCTGGAGCTCTTTGATTATATGCTCATACTGAGAGGCTGGAATCCATACAGCAAGAGCTTTGGGGATGTGAACGGTCATCCCATTCCAGAAGAGAACCTGGAGTCCTAAATTACTGTCATCGCCTTTAAAGAGCCCATATTATACATGAAATAAGGTCATATCTTGGTTGTAAGGGTCTCCAACAACAGTCTAATATGCATGCAAGGTCAAAAAACACTTTCATGGTCTTATAATCTGCATTTATTTTTACCTAATTATCTCAGCGACTCCTGTATGAATCGTCCAGTGATTCATTTGTTCCCAAACCCCTCCTTAGCGCGGAGCTAATCTGCGCTGATTGGACCGATGACAGTCTGTCGCGATTGGTCGACTGCCTTCAGTCAGAGAGGGAAATGGCCAACGAAGGAGACAGTCGTGTACTCGCCATACCACACACACACACAAAAACACACACACACCTCCGGATGACAACGCTCCCGCTTCAGCCCGCACCCGCCAGGTTTTAGCCTGAGAACCCGCTCCGTTTTCTGCCCGCCGCGCCCGGTCCCGCTAGAGCGGAGAACACAACCAAATATCACCCAGTATACAGTCCAGACAGCCAAGCTGTCTGGATAAAAACACACACACAGCACAAAGTACACAAAGCTCGTTCGTTCGTTCGTTCTCTCGCTCTCTCTCTCTCTCTCTCTCTCTCCCCGCGCCAGATTTCTGCGGCGCGGGAATACATTTCCGAATAAATCGCGGGAGCAGAACTCTAGCACGGAGCTCCATAAACAAACAGCACGCGTCGCGTTTTTAACGTGACTTTGCACGCGATAAGATAATATATCCAGTTAACCTGATACAGTACACGCGGTTACAAGTAACAAATCACAACTAAATACATGTGCAAGCTAGAGTAAACGAGGCAACAACTTTAACCGCACGTACTTACACTTGAGAAATGTAGGAAGAAACCCATCCTGACGTCCATCAGTTACTCTTTACTGATCCTTCCTTTAACAAACTCAGATGAAGTATTCTTTGTAGCATGTAGCTTCCAGAAGTTTCCAACTGCTTGGTTATAATGCTGATGTTTCATCTTTGGGTAGAGACTCAATATATCCATCTGCTGTGTGACTTCAATCGACCGGCATGTTTGTGGGTGTGCGTGTGTTTGTGGGTGTGTGTGTGTGTGTGTCTGGGTTACTGCGTCAGAGGGCGGGGCCTCAGGTTTGAAATCTCCCGGGTTTGCGCGTGCACGTGAAAAACTTTGTTTCGTTCGTACGTCATGGCGAAACACCTAATGAGTCGGTATCAAGGCGACTCGTTTGAAGCACTATGATTCGACTCTTTTATAGATGAATCAACAGTTTTAAACACTGTATTCTTACAGATTTAAGCCTTAGCTGGATACTTCACTTCACTTAGAGCTGTGTTACACACTACATGGAGGGGAATTTTCAAAAACCCATAATATGGGCTCTTTAAAGAAACAACAAATTCCTCTTGGATTAATTTTGTGAATATTTTTGGAATTTATAGTAAAATAATGGCTCGAAATTGGTTGTAAACCTCACCTTTTATTGGATCTCTTGGCTCCACACCATAGATGACCCTTCCAGGCCCGTATCGTCTCATTTCTGGCTCCCATGGTGCTAAAACGGTGTCCCCTGGTACTATACTGTGCCCATGTGCAATGGCTAGATTAACCATGTCAGGCTGGCAGGTTGGCTGAACTATATTTAGCGTTTCCATAAATGTATTTCCATTCATTCCAGACTTATCAAATTCTACCATATAAAGGTTTCCTGTGCCCTAGAGATCAACAAAAAGTAAAAAAAAAAAAAAAGTACATAATGAAATTTGGATTACTATTACACAATTAAAATGTGTGTGCTCAATGCATTAAAAAAAAAAAGAGCACATTGAATTGATCATAAAATTAAGTAAAAAAAAAAAAAAAAATTTTTTTTTTTAACTATATAAAATTATTTATATTTAAAATAAATGCTGTTCTTTGGAACTTTACATACTTAAATAATACCCCCACCCCCACCCCACACACAAATAAATCTGTGAGTTTCCACAAAAATATTAAGCAGCACATGTTTTTGTTGTTCATGTTAATATTTTTTTGAGCACCAACCTAATGTTTGGAGGCCTTTGCTAGTTTTTAGAACAGCAAATAACAACTTGACTTCTAGTTGATCATTTGGTATCAGAAGTGGCTTATATGAAAGGCAAAGGCCTCTAGCTTATGCTTATTTTACCAAAATCAAATATGATGAAGCCTTGATTTTTAATTATTGATTTAGGACAGTAAGGTCTGACTTTTACTTGGACAAAAGTCCTGTCACTTAACAAAAAATTAAGAGAAACAAAGAATATATACAATTTAGTCGAAATTTTTAGTTTTTAAGTTTTTTTGCAATATTTTGCATGAATTTATATGTATTATCTTTCCATTTCTAAGGAATGTTATGTGACTAAAATATTATTTAAATAAATATATCTGTTTAATAAATCAGTTTTGTTTAAATGCACTAATATAAATTACCCATATTCACTAAAAATGGAGAAAAATATTTATTTTCAAAATAGGATGTACTCATATGCTAAGCACTTTATATATATATATATATATATATATATATATATATATATATATATATATATATATATATATATATATATATATATAGTATAAGATGAACAGCTCATTACTTAAAAGGGTTTATTTAAAATATATATCTGTATCTTCAACAAATGTTAAAAGAATGACGAAATAAACAGCTTATACAGAATTTTTTTTTAAGAAATCTCATTTGGCAACATTATAAATAAAGTAGCTATAGCAAGATGCTTTTGAGTGACAGGTCATGACTAATGTTTGTTTGACAAAGACATTTTTAAGGGGCTTATTATATTGACATGTTTATTAGGCCTATATAATCTGCTTTCACTCCAACCAGACTAAAATAAACAGTCTAAGACTTTCTCCAGAATAAAAATTATTAGACTATAAGAAATACTCTGAAAATATTCTGTCTTTTGTTTTTTAGAGCATCATCAAATCATATTTTGACAAAAATAACAAAAATAATTTTAACAAAAATAATGTACAGTATAGAATATAAAGTCATGGTGCAGTGGAAAAAAAATAATATTGTGTATGACTCCCATGAGTTTGGAGGACTGCATCCAAACATCTCTGCAATGACTCAAATAACTTATTAATAAAATCATCTGGAATGGCAAAGAAAGTGTTCTTGCAGGACTTCCAAAGTTCATCAGGATTCTTTGGATTCATCTTCAATGCCCCCTCCTTCATCTTAGCCCAGACGTGCTAAATAGTGTTCATACCTGGTGACTGGGCTGGCCAATCCTGGAGGACCTTGACCTTATTTGCTTTTGTGAATTTTAATGTGGAACCTAATCCTGCTGAAGAATATGCCCTCTCCTGTGGTTTGTAATGTAATGGGCAGCACAAATGTCTTGATATCTCAGGCTGTTAATGTTGCCATTCACTCAGCAGATCTCTCACACACCCCCATACTAAATGTAACCCAAAACCATGATTTTTCCTTCACCAAACTTGACAGATTTCTGAAGAATCTTGGGTCCATGCAGGTTCCAATAGGTCTTCTGCAGTATTTGTGATGATTGGGATGCAGTTAAACAGATGATTCTAGAAGTCAAGTTATTATTTGTTTCTCTTACAACTGGGATCGACAACAAGACTTTTGTCAGGTAGTGTAGAATACAAACAATTATTCAAATTAACTATGAATAATATTACCATGATGAATCTCACCATGAACTACTTTTTTTGTACTGTATTTGTTACTCCAACAGATACAGCTCTGCTAAGCATAAGATACATCTTGCAAACAATACATTTCAAAACTTATACCAACCACAACTGAAGATTACCATTTTTCATTTTCACTACCTGATGTATGATTGTCCCTAGGTAGTAAAACCCATCCATCTCTCTCCTGGCCAGCACACGTTTGCCAGGAAAAAGCTCAGTTGCTTGCATTACCCTTGCAGAGACGCATGATGCTGTGCTGAAGGGATTCACTGGGGAACACCTGCAAAGACACAATATTACGTAAGAAATTACTGACTCCAGTCTGTTGAATTATTTGAAAAATAACACACACACAGATGCACATCATGCACATCTTGTGCCTTATTATGCTGGGTGTATGATAGGGCTTCTATGTTACATAAGTATTATAGCAGTTATCGCGTTTTTTATTTATTTTACCGAGTGGCCAGTTTTTTTTCTTTTTCTACGTAAACGCAGATTAACCGTGTGTACTGAGAGATGATCTAAATTATTCCAAAGTTACAGCAATTTTAGTAAAAGTGGCTTTGCTTAGTTTGAACATATTTAATGTCCTATTTGGATTGCAAAGATGTCTTTATAGATGACATTTGTTATTGACTTTTTGGTTCTGTCTTGGCAAGTAAAAAAATGTTAATATGTAAAAAATGTTAATCAACAAACAGTGGTTTTTCTTTGTCAAATCCAGTCAAAGTTATTTGGAAAATTGTAGGCTAGGTGTTTTTAATAATCCGTCCATAAAAAAGTGTCTCATTTGTCTCAAGGGTTGTAAACAATGTTCTCTGTTCATCTCAGTTGCACATGCACTTTTTAGATATTTGACAAAGGCAACTTACTGGAAGTTGCACAAAATGTGTTACAACATTTAGCATTACTCCTTTAATGTTGTTTAGGAGCTCTTTTTTTTTTCACTTGCCATTTTAACTTTTCAATCTCTGTAGTGTCACCATCAGTCCAATCTGACTCTGAGTGTTTTAAATGGTTGTTACTACCTTTCCTTAAAGTTTCAAGGCTCTAGGACAGAATGGTGATATTTGAAATTCCCAACAATTATAATAAAGACTTCAACAAGAAACATTTAAATCACCATACCAGTATGGGATAGAACAGACACAGCTTGTGCAGTTGTAGTATGGGACCTGATTGAAGTCCATTGAGTGCAGTGTGTCCTCTGCATATGTTGTCTTCTGAATCGAATCATCAGTTGAATGCAACAAACTGACCTTTAACATTATAAAGCATTTTAAGTTATTAAAATCCAAATAATGAGCAGAAAAAAGAAACATCGCAAAAAAACATCTGACCTCCTCAACACCGCCAGCTGAATTGAGGGCCATGATATAACAGCTCCCTCTAGTGGTGGAGCTGAGGCACTGCAGGAAGTCTGATGTGTCGCTGTTGATGGAGGTCTTGTCAGATATGTAAAAGGTGTGCACAGGGCGCGTCACCATAGTGGATAGTGAAGCCAGGCATTGTGTAGGGTTGTCTGGGACACTACTGGTCACCAGATGAACAGAATGACAGGCAGGGTCAGAGAATGCCAAAGCAAGTGCTGTGTGGAAGTCTCTGCCAGAACTTGTCTGTAACGTATGGATCCAGCTCAACGCTTCATAGACTACATCAGGAGAGCAGGGCAGCATGCGAGAAGACCACGGTGTTGCCTAGTCCAATATAAAGTTGTATTGCATAATATTATAGCCCCACAAATATAGTGTCCATTCTGTAGAAAAACTGAATTCTTCTTCACAAACTCCTCTTAACCAAATATATCAATTGTACTCTTAAAGTTTAAGTTAAAAAAAACACTTTCACAGATCTCTCATGGTCACAAATATACACTCACTGGCAATTTTATTAGGTACACCTAACTAGTACCGGTTTGGACCCCCTTTTGCCCTCAGAACTGCCTTATTCCAACAGATTTTGGTCCATATTTGGAAGATTTGTCTGCTGCATATCTATGATGCTAATCTCCCGTTCCATCACATCCCAAATGTACTCTATTGGATTGAGATATGGGGACTGTGGAGGCCATTTGAGTACAATGAACTCATTTTCATGTTCAAGAAACCAGTCTTTATGACATGGCACGTTATCCTGCTGGAAGTAGCCATTATAAGATGGGTACACTGTGGTCATAAAAGGATGTACATGGTCAGCAACAATACCTATGTAGGCTGTGGGGTTGACACAATGCTCAATTGGTACTAATGGGCCCAAAGTGAGCCAAGAAAATATCCCCCCACACATTACACCACCAGCCTGAACCGTTTATACTAGGCAGGATGGATCCATTTATGTTGTTCATACCAAATTCAGACTCCGCTGTTCTAATTTATCTTTTTCGGACCATTCTCTGTAAACCCTAGAAATGGTTGTGCGTGAAAATCCCAGTAGATCAGCACTTTCTGAAATACTCAGCCCAGCCTGTCTGGCACCATCAACCTTGCCATGTTCAAAGTCACTTAAATCACCTTTCTTCCCCATTCTGATGCTCAGTTTGAACTGCAGCAGATCGTCTTGACCATGTCTACATGCCTAAATGCATTGAGTTGCTGCCATGTGATTGGCTAATTATAAATTTGCATTAACGAGCAGTTGGACAGGTGTACCTAATAAAGTGGCGAGTGAATGTATATATATTTATAATATGTATGATAAAAGTGTGCAAGTGTTTTTTTTATTAATACTATAATGATTACTACAAATTACTTTGTTGTTGTTAAGAAATAATTGAATATTTTTTTCTCTTTATTTTTAGATGGTAAAAAAAGGATCAAATCTATGAGCTAAAGAAGTAAAGGTCAAAAGCAATCAATATTATTACGATTTCTAAATCATTTACCTAGCATTGGAGAACCGCAATTTATTTTTACTCAATAATTGAATATAAAGGCTACATGTTACAAATAAGCTTTATCAATATTAAACACAAAAGTGTCAGTTAAACAACTTCATTTGCTTTAGGAACTTTATTATTATTATTTATTATTTTTTAAGATGCTAAATATTGTGGGATGTGTATGATGAAAGTGATTCATTGTATATTCACCTTGTATGAAAAGCTGATAATGTTGAAGAGCGAGTCTCTGAGTGAAGCTTTAGTTAATAAAGTTTGGATTATTAAATTCTTCACCGCTCCTAAAACGCCACTCATTCCCTCTGAGCAGTCCAGAACAAAGCTGATATTTTTGCCTTTACCCATAAACAAGGGTAGGAAGTTTCGGCTGTTAGATTCCTGAGGACTTGATGTCATTGTAGATCTGACAAAATAATCTGCAAAACAGTCAAATCAGCAAAATTACAGTTGACATCTGACTGACTTCTATTAACACAAACAGCTCTTCAAGTTATTTAGAATTGAATATCTGTAAAATTGTGTTACATGTAAATAAATGTAATCATACCTTAATCCTGGTTCATTGAACACACCTCCAAATTTTGACAATTTTTGTTCTTTCCCTAAAATACTACACAGGGATCTGTGCCTCGACTGTGTACTGAGGTTGCCATAGTGAGCCACTGACCAGCCTGAAACCGTCATTGCATCCATCTAGTGGTGACAGAGAGTATCTGGTGTGCTCTTGGGAACATGTTTTTAATGTGATTGGAGTCTGGAGAGTTATGGCTTGGTGTTCATGTTACAGGATGTAGAATAGTCTGTTAATGGCATAAATACCCAAAATATACACTGTAAAAATTATCTGTTAATTAACAGTTTCCGTATTTTTTGTTTTTCCATCTATTTATTGTTGTGAATTTCATAATTGGAGCTTGAACTCTGTCTGCTCTGTTGATTTTTGACGTTAAAAATTCAACTCTACTACAGCTTAACAAAGTGACTTTTAGTAGTTTTAGTAGTTTGATAACTTGTACGAAATGATATATAAATAACTAATCTGTAAAATACCAGAATATACTGCCAGTTATTACAAGGTTTTTGCAGCATAAAATTCAACACCAAACCAGACAATATATATCACTTTAAACTATTAAAGATGTTCTTAAAAGTCACTTTCCCCAACTTTTTATGGTTAAAAGTTGTCAGAAGAAAGATTAAGGTCTCATAATGCGATTCAGAAGCATAAATATTAATAATAAAAAAACATTAATCACAAAATATGTAAAACTGCTCATTTACAGTGTACATTCCCCAAAAGAAACAAGATATTCTGATAAGAATGTTGGGGGAAAGCAGCCATTGACATTCATTGTATCAAAAAATACTATGGAAGTCAATAGACATTATTCCCCCGACATTCTTCAGAATATCTTGTTTTGTGTTCAACAGAGGAAAGGAATTCATAAAAGTTTAGAACAGAGTTGTCAAAACTCTTGAGGGCTAGTGTCCTGCTGAGTCTAGCTCTAACTGCTTTAACAAACCTGCCAGAAAGTTTCTAGTATATCTAGTAAGAGCTTGCTTAGCTGGTTCAGGTGTGTTTGATTAGGGTTGGAGCTAAACTCTAGAGGACATCGGCCCTTCAAGACTGAGTTTGGACACCCCTGGTTTAGAACCATTTGGTGAAGAAATGGTGAGGAAATTTTAATTTGGTGATAACCTATCTCAAATCAAAATTCTCACCATTTCTTCACCAAGTGGTTCTAATTTTTTAATGACTTCCTTTTCTCTGCTGAACACAAAATTGTAAAGATGACACACATGGCATAAACATTGGAGGGTGAATGTTCATGTCTAAGCAAAATAATAATCATGGGTGAATTGAATATTAAGACTCAAATCGTTTTAGATATCATTGACTAATAGAAGTCAATTATCATCAAGGCTATTGGATTCTTAAAGGGATACTTCATCCAAACATGAAAAATTAGGTACATGACAGAAGAAATTAAGAGACATTTCAACACATCTTTATGTATTGGAATGACATGAGTGTGAATAATTGGAGTCTCCAAGTATTGAAATTTTCTTCTAATGAGCATTTTCTCAGTGCTCTGTGTAGGTTCTGTAATTTCACTGTTATGGCAAAGAATATTCTAAAATAATCATTTTATAGTCAAAATTGAAAATACACTTTTTTTTTTGCATCTGAATCCATCAATTAAAGACAGATTTTATATTTTCATGGTAACTGTCCCTTTATTTTGACTACTAAAGAAAATACATGAATGCATAATTTCAAATAATTTAATTTGTGATTTAATAATAAAAAAACACTCTACAGGCCCTCCTTTTATTGGGGCTCTAGAAATGACATTTGCCTCTGTATGTAATGCATGGTGATTGTAAGATTAGTGGGTTTGATTATCTTTATCATTTAAAAAGGGCTGAAAGTTAAAAATTTGCATGACGGGTTTAACAGAAACTCACGTGAGAAATTGCACCACAAAGGTTGAGCTGAAACTGATTTCACAACCTGAGCCCAGACTCTCTGTCCAAAAATAGACATGTCTGGCCATCTCCTCTTCCACAGAAGCTGAAATGCGAAAAAGAAACTGAGGTGAGAAAAGCCGATGAAACATAGATGATGTTTTGGAAAAAGGACCCAACTATGGCAGATTAAAGAATTGAAAAAGCTAAGAAAAAAAGCACAAAGAACAATTCTGAACGACTTGAATGTTATAAATTCATATTTACATTGACTGAACTTTCTTTATTTTTGAAAATTTCAATCTCACCATGCTGGCCTTTAAGATATGTAATCATATTAATTGTATTAAAAGAATTTAATTACAACTAATAAAGCCATATCAGTATTTATTATAAAAACGATATATAACTATATTTTCTAAAATATATAACGCACACAGTTGGGGTAAAAATTAGACCATGTAAATTCTCATTATCTCTGTATACGATTTATAGTAATGCGTTTGAATAAAACATGTTTGTTTTTTAATGCAGTTGTCATTTATTCCCAATTAAAAAGAACATTTTTTGTCCATTACAGTGTAAAATGACAATTGGTCAGCATAACAGTCTGTTTATATTTATTTTTTGACAACACAATACCAATATTTTAACTTCAGAAGCAGTAAGAACACAATGGCTATTTGGTTTCAGTTGCAACAAATAAAATAAATGCTCTAATCATTTTTTTTAATCAAACACCTATTAAATCCAGAACAGCCAGAGTCTATTAGATGGACAGTTAACTCAATACTTGAAAATTCTGCCATTTCCTCGCCCTTGTCACAAATCTTAAGTTCCTGTCTTCTGTGAGCACAAAAAGATATTTTGAAAAATGTTGTAAACAGTAACCATAGACTTCCTAATTTGTTTTTGCTATGGAAGAATGGTTACTGGTTTCAAACAATTTTCTAAATTTGATCTATTGTGTTTTCATAAAGGTTTGGAACCACTTGAAGGTGAGTAAATAGTAAGTAAATAATATTATTTGAGAGCTATCATTTTAAATAGTTTCAATAGTTGTATGTCTTGTTCAAAATACAGCCAGTGGCCTATGTCTATCTGAATATAAAAACAACGTACTTGTAAACGTGTTAAAATTGAAATGTTTATTGTTTTGTATGAAAACATATACGACATACAGTAAAAAGGCAAGTTACAAGAGTTTATGACATCAGCGAAAGGTGAAGCTGTTCTACTGCACTGCATTGCCCAGGCATCCTCACTCCAGCCATGACATAATGCGATTCAAAATGGCGACCGTGCCTTCGGTGACACGCTGTTAATATCTGCGGTTAGCACAACAATATAACCACTGGTCGCGTTATAGCTTTCAAATAAATATACACAAAACCCACGGCATCTATCCGCCTAATTGATATACCATGCCCAGACGCTTCTGTGCGAGATTTGCTTATTCACGCTTGAACAATACACCCAACAGACCCGAATGGCGTCCCTAAGGTGCCCCGGAACGTGAATTTCTGACAACACGAATTCGCACCGAAGGAAGTTTAACCAATGGTAAAGTGTCAGCATCCTGCTTCAGCCAATCACAACCGCGTATTAAGAATCGGTTGAAGGGACTCTTTTGTTATTCAGATTCTGGGGTTGTATATTCTGCATAGCGTTTCCTGCCCTGGTGCATGGTGGTCGAACGAAGGGATTGTTGGAAAATTTTCGGAGGTTAGTATATAAATGTGTTTTTACCCAGTGTGCCTTATTTCCTCAGACGCCGCTTAGCCGGAAAGCGTGGCGATGGGAGAGCGGTGGAATTCGATGTGGAATGCAGAACGAAATAAACTCGTGAAAATGCATCGGAAGCGGTGTTTTATTTATTAAAGGCAGTTGGACGCAGGGTTGTAATCGGTTGCAACAATTGTAACGATCCGATTGTGATTGTCAAGTTACTGCCGCAGCGAATTCGCTGCGGGCTAATGGTCGTCCCATTCTGTTTTAAACAGCTTTATTTAAGACGGAAACGTTTTGTTTAAGTTTGTGTGATTGCATAAGTTTATGAATCCCAACGAGAGTATATTATGTAAACGAGAGGAAACGTCAAGAGTAAAACGCGAGCATTATTGTAGCATATTTGCTAACATGTGATGATGGGTTAGCATGACAGATGTCCTGTCAACTAATAAAGCTAAGAACTGACGAACAACTTTACATCAGCTGCTTTTTGCGATTTAATTTTTGTAATTGTGCAATTATTTTTATATTCCCAAGTTGTGTTCTTTAAATATGTTTCCGCTATTTGGCTAAAATGGACATCAGAAATGCCCGCTCTAATGCGGTAGTTCGTGTATATTTGGTGAGCTTGCCAAATCGCAACGTTCCTATTATTGCACCACTTTGCAGAATGCAATGTTTTTTCTTAGACAAGCAGTTTTATTTTTAATCCCCAAAATAACCATTGCCTGTTAATTATGAAATTAATGTATTAAAGCATTTTTTAAATACTCCAAAATCCATAAATAAATGCTGAAATACATATAGAGAACACATCGGTTTATTCCCTTTTAAATTTTTCATTAGTTTGTTCTAATAAATCTTTATTTTCCTTTTAAAAATCTCTGCAAGCCACGTATGATGATCAGAGTTGGTCTATGAGACATAAAACATTTTATAAGTGAAGCTAGCAGATGTGCTAGTGTATCGGAATGTAAAAATCCCCCCAAAATGTATTCAGTCTGTAATGAGTAGTTAGTTACTAGTAGAACGGAAATGGGAATCGGCAACATTTGAAAGTGAATAATCAAAATACGTATTACAGATTTATAGCTAATACTGCATTAGTTAACAGTGTTTCTAAAGCATTGAAATGATGATAACATCAAAAATTGATATTAGTTTATAAAGCTGTCTATTTAGTTAGCACTCTCAATGATTATTAATTGTCAATAATAATAATATTGTATAATTGTTATAAAGGTTGTTAGTTTGTTGCATGTTTTTTTAAACTACTGTTTTCACTACTGTATGTCTTTTTTATGCATTGACCTTGCCATGAAAATAACAATATATGCTGGTATGACAATAAAACAGACAAACAAAATGCTAATTAGTTTTAAGATATGCATATTCAAATTTAATAATATTTAAAATATTAATAACTAATTCTATAGGGTGCAATAAAATGTAGTACTGAAAGGTTAACATTCATTTTGATGCAACTAATTAAAATGTACAAATAAAAAGATCCTACAGGAAGAGTGCACCAGCACAAAACCATCATCATAAGTAATATCTTCAAAAATCAATTTGTTTTAGCAGTTTGAAAGTTAAATATTTCTAAAATATAATAAATAACTAGTGTAAAATTAACAACTTTAATAACACACCATAACAGTAAAGCTGCCCAGGTCTGTATTATTTCTGTTATTAAACACCAAATCATTGACGGCTGTTGGCTGGTTTGTACAGGCAGATCATGCTGTTAGCCCAGGTGAATCGGGACACCCAGGGCATGGAGTTTCAGAGTGTGGACGGGGACCCACAGCAGGTCACCCTTTGCCTGACAGAGGCAGTAACAGTTGCAGGTGAGGTGGATATGCATAAAATATCTGCAACAGTATTGTACTTCATGCATATTCCAGCACAGACACATAACAGCCAACTGTTGCCATACAGATGACAATATTGATGGAATGGACACCGTGAGCCTGCAGGCAGTGACTCTGGTGGATGGATCCACAGCATACATCCAACATAGCCCTAAAGGTACTGGAACTACATTTTTAGAGCTACTTTTTAGGCACACAATCTTCTATTCTGCACTTGAAATGCTATTTGATTTACACTTTTGAAGGCATCCTGTATATAATATAGGTTGCATTAAATAACTTGACTGCATATTTTTTGTCTTGCACACTTGCTGTTCAAATCTTACAGCATATAACAGTTTCTCTCACAGAAAACAAAATAATGGAGGGACAAGTGATTCAGCTGGAGGATGGATCTGCTGCTTATGTCCAGCACCTGCCAATGTCTAAAACGGGTATATTATTTAGTGTTAATTAGTTGATTACTTGCATGCATATTACTAGTATTTATGGTAATTGCAAAGCACACATAACCAGATCATATTTGATTTTATAAGTAACCTTTTTTCATAGGTGGAGAAGGTTTGAGGCTAGAAGATGGGCAAGCTGTGCAACTAGAGGATGGAACGACTGCTTACATTCACGCACCCAAAGGTCTGTCTCTGAATGGCTGTTTATTACAGTGGATTGGGCATGTTAAGGATTCTACTTAATTGTATTGTAACTGTATTTTCTGTGTTATGTTATTATAATCTAATTGACTTCTATAATTATATTAATGTCAAGAAAAATGTGTTTAAACTGTCACATAGGGCTGCACGATTTTGGAAAAACCTGATACTGCAATATTTTATTTGTCTGCGATTAAATATTGCAATATGAATACAGTTTTTACAAGATGATTTGAATAGCACTATTTGGTGGTTTTCTAGGGAGTATAACAGTATTCAGGTACAGAAATTAAATAATCACAATACAAAAAAAATGCTTTTCCTACTTTGTTTCGTTTCTAGTCCAAATATTAAATGAAAAATTTATAATAAATAAATAAAATTCTTAGATCAAGTAAAAAGATAACGTTTTGTTTAAAACTTCAGAAGAAATTAGCCAAAATTAAGAGTTTTTCCTTGTGAAACAAGTGAAATTATCTGCCAGTTGGGTAGGTAAAATAATCTTTTTTTTTTCGCTTTGAAATGTAGCTATTTGTACTAGAAACGCGACAAAAATTCTAAGAAAAAAACCCTCCCCCTTTTTTGCACAAATCATATAAATTCCATATACTGTAAATAAGGTAATTAAATACAATTCTGTAGCTCCTCGTCAACTATAATTCAGACTGCAAATTGCGTACAGTTGAAGTCAGAATTATTAGCCCCCTTTGAATTTTTATTTCTTTTTTAAATATTTCCCAAATTATGTTTAACAAAGCAAGGACATTTTCACAGTATTTCTGATTAATATTTTTTTTATTCGTTTTATTTCAGCTAGAATAAAAACATTTTTTAATAAAAAAAAGTAAGGTTTATTATTTATTAGCCCCTTTTAGTTATATATTTTTTGATAATCTACAGAACAAACCATCGTTATACAATAACTTGTCTAATTACCCTAACCTGCCTAGTTAACCTAATTAACCTAGTTAAGCTTTTAAATGTCACTTTGGGCTGTATAGAAGTGTCTTGGAAAATATCTTGTCTAATATTATTTACTATCATCATGGCAAAGATAAAACAGATCAGTTACTAGAAATGAGTTATTAAAACTATTATGTCTAGAAATGTGAACCTTCCTCTGTTAAACAGTAATTGGGGAAAAATAAACAGGTGAGCTGGTAAAATAAACAGGTGGGGGGGGGGATAATTCTGAATCCAACTGTATCTTACGATGTGACTTGCAAATGTGCACATTGTGATGTCGATGCTGAAATGCTTTCATTTTGTTTCGACTTGTTTATGGAGAATGTCACTAATTTTTGTTAATTTTTATTATATTTATTAATTTTATTTTATTCTGAATAATGCAAGTAAATTACTTTTGTTTATAATGTTTGTAGATGTTTATTTTTATAAAGCAAATTTTAATCTGTTTTACAGCATTTCTGAATGTAATTTTACAGTTTGACACTTGTTTCTTATTTTGTATTATATAAGTAAATGTTTTATTAATTCTGATAAAATGTTCATGTCAACAATCTTTCCAGAAACATATGATCAGGGCGGATTACAGGCTGTTCAGTTGGAGGATGGCACCACTGCATATATTCAACATATGCCTCAGTCCAACACCATCTTGGCCATCCAGGCTGATGGTACTGTAGCAGACTTACAAACAGAGGGCACGATTGATGCCGAGACGATTAGTGTACTGGAGCAATACTCTACTAAGGTGAAGATCAGTGGCCTGCCGCTATTCAGATTATTCAGATTGTTTACATTAGCTAATGTTAACAAACATGAATAATGCATTAGTAAATGTTGTACTATAATTAATAAATGCTGTACATGTATTGCTCATTATTAGTTCATGTTAAATACATTGATTATGAAACCTTATTGTTAAGTGTGACTGATATTTTTAAGATTTTTGGAAGGATGTTTGACATAGGCTTCAAAGAATTCTGAAAGACTTGAAAAAATACATTTAATATGGAATTAAATGTTTAATATAAGTCTTCTGATGACACATCATTGCTTTATAAGATTACCAGACTTAATTTAGACAATAATGCATATATAAACATTGAATGGTAAATAAAAAAAGTTTGAAAAGACATGAGGGTGCAAAAATTATGACAGAAATTGTATTTTGTATTTAAGCAGCACTTTAAATCATTTTATATCACAGTTAAGTCAATTCAACTTTATTTTTATAGCTATTTTTATAATGTAGATTGTGTCAAAGTAGATTATCTTGGATGTTAATGTCGTAGAGGAAGAATTTCTGAAGAATCTGTTTATACTGATGTAATCACAAACGTGTGTTTTTTGCAGATGGAGGCCACAGAGTGTGGCACAGGGTTAATTGGTCGAGGGGACTCTGATGGTGTCCATATGCAGGTACTGTCTACACTTCTACTGTTTTCTGCATTTACTGAATAAGTCGCTTATTAAGTCAGTGACTCACTGTTGTGTCCTCAGATTGTACTGCAGGGTCAAGACTGTCGTTCACCTAGAATCCAGCATGTTGGAGAAAAGGCCTTCCGATGTGAACATGAAGGGTGTGGAAAACTCTACACTACAGCTCACCATCTGAAGGTCGAATATTCATATTGATATGTTCCACTAAGGCCTTAGTAATTAAATGTTTACTTTGGCTGTGCAGTAATTTACCCACTTCTTGACTTCTATATTTTAGGTTCATGAAAGATCACATACTGGAGATAAGCCCTACATTTGTGATCATTTGGGTTGTGGCAAAAAGTTTGCAACAGGTAAAGGTTTTACCAAAAATAAAGCATTTCTTTTCTTTTGTATGTGCATTTTTACTTATTTTTATCTGCTGTTTTCAGGATATGGTCTCAAGAGTCATGTCCGAACACACACTGGAGAGAAACCGTACCGCTGTCAAGAGCTCAACTGCCTTAAGTCTTTCAAAACTTCTGGAGATTTACAAAAACACACAAGAACACATACAGGTGAACTTTCCAGGTCTGCATTTAAAGGAATAGTTCACCCAAAAATGAAAATGTTCTGTCATTATTTACATATACAATCTCCTTTCACATGTTCCAAACCTTTTTTTCTTCTGTTTAACACAGAAAAGGATATTTTAAAGATAGAGTTTTTCTTATTTTAATAGTCAGTGGATATCACAGGGTTTCTGCAGGGTCTTAAAATGTCTTAAATCTCAAAAATCAAATTTTAAGCCTTAAAAAGTCTTGAATTCACTGAAATATTGTGTTGTAGGTCTTAAAGCTTTTATCAACACGTCTTAATTTTTCTTTGTTCATGTATTGCTACCAAATCTGAACAAAACCCATACAATTACCAACAATAATCTCAATAAAACTTTAAACTTTTTATTAATTTTATTCAGTATTTTATTTATTTCAATTTTAACTCTATTATTCATAATGGTTTAATTATTTTCCTTACAATAACATTTGTTTAAAAGTGCTACGTGTATTTACTGCTGAGGATACTGACCTGGACAGATTGTTGTGCATACATTTAGATTATTCTAGTTTTTAAAACTTTTAAAACATTTTTTTATTTTTCTTCTTTAAGTTTATGTTGGTAAAAAGTGTCTTGATACAACTAGAGCTTGCATGTTTTCACACAATATTTAAAATATTTTGCTAAGAAATAAAATCTAAAATATTGTATTTTTAAATTATTAAATTACTATTGTATTATTAAATATATTGAATTATATATATAAAAATAAATTGATAGGGCAAAAAAAATCTTTTCCATTTGGGTCATTTAAAAAATACCTTAGCCTTTAGCCATTTATAGGTCTAAAATTTCATTTATAATTGTCTTAAAAAGTCTTAAATTAAACTTGGTGAAACCTGCAGAAACCCTGTATCAGGTTTTCATCTTTCTTCAAAATATATTTGATTGTGTTCAACAGAAGAAAAAAATACTCCTAAAGGTTTGTGGAACCACTTGAGGGACAGTAAACTTTCATTTTTGTGTGAAAGGTTTTAGTTACTTCATTTTGCATTAAAAACATGGAGTCTGTTATTATCATTTTTGTTGTTTATGTTGCTTAATGTTCATTTTGTAGGTGAAAAACCCTTTAAATGTCCGTTTGAAGGCTGTGGGAGATCTTTCACCACATCCAACATTCGTAAAGTCCACATCCGAACTCACACAGGCGAAAGGCCATATTACTGTGCCGAACCCAACTGCGGAAGGGCCTTTGCAAGTGCCACCAATTACAAAAACCACATGAGGATCCACACAGGTACTTAGTTTGATCTCTTCAATTCAAACCAGAAGCTTTGAGTTCACAAAAACTATCATTTCAGACTATAAACTGAAAAAGTGTCTTAATGTCATCATCTTCAGGTGAAAAGCCATATGTCTGCACAGTTCCTGGGTGTGACAAACGTTTCACAGAGTACTCCAGTCTATACAAGCACCATGTGGTTCATACGCCCTGCAAACCCTACAACTGTAATCACTGTGGAAAGACGTATAAGCAGATTTCAACCTTAGCCATGCATAAACGCACCGCACACAATGACACCGAGCCTATAGAAGAGGAGCAAGAAGGTTATTTTGAGCCTCCTGCAGGTCTGCTTATTTAAATCTCCAGGCAGATATTATGATCTAATGATACTGGTTGACTAACAGAGTTTTTAAAATCGCATCTTTCTCAGAGGCCATTGATGACCCTGGGTTAATGTATACTCCAAGTGTGGTGGATGACGACTCTGGATCTGAGCAAGTGTCAGGATCTGAGATCATGGGACAACATCATGTGGCTCTCATATCCCAGGATGGCACGCAACAGGTTGGTGATGACACTAAGAGAAATCTGCTTTGTATTTATTTAGGCTGACTGTTTAGACCACAAAGACATTTTGTCATAATCGAACTAAACAGAAACGGAATTGAGACATGTGGAGTATGCTGATTTTAGTCACATTATTGAAGTGCAGTACAGACATGTAAACGAAGCAATAAAGCTATTACCTTCATGTGGGATTTTCGCAGCATTTTGCGACAGGATAGTCTATACATACACAGATGCATGAAATGTTCCTAAATGAAAGTAAAAGTGCCAAACTGCAGTTAAAGTCGAGAAATTAAAACTGAAACACCCAAAGTTACATAAAACTCAGAGGAAATGTGGACAGGGCAGTGGCACAATTACATTAATCAAATTATGTGCTATAACATGTAAAACAGGATCAAGAAGAAAAATTCAAAAAGCAACTTTCGGTCATCACCTAAATCATATTATTGTCTTACTCAGATTTAGGCAAATAATTTGATTACTGATGTCCATGTAAACATTTTACATGTAGTTTACATTTGAGCATGGGTAATGCAGTATTTTACATCAATTTCACCATGTTAATAAGGATTATTGTTTTCTCAACTTTTAAAAAATGCTGAAATATCAATTTTAGTACTTTTTTGTTGTGTAAACAAACCCTTGAGAAGAAAATCTGCTGCACCTGATTATTAGTAACACTGGTGTATGTAACATTTATCAAAAATAATATCCAATGAACTACATGTAGCCCTAAAAAAACAGACAAGTTAATGATCGAGTGTAATTTACTATAAACTGTTGTAGCCTATTATCATATTGTAACTTTCCATAAACGTCAAGCCTTAACACATTTATTTAAAGTAAAACTAAAACTATTAGTGTGCGACAAATGTGTTATATAAATGACTCGCCTGTGTCTTTCACCACAAATGCAAATGTGTGCACTTTGTGCATGGTTTGCTTGCTTGGTACAAATATAGTATTATGAACATACTCAAAAAATTAAATTGAATTAAATTCATGTTTATTTATATAGCGCTTTTCCAATGTAGATTGTCAAAGCAGCTTAACATAGAAGTTAAACTGAAACCGCTTCAGTCCATTTTTCAGAGTTGAAGTTCAGTTCAGTGTCCTTTTATTTTATTGCTAAAAACCCAAACACTGAAAAACAAATCCAATGCTGATGGCCAGCTCCACAAATTCCACTCCAACCAAGCCAATGGCAACATTGGCGAGAAACAAACTTTACCAATTGACGAAAGTGAAGGAAAAAAAACCTTAAGGGGAAACCAGGCTCAGTTAGGCACAAACAGTTCTCCTCTGGCCAAACTTCTTGTGTAGAGCTGCAGTCTAATAAGACATTTTGATTTAATCATATATATATATATATATATATATATATATATATATATATATATATATATATATATATATATATATATATATATATATATAGTTGAAATCTGAATTATTAAACCCCCTTTCAATTTTTTTTTTTTTTTTATATTTCCCAAATGATGAAAATGTTCTTCTGGAGAAAGTCTTACTTGTTTTATTTCAGCTAGAATAAAAGCAGTTTTAAATTTTTTAATAAACATTTTAAGGTCAAAATTGATAACCCTTTTAAGCTATACATTTTATCGATCGCCTACAGAACAAACCATCGTTATACAATAACTTGCCTAATTACTCTAACCTGCCTAGATAACCTAATTAACCTACTTAAGCCTTTAAATGTCACTTTAAGCCGTATAGAAGTGTCTTGAAAATATCTAGTAAAATATTATTTACTGTCATCATGGCTTCAACTGTGTATATATAAATGATACAAAAGACAAATCTACAATGGAAACGTTGTATAATATTTACTGTGGTCAAATCGGTTTATGCAGTTGTGTCTCAGGTAAACAATGAAAAATTTCAGACTTTCTGAATTTGGTTGTTTTTTTTCTTTCCTCAGGTTCTGTCTCAAGCAGATATGCAGGCTATGGGAGGCACGATTACAATGGTAACACAAGAGGGGACCACCATAACAATCCCAGCCCATGAAGCAATGCTTTCCTCAGGGGGAGCACATTCAGTTACTATGGTATCTGCAGACGGCACTGAGGGACAAGTAAGGATTTTTTTACATCATCCAGCTGGTTTTCTACCTGCAGAAGCCATTACATTTGCTGAATACACACACTTTATTTACATTTTAGGTGGCCATCGTAACGCCGGATCTGGCAGCTTACCAGACAGAAGAGGGGGAGCTGATCCAGGATCAGGAACAACATGAAGTTTCCACAAGCCCACACCCGGTCACTCTGCTGGCTACCTCTAACGGCACACACATAGCTGTGCAGGTATAGCATAAATATATATATTTACACACAGACATACACATGCGTAATGGAATCATACTCTCAAAGACAGAGTCACATTAATACAAACACACACACAGTTAGGAGGGGCTGGAAATCTTAAATCATATGTTTACTTAGTTTATGTGTTTACTTGGGAATAAATAATACAGCTCACAGTTAATGCTGTAAACCCTTAAGCCCCTTTTAGGGTGGAAACATGTAATTATTGTTGGGGGTTTTTACCATTAGGTGTTTGCTTTCAGGATGTGTTAAAGATGTCAAGTGAAACAGTATTCTGGAATGTTCTTTAGGTCTTGGCTTTGGAAAGTTGTAAAACTAAATTTGCTATGCATCTCAGCAAAATAATTTTAAGCTAAGTCAGATTATAGTCAAATATAGTCAAAGTCAAATATATTTCATACTTCACTACTTGTATTTCCTAAAGTATTTAATCCAAAGCTACAATGGCTATGTTTACTTTGACATCAGTATTTGAATTATTTGCCTTAATCTGAATAAGACAATAATATGATGTGGTGTTTGAGGTGTTTACATGAGTTGAGTTTTAAAAGTTCCTTTCATGATCCTGTTTTACATGTTATAGCACCTAGATCAATTACCATCATTGCGTCACCACACTATCCACATTTCCTCTGGAGTTTCATGTAATTTCAGGTGTTTCATTTTTAAAGTCTTTGACTTTAGCTGCAGTTAGGTAGTTTCACTTTCATTTAGAAACATTTTATTCATGTCCCTTTGACAAACTGAGGTATTGGAAGCGAGTGCGAAATAAGGACTGGTGGAAGACTGTTGTTTTAATTGAATTTGATACCGCATGCCATATGGGAGAAAAAAAACTCATTTCACGGTGTCTGTGGTCTTAACTGACTTGGTAGTTGTGGAGAATAGTATCAAACAGCCATCTGTGTATGGACTATCCTGTTGCAAAATGCGGTGAAAACTCCTACATGGCGGTAATAATTTGATTGCGATGTTTCCATGTCTGTACTGCCCTTCAAATCGTCATACTCCACATCTGGTTAATCCGAATTTTGTTTAGTTATAAACTTAGGCGGATTAGATTAATAAAATTTACTGTTTACGTGGTAGACTCTTAGAGTTTTGTCTGAATCCTATTAAAATCTGATTATTGGTGTCCATGTAAACATACAATTTACAAAAAAAAAGAAACTGTTCTTTAAAATTACGTATAAAGGTTTGTGTTACTTATCTCTTTTTATTTGTAAAATTTATGTAAAATTCAGTTCAGTTTTCTGTGATTTTAACAATTCCAATGGCAGGATATTTTATGATCAATAAATAGTTCACACAAAAATAAAAAAAAATGCTGTTCACTCACACCCTGGAAATTCCCAATAGAAAATAAGTGCAAAATGAATAAAACCAAAATCTTAAACAGCAACTATAAAGTGCACAAATACTAATTTTAAGCCCTTGATATTTGTATTAATCCATATACAGTGCTATTTAATAAATAATTTCCACTCATGTAATAAATAGCTGAAATTAGTTGCAGATAACTGTATAATAATATTCTGCTTGTTAAGTGTGAGTCAAGTAAAGCAGCTTCTGAGTCCAATTGCTCTATCAAACTTTATGGGGAGACTCAACAAATGGTAGTTATAAATGTTTACAATGCGATGTAATACTGCCGAATATCACGACCATTATATATATATATATATGGCCAAACAATTATAATTTTTTTTTATATATTGTTAAAATGTTGGGGTCTGTGATATAGCAAGTCCAGAGACTGTCGTGTACACCATGATTTTATATAAAATTCCCTTTAATGTGTGATAGGACTAAAAAATTATCATACAAATATTTTTTAAATATCAATTCAAATAAGCAGCGGCTTGGACCAGGAAACAGTGTTTCGTACGTCACCACTTAACAAACCCATGATCATTGATTGCATCATTTTTGTTTGTATTCATAGAGAACTGATTGATTTAGTTGGTTTAGTCCAATCAATCTTGTATTGATCGTAAAATAGATGTGCCATTCAGTTCTGATTAATGAGCTTACATTGCCAACAAAAGGAAAGTGTGTTATTTGAGTGTTTCTGTCTTATTAGAACTGAATGATTGACAATTTTGAAATCATTTGTTATCATGAATCTGTAAACAATTATTCCATTTATCTCCAACTTTCTCCTCAGCTAAGTGATCATCCGTCCCTAGAAGAAGCCATCAGAATAGCATCAAGAATACAACAAGGAGAAACTCCCGGCATGGACGATTAACTCATGTTGTATAACTTATCAATGAACTAAAGGTCTCAAGGATTTGTGTGTGTGTAAGTCTGAGTGTTGTAAAAATATTTTTTTCTAATGCTGGCATCATGATCGCTATATATCAAATATATTTTTGTGTGGATATGTACATAGCTGTTTTAAAAGTAGAGTTTTCTGTATATATTTGATTATGCTATTTTTGCAAGCTGTTAAAAAAGGTCTATGATAATAATAATAAAAAGACAAAATCTATTTTTAAATGTATTTTTAATTTAATGTCAATGCCAATGGAATGATGAGATGTGAGTCCTTCAGTTTGGAGAGAAGTCTTAAACTTTAAAAGAAAAAAAGCTGGTGGTTTTTATTTATTTATTGTACACCTTATAAACTTTTGGGTGCTTTCCAATTGTGGCTTTTATGTACAGATTTGCCAGAACGACATACATTATGGAAAGTCCCATCAACAATGGTGATGATGATGTAAAAAAAATATATCAATAAGACTTAACGGGCTGTGCAAGTGATTATCATTGTTAACTGATTGCCATTGGATAAGCTTTGCCATCAAAACAAAACCATGTGGCTAATTTACTGTCATGAAAACAAACAAAATGATTAATCTCATCTAATATTATATGATGCACTTAATGTATCGTGTTCCTGTGCCACAAATAACGGATCTCAATGTGCTCTAATATAAGCGGACATTCTCTGATTAACTCAAAAGATCAAACGATACCATCAATCAGATGAAAGAAAAGCATTCGCGCCAAATTGAGGTCACACTCAGTGTATATGTCGGGGGAGGGACTTGCTGACGTAGCACACTCAGAACCTCCTATGTTTTAAACTTTGGAAATCGACGCTCATTGGTGCACATCGCGTCACATGACCAACGGTCGCGGGAAGACTTTGACCACGCTTGTTGGTGGGAGGAGTAGCTCGTCATTCAAACTACTTTTGTAAACATTATAGTCTTTAAGGATACTATTTTGGATGATCTGACATCTTTTGAGAGGTTTACGGTTTTGTTTTACGTGCCGTATATCGCTTCGCCGCTTAATAGGAATTGACTTTTCTAGTTTTTCGGATATTCAGTTGGAAGTTTCTGGAGCAGCCATTTTTTTCATCCGAGACGTCGCCGTGGACGCTGGTTTGAACAATTTCAACGTCGATATCAGTTTCTGTATGCGGCTAAACTAAACTTGTTCGGACTTGTCACGGAGTTATCACTCGCCAAAAGAAGATATTTTCACGGATAACGTTAATCCATAAGGCGGACTCTTTCAAGTCTGGGGATCACTTCTCTCGCTCCGGTTGTTGCATCGCTGGATCGGTATTAACGTTAGAAATGTTCATCTAAAACAAAGTTACATCATATCTGCTTGATTTGTCAGCCTACTGGGCTGGTTTTAATGCCTATATACAACTTACTTTTAAGTTTTTACGTTTTATAGTTAAAAATAGCTGAACTTTTAACCGAAAATATGAGTTTCGGGGCTGGGAGACACGGCAAGTCTCCAAATCTTAAACCCGTTCGCCAGAAGCTGCAGTTTTCGACTAGTGACGGGGAAGAGGACAGCATTGAAGACGCAAACAACAGCACTGGGGCCGAATCGGGTTTCACGGAGCTGGACTCTCCAGTACCTTTGCGGCGCAGCCTAGAAAAGAGGCCGGAGGACTTGGGCAACAGTAGCCCGCTAAGCCGAAACCGAGACGACGACGAGTCCTGGGATGAAGAGGGGTTCGGCTCGCCGTCTCGGGTGAAACCAGCTTTTTACATGAAAAGCTCTCCATCGCCACGGAAAAGTCCTCCGGCGTACGATAGTTCACCCGAGAGGAGTTACATTCACGATGACATGGAAGGCTCCAGCTCGCCTATCCCGGACTGTCCCGATACACCACCCCACAAAACCTTCAGAAAACTCCGTCTTTTTGATACCCCCCACACCCCAAAGGTTTGTTTTTTCAGTTATTCGCAAAAATAGTTTGTGCGTTTTATGTACAAGTTTAAAAGTTTACATTTTTTTGTTTACATTTGTAAAAAATGTTTTTCCACGAGTTTTTTTTTTCCTCCCCTCGGTTGTTAACTTTTAAAAGGCAAAGTAAATAACGTTAGTCATGATTTGAAAATAGATTTGCATTACCTAGTGGATGAGCTCACCTAGTGACCTAGAAATGGGCTAACGTTAACTGTACAGCAGTTGCGTAACAATTTTAGTGAATCAGTCTATTGATACCAGAACATCATTACATCATGTCTAACGCACAGGCGTTTCCTTGTTTTCTGTTGAAACAATTTTAACGTAGTTTAATGTGCTGTGCTAATTAAAATGAGTGTTAACTGTGCATATTATTGTATTTACAGAGCTTATTGTCGAGGGCCAGGACGATGGGCTCGACGAGCCGGAGAGTCGCCCTCTTTACGAATGTTGATTCAACGAGTAAAGCCTGTCTGGACGGTAAACGAAACCAGACACCCAGAGTAAACATCAACCCCTTCACCCCGGACTCTATACTGGTGCAGTCATCGACACTACAGAGAAACAACAGGAAACGATCACACTGGAATGAGTATGTTGACTAGTTTAAAACGTCTTTTTCTCGTGTATTAAACGCCTAACGTCCAGATTACTGACTGCTGTGAATTGGTTTTAACACAATGAAACGCTATGCTTAACTTGGACAGGTGTGGTACAGGTCGCAGGACAGATCGTTAAATCCGTTTACTAATATTGTTCCAGGACAAAAAGTTGGCGAGGAACCAAACCCTCGTGTTCGCTTACCAAACACGCCATGTGCTTAGTCAGGCCTCTCTGCTGCCCCCTGTCGTCCGATGTCTTTATTTTCATTCTTTCTAATAAATTTTTCCCCTTTCTGCAGTTCATGTGGGGAAGACATGGATGCAAGTGATGCCGAGATTGAAGATGAGCTGATTCCACCTTCGAAGGTAAAACTTAAGCTATATATATATATATTAGTTATACAAGTATTTTTGATATTTTAAGTACTTTTAAAATCTTTGAATACATTGAAATTCACCATAAAATGTGTATTAAGTTTTAACTGAAAATGTATAATGTGCTTAACCAAAAACTAATTTTCTTTTACCTTTATTTTACTTGACCTTAATCCTCTTTTTTTATTTGCTGTTGTTGTTATGATAATAATAATAATAGTTATAATTATTTTACTTCAGTCTAGATTTTTTTTATCTTTTCTGAAACCTAATAAAAAAGACCTCTAACACAGTTTTGGTGCATTCCTAATGTGTCTAATAAATTCCTTACAGAGGATTACAATGATGGAGAATAACATGATGTCCAGATATGCATCTGAATTCCACGAGTTGGAGAAGATTGGCTCTGGACAGTTTGGTTCTGTTTTTAAATGCGTCAAGAGGTTGGACGGCTGTATTTACGCCATCAAACGTTCCAAAAAGCCTCTGGCAGGCTCTGTGGATGAGTAAGTGGGCATTGTACCTTCTTGCTTTTCAATACCAGAAACAAATCTGAATTATTTGTTTTAATTATTGCTGTGAATTGACCCCTATAGGCAAAATGCACTTCGTGAGGTATATGCACATGCTGTACTTGGACAGCACCCCCACGTTGTGAGGTATTATTCTGCCTGGGCAGAAGACGACCACATGCTAATCCAGAATGAGTACTGCAATGGTGGAACCCTGTCTGATGTCATTGCTGAGAACAACAGGCGCATGCACTTCCTGTCTGAGTTGGAGCTGAAGGATCTGCTGCTGCAAGTTTCTCGGGGACTCAAATACATTCACTCGACAGCCCTTGTTCACATGGATATCAAGCCAAGTATGTATTTGCTTGTTCAAATTTTTAGAAATATTGCGCTAATGTTTTAAAGATCTGTTGTTGTTGTTTTTTTGTGCTATATTTGACTTCTGTTCATGTCTTTCAGGCAATATATTCATTTCACGCAAACCTGCTGCTAGTGTAGAAGAATTTGAAGATGAAGAAGATGGCCCCACCACAAATGTGGTGTACAAAATAGGTAAGACACTGAAATTGCATCCCTAGATGATGCTAACTTGATTCATAAATTTAAAGAGGACTGGATTTTTATAATATTTTTGGTTTCAGGTGATTTAGGCCATGTTACAACGGTTACCAATCCACAAGTCGAAGAAGGTGACAGCAGGTTCCTTGCAAATGAAGTTCTTCAAGAGGTAAACCCTTTCTTCATTAAGTTTTGTTTATTTAGGTTTATATTTACATTTGTTTTATATTTAATTTTTTGTTTTAATATTTCTTTCCTGCAGGATTACAGTAATTTGAAAAAAGCAGATATATTTGCTCTTGCTCTGACTGTAGTCAGTGCGTCTGGAGCAGAGCCTCTTCCTACCAATGGAGACAAGTGGCACAAAATCCGACAGGGCATTCTGCCCCATATCCCTCAAGTGCTTTCTCAGGAATTTTTAAGCTTGCTGAAGGTAAGGCTTCTGACATGAGATAATCCTATATAGAATTAAGTCTACTATTTATTATTATTTTTTTCCATACTGGTTTTGAGTTTTTTTGTAGAAGATGCTGTATTGAATGCACAAGACCCATTTGCTCAAAGAAGAACCCCCAAAATGTCAATATTGCAGTAGAGACCAAACTTTTAGCAAATACTTGTTGAATCGCCTATTTTTAATGTTATCGAACAACTTTTTTAAATCTGGAGATAATTTAAATTTGTAGATTTTTTTATCAAAAGTAAACCTTAAACTGTTTTATTTTCTGGTATTATTATTTATGTATTATCTTGTGCATTATATATTGCTGTTGATGACTTTTAATTGTTAGAATTTTTTTGTAATTATAGAAAAGTGATATTTATAAAATGTGGTAAACTTGATTTATTTTTTTTTTTTTTGCCATGACATGGCCTGAGAAGCTCGAATGGCAATAAACTGAATTCTCTCCATACCAATTTTGAATGTCTGATTAAAATGTCAACATGTCTCCATTGACAGCTTATGATTCATCCTGACCCAACACGACGACCCTCGACCTCAGAACTTGTCAGGCATCCTGTTCTTCTGACTGCATCCAGAATGAGTGCTGACCAGCTGCGTGTAGAGCTTAATGCAGAGAAATTCAAGAACGCACTTTTGCAGAAGTATGTAATCACCATCCATGTTTTGTATATGCTTAATGCTTTCATTTATAAGAGGTAGATTCTTACCTAGATTTAGATATGTTGCCTGCTGAAACATTATAAAGGTGTTTGACATTTTAAAGGCTTCTTAATTTTTCTATGTTCGATAGATTTCTAAATGATCATATATCACACTGGAAAAACTAATGGAATGGAAAATCTAATTGTAGTTTTTAATGTAAAGTGTTTTAATTTATGTTTTTATGATTGCATTATCTAATTCATTTGTATTCATTTAGCCATAAAATCACTGTAAGCTTGCTGATGTGGTAATAAATAAACTAAAAGAAAAGGTCTTGATGGAAAGGTCCTATTTCAGAATGAACTAATAATTGTTTTTGTTTCTCAGGGAGCTGAAGAAAGCTCAGATGGCGAAGGCTGCAGCGGAGGAGAGGGTTCTAACCACAGACCGTGTTCTTACACGTTCCACAATCCAGTCCAGCTCCAGAGCTTCCCGACTCATCGGAAAAAAGATGAACCGCTCGGTTAGCCTCACCATTTACTGAACTGAACTCCAGTCTAAGGAGATGACCAATCCTGAGTGGTAACTACAGTGGTGCTTAAGAAAGACCGGTGCTTCTGCACAGACTATTTTGACTAGCCAGAAGGGTGAGACGGACTATCCTGTGACTTATAGTGCTTATACTGTTTGGTACACGCACTGTGGTCTTTACTGAAGATTGGGTTCTTCTGTGTTACATTAACAGAAGCCCTTGAGCATATGATGCAGATCTGCCTTGCCGTTTAGGTTTGCCTTTATAAAATCTCTTGACAGAATTGCCCTAAGATGGACACATTTTTAGTATAGTTCTGTCCTCCTGATCTTTGCTTTAAGTTCCATAGGCAATGGTCAGAATGGTCTCCCTGCACTTGCTTTCTCAAAGGTGCAGTGTTGCTCTTTACCAAATGAGAGATGTGTGCCCCTGTTGAGCCCATTTATATGTGAATGTACCAGATCAAAGATTTGTGCACCTTACTGCCTGTGAAAAAAAGAAACGCCTGTTGGGCCACAGAAGCTGGGGCTTGAGTTGGATTGCCATTAAATTGAGCACTTTGGAGGCAATGGGGAGCTTGCCACAGAAAGCCTGCTGCTATTCATGTTCGTCTGTATTCAGTTAGGGTTGGAAGATTTTTATTTTAAGAATAACTTTAAATCATTTTATCCATCCAAGCAAGCGAGCAATATTTTGAGCTCATTATTCAAACATGTTTGCTCCAGTGTCACTTTTGTTGCAGATTACATTCATCGTTTTTTTCTTTTGAATTAACCATGTGGCAAATGTATGCTTAACTGAAAGCCAACGATGATTTAAATGTACATATGCCATTCACATCTCCAACCCTGTTTGTAGCATTAAAACAATCTTTGTCCAGTTCATCAAATGTCTTTTAGTAAATAATGTCTTATTTTCACTTTTGTCATATCATCCTCATTGCTAGGGTACTGTTTAGATTATTTGGTCTTGTTAACTCTTTGTTTGTAAATATGTTCATTTTAATAAACCCTTTACCCATACTGGTCAATTTTGCTTTGTTTTTCTTAAACATGTAAAGTGGAGTTGGGGTTTGTTTTGGTTTTTGTCGTTTTTGTTGCATGGCCTTAGCTGAGAAAACAAATTTAAAGTTTAATTCACTCTACAGTAAAATATTTTTAATCCTTTTTTTGTTTTTATACTGTCACATTCTGATATTAAGTCATCGGAACAGAATAATAACCTTTAGCACATGTAACCTCTTCTTGACTGTCTTTTATTGCTTATTCACTTGAATCTACAAGTTGTGTTTTCTTAATTGTTTGGAATAAGAGTAAGCCATTTAAACTGCCTTTTAAAGCAAATATTTGATCAACCAGTTACTTAGTAGCAAGTATGTAGTCAAAAGAACTTAACTGAAGTTCAACAGTTGCATTAGACTGGAAGAAGGATGATTTAAGCAACTTGGAAGTTGGGACGGGCAATAGTTGGTGCCAGACAAGCGGTTATTTCAGACACTGCTGATCTACTTTGTTTTTCGTCATTTGGATGAGGCATTAAACAGGTCCTGACTGTGGTCATTATAAAAATCTTATGGCACTTATTTCCTCTTGGCCCTTAATCATCATGGCCTCCCAATCATCCCCATTCACTGAATTGGCTCTATCTCCTCCTCCACTTCACCTATAGCTGGTGTGTGGTGATGCTGCACACTGGTGGTGGTGTGAAGAGAGCCCCCTCATGATTGTGAAGCGCTTTGGGTGTATGCCATACACCATAAATACGCTATATAACTACACATTACATGTTCCCGCACAATCATTTCTAGGATTTACAAAAAATGGTCAGTAAAGAGATATTATGTTCATTCATTCATTTTTCCTTTGAATTGGTCCCTTTATTCATCAGCAGTTCCCACAGCGAAATGAGCCAGCATATGATTTACACAGCGGATGACCCTCCAGGTGCAACCCAGTAATGGAAACGTCCATACACATGCACACTACGGCCAATTTTCGTTTATACAATTCACCTATAGCTCATATCTTTGGACTGTGGGGAAAACCCATGTGAACATAAGGAGAACATGCAAACTCCACACAGAAATACCAACTGGCCCAGCTGGGACTCAAACTAACAACCTTGCGGTGAGGTGACAGGACTGAGCCACCGTGTCACCTGAATATGAGGAAAACAATGCAGTGGTTCTGTAGGAAATATGCCTTAATGCCTGGTTCGTAATCATAACAAAGCATGTCTGTGTACACACATCAAACCTTGAAGCAGATGAACACAACTATTCAACTCCAGTCAGTTGACTCAATAAATTTGGACTCTGGTGTAATGGTGTGCGAAACATTTTGTTGGTACACGTTTGTCCGCTTATTACCAACTAATCATCATCATTTAAAATAACATCATACCACAGTCTTTGGGTGTGAAAGGATGTAGATGTGTTAAACGAAACAAAAGAAAGTGGCAAATTCAGTGTGAATAATGCTCACTGCTGTGGTGCATTCCTTCAGCGGCGCGCGCTCATCGCTGAGTGGTGCTCGAGCCGCGGGTTCAGTGGTTGTAGTTCTGCTAAGGTCATGTGACGACTCTATTGTAACATCTCATGAGAAAACAGTCCACATCAAGTGCGACGCCAGTCAGCAGACGGAGAAACTACCTCTGAAAATGGGACTAAGGGACGAGCTTCTCAAGGCAATCTGGCATGCCTTCACAGCCCTGGATGTGGATAAAAGTGGGAAAGTGTCAAAATCTCAGCTGAAGGTTTGTCGTTTTGCTCTTGAATTAATCGTGTTTTCTTTGAGTTTGTGCACTGGAGTGTAAACGTTGTTTTTAACGCTTCACTGAAGACAATTCTTTCAGTTTAAGGACTCGTGAATCATATATAGCCACACACTAACTGTAAATGTACAACTTAGTCAAACTCTTTAGAAAATTTGTTTCGAAGCGTACAAACTTAACGTTACTCTATTTCTGGGATAGAGAAGGCTGCTTTTCGTATTCAAGCTTATGGTCCTGTGTTAATGATGAAGAATTAAATGTCTAACGGCAGTCTAAATATTAACACATTTAGTTACGTTCCAACCCCTTCCCTAAACTTTGACCTTGTTTCAGATTCTTTCTGCCATTGTGTCAATGAAATAGACGTTTGTTTTGCTGCTTCTTTTGCTAAAGTTAAACGTTTACACTTTATTTATGATAGGTTTTACTGTATGTTTTAAATCAGTTTAATATAAAGTAAGTTGAAATGACTTGTTAAGTTAGTTGCATTCAACTAATTGTATGCAGTATTTTTCCATAGCTGTATAACCATTGTATTAAAATTTGTATAATATGTAATGTCTAGATGCATGCTTTTCTAAATTATGTCTTCACTAAATAAATTATTTTTAAACATAATTAATATTTCTAACTTTAAAAGCACTTATTTAGTGAATAATTATTGAACATCTAAAATGTCTTAGTCAGTGTTCTCAAACAATTATATATAATTTACCAAAGTCACACAAGTGGCGATTTCATATCCGTTACGTCCATACCCAAGCTTTTTTCCTCATGCAAAAATGTCAAATAAAATTAAATCAGTCATGTTCTGTAGTTAGCCAACTCTTATCTTTTTGATTAGCATCATTTATTTTGGGTTGTGCAGTTTAATTCACAGAATTTCTACAATGTTGTATACTGTAAACTTGCAGACGTTTTTGATCACATCCATAACGCTTGTTTATTTTCCTCATTTAAAGAACAAAAAATGTTTACAGATTGATATTTTTATACTTTCACAACTCTGTGGTTGGTTGTTTTGGAAAATATAAACAGATGTTTTAATATAATGTTAACATATACTTTCTCTGTGCATTTGTGTTTTGAGATTTACTGCAAATGTCGCATTTATAACGCTGGAATTGCTCTATTACTGTCTTTCAGGTGCTTTCCCATAACCTGTGCACAGTGATGAAGATCCCTCATGATCCTGTAGCTCTAGAGGAACACTTTAGAGATGATGATGAAGGTCCGGTTTCCAATCAGGGATACATGCCCTACCTGAACAGGTTCATTCTGGACAAGGTGAGCAGCTTTGTTATTGTCCAAATATGCTGAGGTTTGAAGTTTAAAAACAAATTTTGGGACAAAAACAATTGGATTTCGGTCGGCGCGTTGACACAGTGGATAGTGCTGTCACCTCACAGCAAGAAGGTCACTGGTTCGAGCCTCAGCTGGGTCAGTTGGCAGTCAGTTTCCTTCAGGTGCTCTGGTTCCCCCCACAGGTCCAAAGACATGCGCTATAGTTGAATTGGGTAAATTAAATTGTCCTTAGTGTACGTTTGTGAATGATAGTGTATGGATGTTTCCCTGTACTGGGATGCAGCTGGAAAGGCATCTGTTGCGTATAACATATGCTAGATAAGTTGCTGGTTCATTTCACTGTGGCGACCCCAGAATAATAAAGGGACTAACCCAAAAAGAAAATGAATGAACATGTGAATTTCCCCACATTTGAACCTTTTGAATAGTTTGTCTGTCTACTTACATAGTGAAATTATCCTTTGAAGGCCATTCTTAATATAAACAGTGCATGTTGATCCATGCACATAATTATTGTAATTCTTTTATGCATTTTCCTTTCATAATATTATTGATCCACACACTATAATATAAATATAGATTTTTTAAAAATACATGTTAAGAATTTTCGTATGAAAAAGTGGTCATGGTACACTAACCCTAATTTGACTAAAACAACTGGTGCGTTTAGATCTAAAGTAAATGTTAGATAATGAAACTCTTCCGAGCATGAGGATTAGTGTTGAAAGTATTTGGAAGAACTGCTTTCTTTGTAATTTCTCATTTTCTTGTGCAAAAGGAAACAGAAGGAGGGAAGAGATTTCACAATGCACCACAGCGCAGTTTACTTCTGGCTTTTAAGACTCATTTGTTTGCTTGTTGAAAGGTATAGCAGGCAACGTTGAAGTTTAATGCCTAAAATTCTGACAACGGAAAGTGTGATTATACCCTTTGCCTATTTTCTGCTTGTCTGAGGTTTTGTGTTTGGGGTATTCGCATGACTAGCCACATATTGTCAGCTTTCTCTGGTCACACTTTTACCTCTAATCGTGCAGCTGTGTGACTGACCAAACACTCACTCCACCCTGCTGCAGGGAGACCCGCCTTTCCCTTTTCTTTGCCTGCCATTTTGACTTCCAGCCAAGCAATTTAACTTGTGGTCAGTGGGAGAAAACAAGTTACAGTGCTTTACTTTTTATAGCATTACACTCAGACATTTACACACATAAACACCATTTGCCCACTGCATGAGAACGTACACAAGCAGCATAGTTTCACATCTTGTTTGTCATAGTTGGATGACTTGATTGTGCCAATTTGTGAAAAATTATGCCCCTACACATTTCTCACCCTTTCAGCTCTCTTGATTCCAGGAATGCATTGTCTATAAAGCGCTCTGATGTCACTTGAGGAACAAAAGAGCACAGACCCACTTCACAAACACCAGACCAAAACAGTGACTCTTGTCAAAAGTGCCTAGTGTGGTGTGACCGAATTTTCTAAATATGTTTTGTGGTTATGCTCTGCTAGAAACATGTTATGTTCAAAATGTTGTTTCTCATGCTACACTACCTGACAAGTGTCTTGTCTTCGATCCCAGTAAGCACAACTAATAATAACTTGACTTCTTTTGGAAAAGTGGCAGAAGGTAGATATTTCCAACGAATCATGTGTTGAACTGCATGCCAATCATCACAAACACTGCAGAAGACTTATTGGAACCCGCATAAACCCATGATTCTCATAGAAATCAGTCAAGTTTGGTGAAGGAAAATCATGGTTTGGGGTTACATTCAGTATGGGGGCGTGCAAAAGATCTGCAGAGTGGATGGCAACATCAACAGCCCGAGGCATCAAGACATTTGTGCTGCCCATTACATTACAAACCACAGGTGAGGGCAAGTTCTTCAGCAGGATAGCGCTCCTTCTCATACTTCAGCCTCCACATCAAAGGTCCTGAAAGCAAGGAAGATCAAGATGCTCCAGGATTGGCCAGACCAGTCACCATACATGAACATTATGGATCATGTCTGGCGTAAGATGAAGGAAGCACTGAAGATGAATCTGAAAATCTTGATGAACTCTGGGAGTCCCGCAGGAACGCTTTCTTTGTCATTCCAGATTACTTTATTGATAAGTTATTTAAGTCATTGCAGAGATGTATAGATGCAGTCCTCCAAGCTCATGGGAGTCATACATATAATACTTCTTTTTCCACTGCATCATGACTTTATGTTCTATAATGTACATTATTTCTGTTAAGTGACAAGACTTTTGTCTAAGCAAAGTGAGACATTATTGTCCTAATAAAATAATAAAAAATCAAAGCATGATCATATTTTAGTTTGGTACAATGAGCATAATCTAGAGTCCTTTGCCTTTCATAAAAGCCACTTCTGATACCAAATGATCAACTAGAATTCAAGCTATTATTTGTTGTTCCTAAAACTTGGATCGATGACAAGACTTTTGTCAGGTAATGTGTGCTTTTTATAAGGTGATGGTTAAATAAAAGTCAGTAGATTAATTACTAAAGATGGACACAATCATTTAGCAATGAAGCAAAACTAAAAACTTTAAGGAAAGTTTCTGTTATTAAGAGCTTTCTTTATCATGAAAATAACAGTGATAGAAATGTATAACATTTTTCATGATATAAAAAAATGAACAATCAACACAAATATTTCCAAATGATTAAAGTAATAAATGTTTCTTGAGCATTGCATTAGAATTTATTAAATGTGTAACACTGACACAGTGTGTTTACATGTACAATAATAACTCACAACTACCCAAAACCATTTTACCAGTTGAAGTGTAAATCATAACCTGGCCAAAAAAATGAAACAAAATTTCAGATTTTTTTTTAACAATGTGGCAATTTAACAGTTTTAATTTAATTAGTTTAATCAAGTAATTAAAATAAGCAGGATAGGCTTTTACAGTGCATTACCAACAATGAACATGTTGGTTGGAAGGATGAGAGAAGTCAGAAACTCGTAAGAATGGAAATTTGTGCCAGTGTGTCAGATAAAATTGCTTAAGATGCCTTAATATTTTAGAGATAGTAGTAAAAGTTTGCAGAAAGAAAAACTCAATAGAAAGAAAGAAGAAAAAAACTAATGGTTGATCTTATGCACCCAACCATAAGTAAATATGCAGCCTTTTTTTGATTACCTGACCTGTGTATTGATGGCACTACCCACGGATATAACTGAGAAATTCTGTGCTCCTATTGGCCAGTGTCACCCACCTGATGGAACTTGCCATGAAGAACGAAGAAAATATAAAACGTGCTAAACATTCTGCGATAGTGTCGTGAACTATGCCACATTACATGAGAAGAAAACATTGAATCTTGTGTCATGATGCCCATTTGACGTTTACGAATCCCTATGGCACCCTGTGTCAAGGAAAACGTGCCGAAATCATGACAAATGCATGTGGTCTGACCAAGGTTTAAGGCTGTATAAGGATGTTTTTTTTATATTAAATGATTTCTTTGCTCAAATATTTTGAAGATTGGATGCACTTAAAGAACACCTAATTGTCTTGTGCACATTAGCGAGCCATCAGTGATTCAGTAATGCAGGTGAAATTGGGATAACACTCTGTAAATTGATAACAAATGTCATGACAAATATTTTTGTTACATTAACTTATTTTAAAAAGTTTATTATAGGTTTCAGAATATTATACTTATATTTTTACTAAATACTTTTTGTCACTTTGATCTAAGTTGGGCTAAGCAGTGGGGCAGTAGGTAGTGCTGTCGCCTCACAGCAAGAAGGTCACTGGGTTGCTGGTTCAATCCTTGGCTCAGTTGGCGTTTCTGTGTGGAGTTTGCATGTTCTCCCTGCATTTGCGTGGTTTTCCTCCGGGTGCTCTGGTTTCCCTTACAGTCCAAAGACATGCGGTACAGGTGAATTGGGTAAGCTAAATTGTCCGTAGTGTATGAGTGAGTGTGAATGAGTGTTTGTGGATGTTTTCCAGAGATGGGTTGCGGCTGGAAGGGCATCCACTGCGTAAAAACATGCTGGATAAGTTGGCGGTTCATTCCGCTGTGGCGACCCCAGATTAATAAAGGGACTAAGCCGACAAGAAAATGAATGAATGAATGATCTAAGTTGATCTAAGACTACTAAAGTTAATTTGATTCAATGAAAAAAATTAAGGCAGCAATAATTTTTTACAGTGTGGCCAAAATTCTATAGGAATCTATCAGTTTGTTTATCGGTATATAATAACTTGCCTAATTACCATAACCTGCCTAGTTAACCTAAATAATGTAGTTAAGCCTTAAAATGTTACTTAGGGCTGTATAGAAGTGTCTAGAAAAATATCTAGTAAAATATTATTTACTGTCATCATGGCAAAGCTAAAATAAATCAGTTATTAGTTATTATGTTTAGAAATGTGTTGAAAAAATCTTCTCTGTTAAACAGAAATTGGGGAAAAAAGGAAGACAAGTTAACACATGTACAAGAACACATACTTTTGTAGGCATAATTAATTTAAAAACATACAATTACTATTTTAATGTATCAAGTAAATAAAGTCCTGGTGAATAGCAGACTTCTAGAACTTCCTGTAGATTTATAAATATCTAGCAATGTACATAATGTAATGTCACAGTGACTTCTTGGCATTCTTTGGTTAAATGTGCTAAATACTAAACACTGAAAAGTAAATGACCACCATTCAAGGAAACTGAGATCCTACATAAGTAATTTACTGTATTTCTATTACTCAAGGTTTCTTCTTGCATAATAAAATACTTAGAACTCAAATTAATCCTTTCGGTTGACTTCTAACTACAGTTAAGGTCAGAATTATTAGCCCCCCTTTGATTTTTGTTCTTTTTTTTAAATATTTCCCAAATTATGCCTAACAGAGCAAGGAAATTTTCACAATATTTCTGATAATATTTTTTTCTTCTGGAGAAAGTCCTATTTGTTTTATTTGGCTAGAATAAAATCAGGTTTTAATTTTTTAAACGCCATTTTAAGGACAAATTATTAGCCCTTTTAAGCTATATATTTTATCGATTGTCCGCAAAACAAACCATCGGTATACAATAACTTGCCTAATTACCATAACCTGCCTAGTTAACCTAAATAATGTAGTTAAGCCTTAAAATGTTACTTGGGCTGTATAGAAGTGTCTTGAAAAATATCTAGTAAAATATTATTTACTGTCATCATGGCAAAGCTAAAATAAATCAGTTATTAGTTATTATGTTTAGAAATGTGTTGAAAAAATCTTCTCTGTTAAACAGAAATTGGGAAAAAAAATAAATAGGGGCTAATAATTCTGACTTCAACTGTATATTTAGTTTGTGTCATTACTTGAAGGTCATTCCATATTTTAATATTCCACATTTGTTCCTCTAATATTGGACAAATTCCCTCAAAGAGTTGATTGCAAGTATTCTTGCTCATCGCTTCCATAAAACCTAAGCCCTTTCTCACCCTCATGACCCTTCACAGTCAGAGAAACCATGAAGCAGTTATTCAAATGCGCGATAAAGTCTATTTATGAATGTGATGAAGCTCGAGCTCCACTGAATACAAATGAACAGCTTCATCTGGAGAAGAACAGAGGCTCCACTGGCCACTCAGGTCTCCACAAGGCCCCTATTGTGAGTCTCCCGGAGAAAGCCGAGCGCGATGGGAGGTGCGTGAGTGAGCGAGGGATGAAATCTGGCACATATACTCGCAAAGAGGAGCTGCTATTTCAAAACAAACATACTTGCGCCTCTGCAACCGAGCGTGTGGATTACAGTGACGCAGTGTTTCTTGGGAGTTGTCTGGTCGCTTTTGTTGAAAACATTACTCCACCAGACAGTCTATAAATAGTGCAGGGCTATGACGGGTCATTTGGGCAATTTGGTGACTGTTTGTGAGTTTGGTTTTGATGGGATACTCCATTTGTTTTTGAAATAGGCTTATTGTAAAAGTCACCAAGAGTTTAACATTTGAGTTTTACCATTTTTTGAACTGGATTAGATCATTATCAGCTTGCTCATAGATTAAAAAAAGTTTTGATCCTTTTCCTTTATTTAAAGCTTGACTATTCTGTTGTTACGTAGCCTGACAGAATAGTTGCTATTTTGTTGGTTGTTATGGCTTTGAGCTATACTGTCATTTTAGTGTAACGTTCAAAGATATCTGTTGTCGTATTATAGCTGCAGCAGGTGCAGTGATATTACGCAGCACCTGAAAATAGTCCCCAGCTAGGTAACAGCATTTCGTAATTTCATTGCGCCTGCTGCAGACATGGTACGGCAACAAATTTCCTTGATCATTACACTGGAATTAGAGTATAGTTTTTATTCTTATTCCTAGTCAAAGATTTATTTTTATGTCATGTACCTGTAATTACATACCCATCAACCCTCCCGTTTTTGCCAGGATTCTCCCATATTTTACTATTCCATCCTGCTATCATCCCTTTTAAGTATTTTCCTGTACTTAGCCGATCTTAAATGTGATATAATTGCAAAAGCTTTTCAAGAGAATTATGCTTTCACTTTTTTTTTGGCTTGAATATAAAAATGGCAGCATTCATTTCATTTCCATTAATCTTTGCCCTTCCTATGCAACCTCTCTGAATCAAGGCAAGTTTATTTATATATAGCCCATTTCATACACAAAAGTAATTCAAAGCGCTTTACATAAACGTAAATCATTTTAATTAAAATGATTAAAAGAAATAAAAACAGATTCAAATGTGTTAAAACAGGTTATAAAAGAATAAAATAGAAAAGAAAAACATAATAGTGTGATCTGTCAGATGCAGCACATTGCTCATTCAGTAAAAGCACAGCTAAACAGATGTTTTTCAAGTCTTGATGTGAATGTGCCTAATGTTGGAGCACATCTAATCATTTCTGGAAGCTGATTCCCGCATCGGGGTGTGTAGTAGCTAAAGGCCGATTCACCCTGCTTTGACTAAACCATTGGAATTTCTTGGTTTAGTTATATGATCCTAAAGATCTGAGTGATCTGTTAGGTTTGTATTCAGTGAGCATATCTGTAATGTATTGAGGTCCTAGGCCATTTAGTGATTTATAGACAAGTAATAATACCCTTACTATTCTGAATATAACTGGGAGCCAGCGTAAAGACCTGAGAACAGGCGTGATGTGCTCTAATTGTCTGGTTCTGGTCAGAATCCTGGCAGCAACATTCTGGATAAGCTGCAATTGTCTGTCTTTTTGACTGTCTTTTTGGGAGGGCTGAGGATTCCAGTACAGTAATCACCCTGCTGGTGATAAAAGCATGATATTATTTTTGTTATTTAGAATCAGTCAATTTATGTATCTGTGCTGACTGATCGATGCTCTCTGTATAAAGACAATGTTCACAGAAGAGGAGCGAAAGGGGGCACTTTTGGATTTGGGTGTGTTTTTAAACAGACTAATACACTTAATAATATGTAAACATGTCCGTCATGACATGTTTTATTTTAAATACAAATAATTTTGTTTTAAATTAGCATATAGTTACGAAAGTAATCAAATGGGTTTATTATAGATCTATGCATTCCTAAAGTGACACCTTTGTAATTTTTACCTTTGTCATTCTTTTTAATTTTTGTATAGGCCATTAATTGTAATAGGCTAAACCTTTTATTTTATTTTTAAATAAATTGTATTCCATCACTTGAGGCTAATTTCCTCCCCATATTTGTCATGGATTTAACTAGGCTTATGTACAATTAAACTGCTCTAAATTAACAGATTGGGGAGTTTGGGGTAATTTTGGGAGATTTTTTTATCATTATTTTTTAGGAGTTTTTAACTTTTAATGGATAGAATAGTGCAGAGAATTGACAGGAAATAGTTTGGAGCAGAGAGAGGGGAAGGATCGGCAAAGGACCTTGAGCCGGGAATCGAACTCAGGTCACCGTGAGCACCATGGTGCTATATGTCAGTGCACTTAACCACTAGGCTATTGGCGCAGACATTTTGGGAGATTTTGTTGCCATCCCGTATTTTTGCTTCCCAATGTTGACAGGTATGATGTAATTACAGAAGAGTCAAGCTTTATATACAAAAAAATAAGTTTTTGAGCGAGATGCTAATGGTCTATTCTAATTCAGTGCTAAGCTAAGCTAAGCTAAAAGTGCTAACCGCTAGATTCAGAGATTAGCTGAATGAATTCAAAAATGCTAGAAGCTACTGTTTAACTCTAGGGGAGTTTTAAAATGAGCCTATTTTCAAAAAAAAACTGGAGAGTTCCTTTAATGTGCATTATAACAAGCGAACCAATAATATTGTTATTTAAATATTTGAAGATTTAACATTTCTGACAGCTGTAGTAGTTTGCTGCCCAAGATGAAATGTTTATTACTTAGGCAAAAAGTTTGGAACTCTTTCAGACTTGCAGAGCACAACACACATTTAGTACTACCTAAGTAGAATTTATCCTTAATGTTTAAAGACATAATTAAGTTTGTGTTTAATCAGGTTAAAGTTTGCTTTGCTTAAATGTTTGCAGTTTTCCCAACAGAATGTTCAGCACTAGTCAGATGGGCACTGGATGCAAACTGTGCCCAGAGCACTCCAAAAGTATCCATGGGAACTCTAGTTAAGTACTGAGGGAAAAACTTGTCTTATTTGCAGTGTTGTGTGTGCCTTGAATAGGTTTTGGGCCTTCTTTGCACTTGTAAACCTGATTCAGGACATTTTATCCATTCTGATCTTTACATCAAATCTAATTAGAGTCGCACCTATCTAACACTTTGTTTTACACAGTTGTTCTTTGGCCTTTATCCAGTATTTAGCATTTCTCCAATCCATAAGGTCTCATGATTATGAATGAATTGTTGTTTTTTTTTCCTGCAGGTTCAGGACAACTTTGACCGGATTGATTTTAACAGGATGTGCTGGACTCTGTGTGCCAGAAAAAACCTCAACAGAAACCACCTGCTTATCTCAGATGACGATGCCTTTAAGATCTGGTGTATTTTCAACTTCCTGTCTGAGGATAAATATCCACTGGTCATGGTCTCAGAGGAGGTGAGATGGATAACTGTATTAAAGGTACATAAGGCGGCACTTCGGCTCAGTGGCTAGCCTCTATTATAGCGCCTCACAGCAAGATTGCTGCTGGTTCCAGTCCTGGCTGGGCCAGTTGGTATTTCTGTGTGGAGTTTGCATGTTCTCCCCATATTCATGTGGGTTTGCTCCAGCTGCTCCGGTTTCCCCCACAGTCCAAAGACATGCACTATAGGGGAATTGGGTAAACAAAATTGGCTCTAGTGTAGTGTATGTGAGAGTGTATGTGTATTTCCCAGTACTGGGATGTGGCTGGAAGGGCATCCGCAGCATAAAACATATGCCAGAATAGTTTGTGGTTCATTCCGCTGTGGCGACCTCTTATAAATAAGGTATTAAACCAAAGGAAAATGAATGAATGAATGAATGAATGAATGAATGGTACATAAACCAGACATTTTGGTAGAAATGTTTGCTGGGTGAAGAAAACAAATTGTCTAAAAATCGAGGATATTACAAAATAGTTTGCAACACTGGCAACCAAAATGCAGTTTGCAAAATATTGATTGTGTTTTCAAGTAGATTTAACATACAAGAGACTGAATAGGATAAAGTTCCAATAGTTATATAAACTTAAAGTGATATGTAGTTCATGTCCTATTTATTATTATTATTAATTATTGTCGGTTATTTTAATACATCAGCATATACAAATACAATCTCAGCTATACTGTAGGAAATTATGGAAAATATACAAACAAGTAAACAGGATAATACTTATTAATGTAATGCAAAAAATCATCAGACTTCTGATCCTATTCTATTTTCAAGCAAAAATATTAGAAATATCCTTGCAAATGTATACAACTTCAACAATTAGAAACCATTTGTATAATTTTGTTAAAGTTAGAGCCAACTGACTTAACTTTTAAATACATTGTTCCTTATTAAAACTTTAGCTACTGTCAAATGTTCATTTCTAAGAGAGAAAATGTTCTAATACTAGATTAATTACAATAGATTACATGTCCAGTGTTACCAAATATCCTACACACACCGGCCACTTTATAAGGTACACCTGTTCAACTGCTCGTTAACGCAAATTTCCAATCAGCCAATCACATGGCAGCGACTTAATGCATTTAGACATGTAGAAAATTGGAGAATTGTAAAAACGTTGCCTTGTCTGGTAAGTCTCGATTTCGGCTGTGAATTTTAGATGATAGCGTTAGAATTTGGCATCAACAACATGAAAACATGGATCTATCCTGTCTTGTATCAAAGTTTCAGGCTGCTGCTGGTGGTGTAATGGTGTGGGAAATATTTTCTTGGCTCTCTTTGGGCCCATTATTACCAATTGAGCATCGTGTCAACGCCACAGTCTACCTGAGTATTGTTGCTGACCATGTCCATCTTTTTAGGACCAGTGTACCCATCTTCTGATGTCTACTTCCAGCAGGATAAAGTAGCATGTCATAACTGGTTTCTTGAACATGACAATGAGTTCACTGTACTCAAATGGCCTCCACATTCACCAGATGTCAATCCAATTATGCCCCTTTGGGATGTGGTTGAACTGGTGATAAGCATCATGGATGTGCAGCCGACAAATCCGCAGCAACTGCATGATGCTATCATTTCAATATGGACAAAATCTCTATGAATCTATGCCATAAAGGATTTAGGCAGTTCTGAAGGCAAAAGGGAATCCAACTCCTCGGTACTACTGGTGTACCCAATAAAGTGGCTGGTGTGTGTATGTTGGTGCCAGCATTTGTAATTCTTAGTTCAATAAGATTGTACAGATTGACAGTAGTGTTACAGTTTGTTATGTTTTCAATACAGGAAGAACGGTAACCATTTTCTTATTTGTCAAAACTAAGATCATAAAGCAAGAGTTTTTTTTTACTTTGAGCAATGATGAAGCTATACTTGACTCATCGTCTGTGGTGTTTTTTTAGCAACATATAAAACAAAAACAGCTGACAAAAAAAAAGTAACTTTCTTAAACTTTGAACTTGAGTGTGTTTTTAACACTCTGAATTGAGTTTGTTTTTACTCACTGTCTACAATTTTTTCTTTATGGGCAGCACAGATTTACTTGATGTGACAGTCACCAGTGAAAAACACCCTCTTGCTATAGGGACAAAGGTTCCAGACGCAGTCAGGAATTATAGTCGTGCTGAACTAAGCTTGTGAAGGAATAGTGTAATTGGACTTAATTAATGTAAACAACGTCTAACATAACACTAAACAATTATTCATATAATAATCATTCTACAGCATTTCATAGACAAGGTTGCTAGAAAAACTGAAATAAAAACAGAGATTTAATCATGGTTTTTGTTAAACATAAAAAGATGTTTCCCAATATTTACATATATTCTTGTGAACACAGTAAAAACAAGAACAGTCTTTTAAAAACCTCCTTTCATGATTGATACTGTAGTTCCTATTTCCAGTCATCTGTGATATTCTCATGAAACCGGATTATTTTTATTCTACTCTACTTCTGTTTTATATACCTCTACAAAGTTCTCTCATTCTGATTTGATTGTGAATGAGAAAAAGGTGTCTTAAAAAGGAAGTTGCCAGCTTGCTGATACATGTCACTGATATTTCTGCTGGTGCATATTCAAGAGGGAACTATAATGAAATCAATACAGTCCTTCAGAGATTTTATGTAGTTTAACCAACTTAACCTGAGGTCAGTATTGTTCAAAATGCCATGTTTAACCACTGTTTCACACTTGAAATTTAGTAATGGAGTTAGCACTGCGTTTACATGGGATTATGAAATGCTCCAGAGTTTTGCAATGTTTGTGTTGCCATACATGTGCATTGTGAAACAATACTGTTAACAGTAATCGTGTGCCACTTTGAACAGTCATTGTGCATTATAAATAATCAGGTGTTTTGCTATTTGAAAGTGAAGATGTCAAATTGTGATATGAAATATGTAGGTATTTTTTATTACTTTAATTTTATTGAGAACTTTTTATTTTACAATAGAACATTTTACATTCATAAAAATCAAGTGTTAAAATATTCAAACAAACAAACAAATAAATAAATAAATAAACAAATAAGACAAGTTTTGGGGTGTTTATATTGTTCCGATATGAAATATATGCGTGGTCATGTGTATTGAGATTGTATGTTACGAAGTATCTGCTTATAATTCCCTAGGATAATTCTGGGTAAGTTGAAGCAAGATAACAGTTAATCTGGGGGTTTATATTGACACTCAGGCTTAACTATTTGATTTTAAGTGTACAAAAACCTTCAAGAGTGCTTAGAGTGCATCTAAACAATATAATGTGTTACTATGCTAGTGTTATTGAACATAAATAACTAGCATTTGACTAAAATGTGTATTTGGTATACCATAAAAGTCTGCGTTCTCTCCCCCAGATAGAGTACTTCCTTCGTAAACTAACAGAAGCCATGGGCGGCAGCTGGATTGAGGAGAAGTTCGAACAGTACAAGCTCCAGCTGAGCAGCAAGCACCAGTGCCTGAAAGTGTGGGAGCTGATCGAGCTGGTGGGAATGGGTCACTTCAGTAAAGGCATGGACCGCCAGACTCTCTCCATGGGCATCACTGAAGTGTTCCACGAGCTGATTCTGGATGTGCTCAAACAGGTAAGAGGAGCTCTAGTATTATGCACCATACAGGGCATGAACAAAGCAAGATTTAGCTGTCAGTTCACATTTTAGTGCTTAAAGGTCCTGTGAAGTGCTCTGAAGTATGCATTCTTATTCTGTGTTTGATGTGATCTCAACTGAAACACGAAGAGAGGGTGGGACGTAGTGTAGCCCCTCCCCTTTAAAAAAAACAGCCAATAGTGTTTAGTTTTATCATAGCTATGCCAATGAAAGTGTTTGAGCTCAAGTGCATCAGATGAAAAACAAATGTGAAGCATCTGGAAGGGAGCAGGGCATGTCAGATACTAGAGAGCATTTGATTGGTCAAGATTTGATGACTTTAATTAAACTGTTGCTCCATTTGGGCAGAGAAGACAAAGTACAAGCTTGTTTACATCAGGTTTATATCTTCTGAATGTGAATTTTGTCACTGTTTTTCGAGCGCGTTAGCTTTTAGAAATCCTTAAAACAAACAAGACTGATACTAACATCTAAAACACTTTATTTTAATTTCTGGGACTTTTAATTTTGTTTTGTACACACATAGTTTGGTAATTTACAACAATTACATACACATTTACAGCTATTCTGTGCAGACTGAACCAATCCCTTAGTTATTGATATTTTTAAATGCTTATCATACATGTCTCTGTCTTCTGGCATGTATGATACACTATAATCTTCTATGTAAAGCTGCTTTGACACTATAGAAATAAAGGTGAATTGAATTGAATTGAATTGAATTGAATTGAATGTGCCTTACAAGAAATCACAGCGAATGAATAATGCTTTGACCAATTAAGGTTGCCAGAACTAACAATATGAAATGTTATTGGTTCACTATAAAATGTTATAGGTATATAAAATGTTGTCATTTTGGTGGCTAAATACTGTATGAGTATTAGTACATACATGCTACCACATTTCATTACAAAGTAAATGTAATTATTTAGTGAATGTTAAGACAGCTTATGACAGAAGTTTTGGATCATTATGTTTTATCATTTTGCTGTGTCATTCTAGTGATTACAAGAAATTTCTGCTTAAATTTTCTACCCTAAATTCATAATATACATTTTAATTATTGTATTATCGATTGTTGTGCTCATGATCCCTTCATGCCCTTTCCTGAATCTGTTTTAGGTATGCATAAAAAAGTGATATTGTGAACAGTGGTGTAAAGTAACAAATGACAAATACTCAAATTACTGTAATTGTGTAGTTTTTCTCAGAAATTGTAATTTACTTGGTAGTTTTATAAATGTGTACTTTGACTTTCCCTTAAGTACTTTTTTTGTGCTGTATTGATACTTTTACTCCACTACTTTCCTTCAACCTGCATGCAGTCACTACATTATTAGACTAGATGAATCAGTCATGTGATTCCTGTTCAATCAAATCGCACATATAAGGTAAATCGCATCATAATGAACTTCCTCAAAACATGTGCCATTTATAATTGCAGCAAACTGTGCATTAAAAGTGTCCAAGAAGATTTCCAAAATCTTTATACTCATTGACCCAGAGACTGTTAAGATGCATGTCACTGATGAGAAGATGACGGATGTTTACTGTATGATGGCCTTAAACACACAACAGGCACAGGACGTCAACATGACAACGTCGTGGGGACATTGCATTTTGCTTGGAAATGAAAATCGGGTTGACGTCAGAATACAACATCAGGCCGACTTTAATGTCCAACATCTAACCAAAAATCAACCAAATATCCATGTCTAATGGTGTTATAGCTTAACGTTGTGTGGATGTTACCATTATGACTTCTATAAGACGTTGGATTTTGGTTGCCATACCTGATGAATAAATTTCAGTATTTGACATCAATATGACGTTGGTTTAAGACGTTGGCTCAACATTGGGTTTTGGTCAATTTCCAACACAAACTAAAATCAACCAAAAATAAATGTAATTTGACATCATTATTGGAGGTCAAAATAACATTGTCCTTAGACGCTGGTTAGACATGGAATTTTAGTCCCTTACATAACCTAAATCTACCCTAATATTAACGTCTTCTGATGTTGTGTGCCTGCTGGGCAGTAACTAAATACACTACAGAATGATATGTTTACACACATGCATAAATTAGATGTAAACGCATCTGCATTTTACAGCGTAATACTCACTACTCGTTTCTCTAGAGTACTTTTGAAAGGTCTACTTACTACTCATACTTTGAGTAATATTTACAACAGAGACTTTACTCCACTTGCACTAAACATTTAGGCAAGTAATTTTACTTAAGTATGATTTTTCAGTACTCTTTCCACCACTGATTGTGAAATATACATATAATTTAAAATCAATTATTACTAATTAATTATATTTTAAAATGTAATTTATTACATTGATGCAAAGCTGGATTTTCAGCATTATTACTTCAGTTCTCAGTTTCACATGATCCTTCAGAATTCATTCTAATATGCTGATTTTGTGGCATTTATTATTAATAATGCTGAAAACATATTTTGTCTAATGTTTTTTTTTTTTTAGAAAATCGTATTTATTATAGCATTCTTTAAACAGCAAGTTTATAGAAACAACATTTATTATAAACACAAATGTGCTGTATGTTTTCTATCTTATCATGGATTTAATTCATCATTACCGACTAAAAATATTATGTAAAAATCATCTTTGAATGACTGGAGATCAGAATTTTTCATATTTTTCTTTATTAAAAAGGATCAACATTTAGGTCTCATTGTTTACTCTCATACTTTATATTTTAAAGAGTGATCTATTCTGCTGTTGCAAACTAAAATGCAAAGTTATGCACAAATTCTTTTTGTAAATGAATGTAGAAAATCTGGTTTGATGTAATCACGGTGTTTTGCTGGTTGTCGCCAAACATGTCACAATCATATTACTTAAAATAGTTCTTACCTGTTATGTTAATTTATTTACAGCATGTAGCCCAAATGCAGAGTGCTAACAGTGACCTTTAGTAGACTGACCAGCAGTCACGGTGATATCAGCTGCCTGTGTATTGAGGTCTGTATATTTTGGAGATCTGAGGACAGTGTCAACAAGCACACTGGCATCAGAGTTGTTTTCTGCTTTGACTATGAATGAGAGAGAGATTGGTGCCAAGGCCAGCTGTGCAGCCACAGTCAGGAACAGATACGGAATTAAGCAAGTCATAGGAAACTGTGGCTTGAGCAGAATGTAATTCTCACATGGCATGAAATGCATAGTTAGGTCCTGTTTACATCTGGAATTAACATACATTTTGGTTTCCGCCCTGATCAATGGAGAATTACACTGAAAACTTGGATTGTTTTAGAATCAAGACTGATTAGAGAGCATTGTGCTTTTAACTTTTTACCGTTCAAGTCAATGTCAGATGACTCGGAAGTTTAGATACTGTCTGGCTATAGCTTCATTTAACATAGGATTTATTACATTGGTTAGAGTGTTTTGGTGTTACCAATTTATTAATAATAAATGTATAAAAATGAATAAAATCATTATTTCTTTGCAAAGATGCAGGACACTCACTCTAATTCAAATATTTGTTAAATGAATTTAAATGTGGACAATAATGTATATGATTTTCAAAAATGTAAATGGTGTCTTAGGAACTCACAATTAATTGCTTGGTTAAAAAGTGTTAACCTTTAAATGCAAATCACATGTAGGAGACTATATTCATTGCATATGGGACTGTCAGGTGATCCAGGCCTACTGGTGCAGAATCATAGCTCAAATAAACAACATTTTTGGTTTGGACATGGTTTTAGACCCTCTGTCCCTTTTCCTGGGTTTTCCTTTCAAACTGATTAGGAACAAGTATGAACTCCCTTCCATGAAAAGATGGCATTCAGTCATTCAAGAGACTAATTCCCTGGAATATATAGCATGTCTTAGCTTCTCCAAACTAATACATTTATTTGCACTTGGTCAGCATACATTTGTAGTCAGATTTATTAGCCCCCCTGAATTATCAGACCGCTTGTTTATTTTTTCCCCAATTTCTGTTTATAGGAGAGAAGATTTTTTTTAACACATTTCTAAACATAATAGTTTTAACAACTCATCTCTAATAACTGATTTGTTTTATCTTTGCCATGATGACAGTAAATAATAATTGACTACATATTTTCAAGACACTTCTATACAGCTTAAAGTGACTTTTAAGGCCTAACTAGGTTAATTAGGTTAACTAGGCAGGTTAGGGTAATTAGGAAAGTTATTGTATAACAGTGTTTTTTTTGTTCTGTAGACTATCGAGGAAAAATATAGCTTAAAGGGGCTAATAATATTGTCCCTAAAATGGTGTTTAAAAAATAAAAAACTGCTTTTATTCTAGCCGAAATAAAACAAATAAGACTTTTTTTCTAGAAGAAAAAATATTTTCAGACATACTGTGAACATTTCCTTGCTCTGTTAAACATAATTTAGGAAATATTAAAAAAGAGAAAAATCAAAAGGGGCTAATAATTTTGACCTCAACTGTATTTGGACTACATAAAGCTTGCTGTATGTGACATTTTGAGAATCGGAATGACATAATGTCCTTATGGACCATCATGTATGTGTGTTCTGTTTTCTTTAAACTTCTCACTGGTCCCACTATATTGCATGTTTGTAGCACAATGGTTTATGGCTTTTGCCCTGTGTATATTTCTGTATATGCAGTTTTGTTTTGTGTCAGGCATTTAATGTTGTTTTTGTAGTTTTGTTTCGTGTAAGTACAAAAAAACAAAAAATAAAAACATGTTAATTTTTTTTAACACTTTAAAATAATGGTTTATTAGTTAAAGTTCGTTAATGTAATTACTAACATGAATAATACATTTACTACAGTATTTATTCACTCATGTAAACAGTATTCATTGTTTGTTCATGTTAACTCTGAGTGCATTAACTAATGTTAACAAGCACAACATTGGATTTTAATAATGCATTTGTAAATTTTTAATGACCACAGAGAGTCTGGACCTCGGTTTAACGTCTCACCCGAAAGTCGACACTCAATGAGCAGTATAGAGTCCCCATTAATATACTGGGGTGTTAGGACACACATAGACCGCAGGTCGAGCACCTCTGTGCTGGTCTCACTTACACCACTTCAGGAAGCAACCAAACTTTCCCATGTGGTCTCCCATCCAGATACTGACCGGACGCAGCCCTTTGTGGCTTCAGTGGGCAACCGTGTGAGAGTAGCAGAGAGCTAGCTGCCGGTTTTAACATTTATATACATTATTTTTTAACATTTGAACTTGATTAAAAAATAAGTTATAACATTGAAAGGAATTCGATTGAATGTCTTTACAAATGAAATCCTTACTTTATTAATTGTAATCCATTTATTACATTATTGTGTGTTTAAAGAAATTATTTACAGATCACTAATTATTTTATAATGCAATATATTTATTTAGCGCATTTATTGTGTATGGCCATACACCCAAATGGCTTCAGAATCATGAGGGGGGTCTATCCACACCACCACCAGTGTGCAGCATCCACCTGGATGATGTGACGGCAGCCGCAGGACAACGACGCCAGTGTACTCGCTACACACCAGCTATTGGTGGAGCGAAGAGACAGTGATAGAGCCAATTCGGTGGATGGGGATGATTGGGAGGCCATTATCGTACGGGCCAATTGAGGGACTCTGGCTTAGACACTCATTCCCATGTTATACATGAACACATAATAAAACACGCATTTTATGCAAAAATGTGATATTCAGAGATTTTATTAAAATATCTTAATTATTATTCCAGTATCTGTAAATACACAGACAATTCCTTTAGTTTATGAACATAAATGAGTCAACAGAAAACAATAATGAGAGCTGCAGCTTTAGTTTTTGCACCTTTGAATGTAGAAGCCATTTCCCTTTTTTTTTCCTTCAAACCAAAGTTATGACATTTAAATCACTTCTGATTAGTCCATTTAAGATTTGCAGAACTGCAACAATTGGCAGAAAATATACATTTTTAAACACATTCAACCACACAAGTGTTAACAGCTTGAAAGCAATCTGATCTAAGGCTCACAATGTTTTTAGAAATGTTCAAAAAGGTGTAGGATGACAAAAATGCATCTTAATTTCAGCTTTAAACAGGGCCTTTGTTAGAAAAGGAAGGGAAAAAAAAAGTATGAGTCAGCGTGGAGGATCCAGATTTTCTGGTCCATTTAGCACGTGTAGTGGTCACACAGAATGACTCATGGATAATTTGAGAAGCTGGACTTTATTTATTTTACTAATACACCGTGTGACCTGTTTCTTTAAGGGTTACATGATGAAAAAGGGACACAAAAGAAAGAACTGGACTGAACGGTGGTTCCTCTTGAAGCCCAGCTTAATTTCATACTATGTCAGTGAAGACCTTACAGAGAAGAAAGGAGACATACTACTAGATGGAAACTGCTGTGTTGAGGCAAGAGCTCATTGTCTTTTTTATTGTTAACATTATTAGCTTGACTTTTACTGGAAGTGCTGTTACACGTGTCTGCAATTGTTATGATGACATCATTCTGATGGACTAACTTCCTTTTCCTCTGGTTGTGATGACCTCATGCATTCCTCCACAGTCGTTACCTGATAAGGAGGGCAAAAAGTGCCTTTTCTACGTCAAGTGCTCTGACAAAAGCTTTGAAATCAGCGCCTCCGATAAGAAGAAAAAACAAGAGTGGATTCAAGGTTAGAGATGATTCATTCTATTGTCTCACACAAAATAAAAAAAAATGCACACATATTTTATAGTTACTTTTATTCTATTAAAAATATTACTTTTATTTTTAAAAATTTGTACTTAAAAACAACGCTTTATGTTTTATGCTTTATGTATGGTTTTTTTTTTCTAAAATTTATTTAAAAAGATGAAAGATGTTTTATTAATGTATTGGGGTGAATGATGAACAAAATAAATAAAAAAAAACAAGAGTCCATTAACAGTAGTTATTAAAATGTAATTTTTTAATAGGTAATTTAATGAAAGTCATTCTGATTTGTCAAATTGATGCTCAAAAAATAAATAAATCTTATTATCATGTTCGAAACAGTTTAATATTTTTAATATTCTTTAAATAGAGCATTTAGACCAACATATTTTATTTGAAATAGATTTGATTTGAGCAGTTTTATTAATCATTATGCTTTAATTTTGAAGACTACACACTACCTAAAAAAATTATTGTCGTCGGTCCCAGTTGTAAGAGCAGCAAATAATATTTAGACTTCTAGTTGATCATTCGGAAAAGTGGCAGAAAGTAGATTTTTCAGATGAATCATCTGTTGAACTGCATCCCAATCATCACAAATACTGCAGAAGACCTATTTTAACCCGCAAGAACCCAAGATTCTGAAAGAAATCAGTCAAGTTTGGTGAAGGAAAAATCATGGTTTAGAGTTACATTCAGTATTGGGGTGTGCTAGGGATCTGCTAAGTGGATGGTAACATCAACAGAGTGAGGTATAAAGATATTTGTGCTGCCCATTACATTTCAAACCACAGGAGAGGGCTTCAGGATTGGCCAGCCCAGTCACCAGACATGATTATTATTGAACATGTCTGGGGTAAGATGAAAGAGGAGGCATTGAAGATGAATCTAAAGAAACTTGATGAACTCTGGGAGTCCTGCAGGAACACTTTGTTTGCCATTCCAGATGACTTTATTAATAAGTTATTTAAGTCACTGCAGAGATGTATGGATGCAGTCCTCCAAGCTCATGGGAGTCATACACAATATTCATTATTTTTTAACTGCAGCATGACTTTCTATTCTATACTGTACATTATTTCTGTACAGTGACACAACTATTGTCTAAGTAAAGTCAGACCTTACTGTCCTAGTTAAATATTTAAAAATCAAGGCATGATCATAATATTTTTTGGTAAAATAAGCGTAATCTAGAGGCCTTTGCCTTTCATATAAGCCACTTCTGATACCAAATGATCAACTAGAAGTCAAGTTATTATTTGTTGTTTCTAAAACTTGGATAGGCGACAAGACTTTTGTCAGGTCGTGTACTTTTATTTGAAGCGTGTTAAATGCTACTAATATATAGAATATGTTTCATATTGACGTGTGTTATTTCTGTCTGTTCTGTCCTCTAAGCTATTCAGACCTGCATTACACTCTTGAAGGTGGGACGTCCAGCTCCGCACCATGAGGCCAGGCAGAAGCGGCGAGAGTTACGACAAAAACAACAGGCTGAGCAGGAAGAACTGGAGCTGAGAATGAGAGAGCTGCAGATGGCCAACGAGAACAAACAGAGGGAGCTGGAGGCCATGAGGAAGGTCCGTACTGTTCCACAACAACAACTGCTCAGCTTCTAATCTCTCTGTTTCTAATATAACACACACACAAATAATCCTGTCTCTCAGCGCTTTTTCTGGTAACTGCATGTTTTGTTGCATTCCATCCATTTTTTTTAAGCACATTTTGGTATAGCGCCTATAATAAAACACTAGATGGAAATGACAAGATGTGCATGAACTCTTAAACTTCTGTTCTTCATTGGGGTGGATAAATTGGATGCAATAAGGTGGTGTAAATAAACTATGATCTAAACTAGGGATGCACTGAATAGAAATTCTGTGCTGAAACCAAAACCGAAAATGCTTTGTAAAAACTATTATATCATTTTGTCAGACTTTATTATTTGAACTGTATGTTGAGTTTTTTTTTTTTATCCGAGAACAATATTATAAAACAAAACTGCAAATTTAGAACTCACTTCCACCCATCCCAACAAACAATTTTGTGTTTAATAGACGTCTAATAGACATCTAAACATAGACAGTTTGGCTAAAACAAGGCTAAACTTGAGCTGTCAGTGAAATTCTAATAGACATCTAAGAATAGCCCAAAACTAGACTAGTCATTAAATAAACAAAAATGAATGACTACACATTTAAAGTCTGTCTAATCTGTTTATTTCAAGACTAGTCTAGTTTAGCCTTGTATTTGCCAAGACGACTATGTTTAGACATCTATTAGGCATCTTTTAAAAACAAAAAGTGCTTGCTGGGATCCCACCCCTGGTAGACTTCAAAAGATAAATAAATAAAAATAAGCAAATTAATGCAATATTTTTATAAATAAAATGTACAAAGATTTGAAAAAGGATGACACAACATCAAAAGCTGAATGCAATTGAGAGAATGTCCAACAAATACAGAGTCTAGGTTTGTCTGTGCATTGTGTGAGGAGGATTCCAACTGTTGACTGGCAATTTTTGTTTTGCTGCTGTGAGAGCAGTTAACTGTAGACGTCTTTGTTAAACGGACAAAGTGAGGTCCCAAAAGTCATTCATGAAAAAATGACGTGGAGTCAAACATATCTCAGTGCCCAACAAAAATGATAGATCCTGCGAGAGTCCAGAAAAGTGAGAGGGAGCGACATTCTCAAAATAATTTTTCAAAAGTGCCTAAATATTCTTGTGAACAGAGATTACACTTATAAGATGACAGATTCATATAAAACATGTCATTGGAGTGAAGTAAAACCTATGCAGCACTTTCCATTGAATCATTTGGTGAGTAGGGATTTTAGAAGACAATTTTAACATTTCTCATACCTGATCTGAAAATAAAACATGCACATCCTCATTAAGATCCTTAGACCAAACATTTGTATGTTAGACTTTTTAAAATTGACCTCAATACCTTAAACTATACTGATTTAAAACAAAACACAAGGCATAAAAAACTGTGCATCCCTAATTTCAACTATAAATTCTAAACGCGGAGCAAAAGCTACTAGATTGTAGAATTAATAGAACTTATCTCAAATATTGTTTAAAGTCAAAATACTTCTTTCTCATTTATAGCTTAACTCCAAACAAATATTGTTTTGGCCGGACTCTGTTTGGAATGTCATATGAGTTTCAATTGAAATATATCAATCAAATAATTTGGTTCAATTCCTTCTCACAGCTAACTGATATGATTGTTTAAAAATATTTTGGGCATCTGCTACCGAAGCAAGATAACATGGCAGGGCTTGTTGTTGCAAGGCTTTTATTATATGGGAATTACAAGAGCTACGTTGGCTTCCTTATTTCCTGCAACTATTTTTTGTTAAATAAGTTTTCATTGAAGAAGACTCAGGAAAAAGAATTCTCCATATTTTCTCCAAGAATTCTACATATTTAAAGACAATATAGAAAACAGACCCACCCACACACCATTCCTCAAATAACTTGCTTACAAAGACCTGTTGAAACTTTAGAGCATGATGAAAAAAATATTTAAACATTACCAGTCAATAGGGTTTTTATCAAGGTGAAAGGATGAAAGAATGCCAGAAAATTGCTCAGGTTTTCTTTTCAAACTGTAACTAACTTGCTCCAAATTAACTGCTAAAGAAGAAGTCATTTCTGCAAGCCACAGTTTACATGTAGGAGAATTTGTTACCTTCAATAACAGTAGCTATAACTTTTTGGCTTTAGTTAAGCTGTATGAGAGCAGACTGTGTTGTGTGCTCAACAACGAATGTGTTTGTTCAGAAAATACCAGAATTAAAAGCATCAAATCTGGCAGTAATTGCAGCCAAAACATCCCAGATAGGACTTTAAAAGCTCTATTTCAACAACTCTGTTTAGTGGAGCAAAAAAACTATGGGACAGCATCTAATGAGTTACATTTGTCACAAAGAGGTGCGACATTTTGGATGTAGATTCTTTAACTTCTGTCTTTATTATTGATTTTATCTCACCAGCTTCTCAGAAAGTGACATTTCATTCCCTTAAATGACTGAAAAAGCACTTTAATTTCAATTTATTTCACTTTTTTAGTTGCCGATAAGTTAAATTCTCATTTTGGGTGGAAACAAAAGAAAAAAAATTGACAATTTTTAAAAAATGAAAAGATAAAGTGCTGTGGGTATCATGAACAAAATTACAATCTGCCCCTACTCCTGCGGTTTGTATGAAACAGGAAGTTTGTTTGTTGTCACACCGATCATTGGTGTAAAGGTTTCTCCAGGAAACACGGTGGCTCTTTGTAATCTCTCTATTATTCATGAATTTTGATTTCTCAGAAATCATCTCCTTTCATTTCGAGCACCATCTTCCCTATTCATGGCCGTGTTGTTTCACCCTAAACGGTCTGCACTGAAATCAGATTAGCTCCAGTGTGTTGTTTCACAGCTGATTGAGAGATGTGGATTGAGTGTGTATTGTAGTAGATGTGTGAGTGTCGGGGGTTTGGATGATTAGTTGTTTCTCATTTAGCCCTCTTAACCTTAGTTTGTCTTAATTTCTCGTTATCCTAATGATCTTTTCCAGTTGAGTGATTTAATACTGGTAAATCCGGGTTTAGGCAGACTTATCCTCAATGAGTTTTGTCATTAGCAAGGGGATTTAAATCTGTAAGATAAGCATGATCATGTTACAAATTTAGCACATTGGTTAAACTTTTCAGCCCGCGACCCCCAAAATAACAATTCCAGTGACTCGGAGGTGGTTTAAACATACAAATATTGCACAAAATGACGCACACATACCAATAGAAACTATATAAACATGAGCATATTGACAACACAAAAAAGTGCAACAGTCTACCTACCATATCATTTTTTTAATAGTCATTATTCATTAGTTTAATTTAATAGTAATGTCACTTAATGAGAATGGTGGGCACAATGTTACAGCACAGGATCGTTCATATATATATGTAGGGAATATATGTAGGGGAAACTGGAGCACCCTGAGAAAACCCACCCGAATGCGGGGAGAATGCAAACTCCACACAGAAACGCCAACTGAACCTGCCAGGGCTCGAACCAGCGACCTTCTTGCTGTGAGGCAACAGCACTACCTACTAAGCCACTGCATCGCCCTCATGTTTTTTTTATGTAACTACTAAATATTAAGTATATATTAAATATATTATAAGATAAAACAATTTTTATCTTATGTCGGTTATGGATAAAATATAGTAATTCTAATCGTTTAATAACATATATGACATTTTTTTTAAATTACCAAGCGACCAAGACTTAGGACATTGTCTGAAATTTTATATTTTTGGGAAAAAATATTTAAAAATAATTAAAAAGTATATTCAAGTGATTTTTTTTTATAGTTTTATATTTGAAATAATATAAATATATATGTTATTTAAACTACCTTAACTTTTTAAATAAATATATATATATATATATATATATATATATATATATATATATATATATATATATATATATATATATATATATATATATATATATATATATATAAAACTGATCTGGTTCACTTAATTTCTATAAATCATATAAAAATATGTCACTGTATTTCCTATTATATTTTCCTTTTTATATTTTTTACAATCACTGGAATTTATATAAAACTGTTGTTTTTAAACTGCTAATGTCAATATTATTAGCCTCTTAACTAATTTTTTATTTATTGATTGGCTACAGAACAAACCAATAGTTGTCAAGTAACTTGCCTAATTACCCTAACTTGCCTACTTATCCCAGTTAAGCCATTAAATTTCACATTAAGCTGAATACTATCTAATATTAATCTTGCAAAATAACTAATAAAATCATGTTATCTTGGGAGGCAAAAGACATTATTATTTATTAAAACTATTATTTCTAAAATATGTTTATAATCATCTTAATAACCTATTAGCAACCATCCAGTGGTGATCCATGATATGTGATTAGTATATAATAAACCAGCACAATCTTACAGCAATTCCTAACTTTTTGATTTAGTGGCTAATTTGTATGAATTTAATCTCATTCATACTATTTAGTACAATTTGCTCATCCCCCAATGATGGTTTATTTTAGGGACGGGGTTAGGTGCCACACTTCCTTTTTTTAAATTGTACATTTTTATACGACTGAACTAAATCCCAGTTAAGTCTGTAAATTTCACAATAAGCTGAATACTAGTTATCTAATATTAATCTTGCATTAATCTGATAACATCATGTTATCTTGGCGGACCAAATACATTATGTATTAAAACTATTATGTATAATATGTGTTGAAGAAAATCTCTCCATTTAAACATCACCTGGGAAATATAAAAAAAAATTAATATTCCTCAAGAGGCCTTCAGAGTGTGAGTACTGGATTAAATTGTACAGAAAAAACAGCAAAAGGTGTCCTTCACAACAACTTAATGACTTAAAAATATCAACATTGTTGCCATTTAATCAAACTGCGCTGAACGCTGCATGTTCCACAATATTATTAGACAGAGAAGCACTCTGTCACAGTAAATACAGTGTTAACTGGGAACAATCATTTGATTTACAGTGATGACAAGATCTCATTGTCTGACCCAATTGTGCTGAATGGAGAACAGTCCGACACTGTCAGTGTCTCTCCCCCATCCTCTAATACAGTGCAGGACAATAGGTGCCTGTGGAGAGAGAGCCAGACCCTGAGGGGTGCAAACGTTAACAATACCTGCCCTGTCACTCAGCACTGCCACCTGGAGCTCACACAGACCTGCCATACAGACAATCCATGAGCGAGACTGTGGTCCAATGTGCTCTCCACTGTGGAGATTGTTGTAGTACTTTTGTGTTAAAAAAACTATACTATAAAAACTAGATTTACTTTTGCTGTAATCAAAATCACCTCACACAATCTTAAATAGTGCACCGAATAGTGGAGCAGCCTTTTAAGTGGTTTTCAAATCATAGTGAACAATCTGAAGTGCACTCAATCAATTCCACAATGCACCACAATAACAAATGTACAAGCCAGTCCACTTTTAGTCACACACTCACAAACTTCCCTTCACTTGTTCCCTCGGGGGAATCCCCAATTTTTAAGAGCTTTGCATTTTGTTTAGTGAACGAGGGAAGCTTACATGGACATACGATCCATCCCTTGATTTTGACCAATGGAGCGAGTATGCTTCATGTGTACACTCCAGCACCTGTATGCCCCAGAATGCAACATGATTGTGATGTCACAATACAGCTGTTACCAAGTGCTCTGGAGTTTAGGGCATTCCATTTAAAGCCATTCAGATGTACCCCCAGTTGTGAACACATCATTCATTTTCCTTCGGCTTAGTACCTTTGTTCATCAGGGGTCACCACAGTGGAATGAACCGCCAACTTATCCAGCATATGTTTTACACAACGGATGCCCTTCCAGCTGCAACCCAGTACTTGGAAACATCAATACACACTTATTCACACACATACACTACATGGCCAATTTAGTTTATTTATTTCACCCATGTCTTTGGACTGTGGGGGAAACCAGAGCACCCGGAGGAAACCCATGCCAACATGGGGAGAACATGCAAACCCCAAACAGAAATGCCAACTGGCCCAGCTGGGACTTGAACCAGCGACCTTCTTGCTGTGAGGTGACAATGCTAACCACTGAGCCACTAGTGGACACTTGTGTAAGATAATCAATGACATACATCCAAGGGAACGAGATGAAGGAAAGTTAGCGAGCGAAGGATGTAAAAATAATGTGACGAATGTAGCCACAATGGCTGGAGATATAATGGCTACAATATAATGATAATGGCTATATATATAATGGCTACAAGATAATGTCTACAATATAATTTGTCCGTCTGACCACAAGATGGCATCCAGAGCTGAATCCTATTGGTGTAAGTTCCTAAATAAATTATGTAATTGTTAAATTAACGATTGTATACATGACAGAAATCCAAATTATGTCTTTTGACTACTAATAGACAGCCTGAGGGTCTGACCAAGAATTTTAAAATCCAATCTGTCTGAGGGGGGCGACGCAGTGGCGCAGTAGGTAGTGCTGTCGCCTCACAGTAAAAAAGTTGCTGGGTTGCTGGTTCGATCCTCGTTTCTGTGTTTCAGTTGGTGTTTCAGTGTGGAGTTTGCATGTTCTCTCTGCGTTTGCTTGGGTTTCCCCCGGGTGCTCCGGTTTCCCCCACTGTCCAAAGACATGTGGTACAGGTGAATTGGGTAGGTTAAATTGTCCGTAGTGTATGAGTGTGTGTGTGTGGATGTTTCCCAGAGATGGGTTGCGGCTGGAAGGGCATCCGCTGCGTAAAAATGTGCTGGATAAGTTGGCGGTTCATTCCGCTGTGGCAACCCCTGATTAATAAAGTGACTAAGCTGGCAAGAAAATGAATGAATGAATCTGTCTGAGGGATTTATCAACCAGCAAAGTACAAACAAAATGGCATCCCTTCCAGCGCAGTCAGTGTGCTCAAATTCACTCTCTTTCATAAAGGAAGTATAGGGGCGGTTTTGGTTACAGCCTTTTGTGTTGTCTGAATTAGCTGTTGCATTAAAAAAATGTAATGTATGAACAAAGCATGATCTTTTTCACACTGTAAAAGAGTTGTGTATGCGTTTTTTTTTGTACTTTTCATCAGCTGTCTTGTTAGAAACATGGCCAATATGCTAGTATTTGATGAAACACATGGTAAACATGCTAACAATGTGACAAAACATTGACAACATGGTAAAATATGTTAATAAACATGCTAGCACCATGATGAAATAAGGCAGCACAATGCCAGCAAAATGTTATGTTAACACTTTAGAAACATGTTAGCAATATGGTAAAATTGCAAAACATTGTAAAAGAATGTGTAAAATGATTTCAAAATAAACATGCGAGCAACATGGTAGAAACATGCTAACAGTGTTTTATAAATGTTTAAAACATCAGACAGTTATAAACATGTTTAAACATGCTGACAACATGCTGAAAGGCTAGAAAGATGGCAAAATGTGCTTACACATGTTAAACATGTTAACAGTTTTAAAATTCAATTTATTTTTATTTATATAGCACCTTTAGAATGTAGATTGTATCAAAGCAGCTTAACATAGAAGTTCTAGTAAAGTCCAGATCTCAGAGTTGAAGTTCAGATACACCTAAAAACATCTCAAAACATGTTAACAACAGGCTAGCAATTACATAGCAACTATCCATACTGCATATAGAAACTGGAGAAAATCATCTTAATATCCTATTAGCAACCGTTCAGTGGTGATCCATGATATGTGATAGTATATGATAAACAGCACAATCTCACAGCAATTCCTAACTTTTTGATTTAGTGGCTGTTTCATATGAATTCGTACAATCTCATTTGTATAATTTAGTATGATTTGCTCATACCCCAATGACGCTTTATTTTAGGGGCGGTGTTGGGTACCACACTTAGAAAATCCCAGTAAATCCCAGTTAAGCCTCTAAATTCCACTTTAAGAATACTAGTTAAAAAAAAATTGCACGATTTCGTATGACTGAACTCATACGAATTAGCCACTGAACTGACACAACGTAAAATAGTTACGTTTCCTTGTGACATCAGGCCTGATTAACTGCATGGCCTTAAAAAGGACCTTCAAATTTCTGTTTTAAAACTTCTTCAAACAGAAAACTACTTGAATCTAAATCCATAAGTTTATACTTAAAATCTACACTTCTAGCTTTTCGAAAATTCTTGCTAGCTTTTTGAAGCCCACTTAAAATTTTATCTTGAGAAACATTTTTTTTTAAAAAATCTAGTTTGTTTTTGGCTTGCTGAAATACCTGCTGTTTACAGACCATAAAACAGAAGTTTCTATGTCTGAGCATTTGCATTCTAGGTTTCCGATCCAGTGAGACAAGTGGCTCAAAATCCAGTTGAACCTGATGAGTATCTTGGTACTTTACAAATGAAAAACGTCTTTGTGTTGCACAGAAACTGGAGGAGGCAGCAGCCAATGCAGCAGACGAGGAACGCAGACGTCTGCAGACCCAGAACGAGCTGCAGGATCTGTATCGGCTGGAAATGGAGAAAGAGAAAATGGTATTTGTTTGCTCTGCTTGTTCACTGTCTGGCTAGCAAACTTCAACATGCGTTTTGATGTCATGTGTCTAGAGAGGTTATTTTGACCAATAGGGTGCTAGATTACCTCAGCCCAACAGGTCCATTTTTGAATATTACAGGAAGTACACTGCAGCAGAAGTTCTGCTTTTGGCTATAAATATCTGAAACGTTGAAGCACACAATTTTGACACCTAAACAAAGCCTCATTTTCTCTAATCAAGATTATAATCATTCATTTGATTTTGTGAAGTTTTTGAAGTTGCTAAGCCAAAAATTACATTTGTCTTCTTGTTTTTCCAATATATATATATATATATATATATATATATATATATATATATATATATATATATATATATATATATATAATTAATGGGGTCCAGTGTTTTTTGACAATTTTGACAGTTAAAAAATACATATTTGCTTATTTTATTACAGAATATTTACAAAATTTATTTTTTATTTTTCTTTTTGATTTATTTATTATTATTTTACTAAACTTTTTTCTCTTTGTGTCTTAGGTACGACAGCAAATGGAGGAACAGGTGGCTCAGAAGTCCAATGAGCTAGAGCAGTATCTGCAGCGCGTCCGTGAACTGGAGAACATGTACCACAGCTTAGAAGAAGCACTGGAGGAGGAAAGACAGGCCAGACAGGATGAGGAAACTGTCCGAAAACTACAGGCCAGGTATGCTGGCTTTTTTTTTGTTGGCTTTAAAATGTGGAGTGAATTATATTTCATATGATTAATTATTGAGGGGTAATAAATGAAAAAAGGATACCAATTATTATAACAGGCTGAGGTTGTGGAAACAAATTGTTAATTCCAAATATGCTCTGAGCTCCGCAGTTCAGCTAACACAACTGTAAATGAATAACTACGGACTAAATTAAATGCAGTTTATCTTGCTTTACTTTCACAGGCCTGATAATCCATGCTCAGTCTTTTTCTTTATGGAATACATATATCTCAACAAAGTCAACTTTTTTTTAATGTAAAATGAGAAATATAAGTCTTAAGTATGTCTGTTTAAGTAATATAAGTCTGCTCCCTATAAATTTGCATTTGGAGAACATAATGACATTTTGTGTTCCCTTCAAACTACTAAAGCACTTTTTTGGTCTTCAAAATGTCTTGAATTTATCTTGATGAAATTTGAAATTTTAGCATTGTATTTTAATATATGGATACAAAATAACTTGATCATAAACCATTTTTTGTAGTTGTTGCATATCCGATTGGAACCTGATAATGGTTAGAAAAAGAATCCAAGCATGGCTAGAAAGTTATGAAATTCTGATGCCTTTTTGACATTTATTCATTCACAGGTCATGCATCCTCCATATCAACCATTTAATTCTTGACATCAACAAAGCGTTTTTGAATTACTGCTTATAGATAACACTGCTAAAAATAATAACATTATACAAATGCAAATTGTCATGAATAAACTGGAAAAAGCTGAAAAGGGGTATTGGTTTTTATATTTATGTAGAAAATAATATTTTTTGTAACATTTTAATCCTTTAATTTTTTTCATATGTAAAGATATTTGTGTATTGCTGTACGTCCTGTGTGTAGCAATGTATAAGCATTTGAATCCACATAGGCGCATTACCAACATGCTCTGCACTGAACTATACCAGATTTTAGTTGGTCAATGGCACATTTTATTTTAGTTTTTCAAAATAGCAACGTGCCAACAATGCGCCTTAACATACCTCTTTTTTAGACCGACACAGCCATGAGTCCACAAGTGGTGCAAATGGATTCGCTATTTAAACACTGTGGCGCAACATGTGAAATTTAGGGTTGCGCTGGTCTTAAAATAGTAAAAACACGTCTAAACACATCTTATGATAGAGCCCTTCATGTTCGTCATGTTTTCTGGCTTTTTTAAAGCATTTAAAAACATTTGGGCTGTTTTGCCTATGCTTCATTAATAATAATAATAAAAATAATTTAAATATACTCTAAATGTGTTTTGATAAAACAATTAGACACACACACAAAAAAATACTTTTACAGTCAACATTTCAAGTGGATCAAAACCTTTCACCAAAATTGTCCAAACACTATTGAAAAAAAAAAACATTTTTGTCCTAAAAACTTTTTTGTCCACCTTAAATTGACTACTGTATAGCATAGCTGTGCAGTTATGGCTTGATCAAACTTTAAAAAGTAAGGTCATGTGACACCTGGATCAGGTCAGTTTACAGAGGACCGTCTATTTCCTTGTAAGGTGGGAAGTTAGAGAAGCATCACAAACACATGAGGATGTCTGAGACGTCTGTTCACGTCTGCAGTTCCTGTTCCCTGTCTCACCCTACAAAAACCAGCAGTCTTCCTGTGTTTGTGCTGACCAATCACCAGCTCATCACTTTACTAAACACACAATTGCTTTTATAACCAGTGTGTGAATCCCCCTCATTTTCACACTCCCACATCCATAATCTTTTAGTCATTGTTAAAATGTGTATTTTGTTTATACAGCAGGTCAAATGTGAGTTTGTAAACTGTTAAAAGAATCTTACATTTACTTCAAGCTTTATGAACGACTCACAATTGTGGGAACTACTGACAGTCAGTTTCAATTTCAACATGTGAACAATCTGTAAATGCAAGGTTTGTGAGTTATTCAGAACTGAATTATGAATCACACAAAACATCCTGAGTATGAATAGGCATAGTCCAGTATAAGATTCTGACGGTATGATAACCTTGGATAAAAATACCCCGGTTTCACTGTATCATGGTATTGTGCTCACTGCTCTAAAATACATTATTTGTAAATGTCTGGGTAAAAAACAAAAACTTTTTTCCTCTTTGAAAACAATATATTTTATTTTTTTAAAACATTTTTGTATAATATTTTGGAACAGTAAACATGTCAAATGAACATGTCAAATGAGTCATTGACTTCTGCTGTCTTCATTTGCTTCAATAACAGATTTCTTTACATTTTAAAATGGCATCTTTGGATATTTTTATGCTGGAGATACTGTTATTACACATACCTTAGAAACGGTATTACAGGAAACTTTGGCGGTTTTTAAAACCTTGACCTTTCCAAACCGCGGTATACCTTGAAAACGGTTATCATCTCATGCCTATGAATCAAGAGCAGGGGTGCCCAAACTTTTTCTTATGAAGGGCCAAAAACCAAACTTGATTAAGGCTAGTGGGCCAAAGATAAACATAGTTGCCATGGGTGATTTACAGTACATTTTTAACATTTTATAATGAACTTATTAACAGTAAAAATGAAAACAATCTAATTTATAACAGAATTACACTGTCTTTGCAGACATTGGCTTGATTTACTCGCCAACATTGTCTGCATAATTCTCTATCCATTGAGTGACAGTATTTACATTTTAAAAAATCAAATCCATTCATTCATTTTCCTTTATTTCTTTACTCCAGCATATGTTTTACGCAGCGGATGCCATTCCAGCAGTACCCAGTACAGGAAAAAAATCTTATTCATATAAAACATTTCATTAAAACATTTAATTTGTTTGCTCTTTTGTAGCTCTGCTATAAAACAAAGAAATAAAAATATGTTAAGTCGATCTCTATGTTCTCTGATCTCTTTGTTAAAGGCATTTGCCCCTCTCCATCATTTTCACTTTCTTCTCAGATGGGATGGTGGGCAAATCAAAGGTTACAATTGGCCAATTTTGGCCCATGGGCCCAACTTTGGGCATCTCTTATCAAAAGAGTAAACAGGATACAGAATTATAGTCTGTAATAAAGTCATTTTTTTTAAACTATAGCTTTTTATATTTTTATCACATTATTATCATCACATTTGTATCATCACATCACAAATTTGTTTTGGTCATAATTTGCTGTTTATAGACAGTAATTCTGAGGTAAAGCACATGTATTTAAAAAAGTGGTGTTTTTACAAAAAGATTACAATACAGAATAGAGAGAGTGCATTTAGGCCACACCCACAAAAAAGTTGTAAATATTAAATTGTTTCGCATGGAGTTGGATCATTTCTCCAACTAAAGAAGTAGGGAAAAGGGGTCATAACATAGACCAGGGGTGGGTAAACTTTTTTCAGCAAAGAGCCATTTCTGATATTTTTGCCAAATTCATTTTTTAAAAGACCCATTGGGGTATATATATATATATATATATATATATATATATATATATATATATATATATATATATATATATATATATATATATATACGCATATATTTACCCCAATAAGATACGACTACTATAAATAAAACAGGTTTAAACTAAACCTTTATTTATGTTCATGCACAACTCAAAAATAAACATATATGAAGCATCGTCATGTTGAGCAAGTCCATGAATGAAGAAAGAACATTTATTCTGGTAAATAAACTCTTTTTTTTTTTTTTTTTTGAAAAGCAAAACAATTTAAAATAAACAAACAATTTACTTTTATAAAAAACACATAGTTGCTTGAAATTATTCAAAATAAATATGCGGCAGTAATTTTGGCTAGTTTTAAAGAACATATATTATTGTTATTATATTCATTTTCACTAGTTTTAAAGAACAAAAATAATATTATTGAGTAAACAAAAGACAAAACAACGTATGTTTATATGGTAACCACGCACACACATTAGCCCTTTATTGGTGTCACGATTAAAGTTTATCCACAGCTCTGCTCACGTGTATTAGTCGAAACGTAAAAATTGTAATTGTATTTTCAATAGGAAACTGATTTCTAGTGATTGGTTATAATTTTTTAAACTGTAAAATATTATTGAGACAGCTGGAGAACCATGGATTTTTGCTCGAAGAGCCACATGTGGCTTGAGAGCCATAGGTCCCCTACCACTGATATTGACTAATACATTTCACTTTCTCTATATATCTCCTTCGCCTCATTTCCGCAACAATCCTTTGAGATGGTTAAAAATGATGAATGTTTCCTCTCGCCAACTACATTTCATTGCTGTGGGCATAACAGTTGTTTTCTAATAAATATTACACGCTGCTCTCTGTTATTGTGTCATTTTTGGTGGGTCAGGAAAACATTGTTTTAGGTTTTTTTAGCTTGCTTACTATTCACCTTGTCACATAGCAGTTTTTAGACATTGTTTGCTCTTTGTTGTTCGTCAGAAATGGCAAGGAGACAGCTTCCCACAATACTAACTCAATGGAATAGGTTGGATTGTTCGGTGGGTGGGGCCTTCTGATTACAATGTGATGCTCAACCAATCAGAATCAAGGACAAGAATGACTTGTTTCATGAATTATACATTTTGCACAATCCTGTCAGTAGTATCTCACTAAGATACGATGACAAATCATTTGTAATATATACTTGTTTTGTGGTAATTAATAGGGTATTCTGCTTACTCCCTACAATCTTCTATTAGTCACTACCTCTTTAGATCTAATAAAGATGTAAAGGAGCTGTGTATTGGCACGTGCAGATATGAGCATGTGTTTTTCTGTGTCTGCAGGCTGCTGGAGGAGGAAGTGTCCAAGCGTGCAGAGCTGGAGGAGATTCACCTCTATCAGCAGCAGACCATTTCTCAGACACAGGCAGAGAAGCAGGAGCTGGAGCGAGAGCGTCTGGCCAAGGAGAGCGCTTTAGAGTCCGCCATGCAGCAGCTGCATCAGCTGGAGGCAGACAGACAGGGAGCTCTGGAGCAATATCAGGTCCACTGCCTCATTGTACTACACTGTAAAAATTCTGGGTTTCATATAATTCCTTCATGCTCCTCAACACAAATCGATAAAGTTAACTTGTAGATTAAGTTAATTGTGGATTGAATATAAAACATTTAAGTTGTCCCCCCCCCAAAAAAAACTGAAAGAATTGTGTTGATTCAGCTCATTTTAAATAAGTAGTTAGGACATTTTTGTGTGTATTTGTGTGTGTACACTGCAGAAAAAAAAATCCTGCCTGTGTAGTCTGCCATCTGCTGGTTGAATGGAGCAATGCCACTGCTCTTGTGTGTTCTTCTGATGGTAGGTTTGTGTTTTTGTGTGAGCAGGAGGTCATGAAGAAACTATCAGATGCTGCCAATAATACAAAGAGCTGGAAGGACAAAGTGGCTCAGCATGAAGGACTCATAAGACTCATTCAGCCAGGTGATGATCTTTTCTCAGTATTCAGATCATGGTGTCACTTGTGCACAATAAAAAAGCAGTTTCTCATTTCCTAAACACGTTGCAAATGCTTTTGTACATGCATGCAAATGAATATGTACAATCCTCTGATGTTTTCTGCATTATAAATTGGTTAAAATGTATGATTTTAGTCTCTGTTGAATTGTTTCACCCTCAACAACATTCAGTCGTTTGTTCATGGTTTGTTCTCATCTTTACATGCAAAATGGCTGAACAAGTTGTCATATTTTTATTGCCATAAAGCATTTTCCTATACATTTACATTAGACTTTTTTTCTAAATCTGTTTAAAATTGATACGTTTCTCCCAGTTAATTTTGGACTTTTTTTCTACTGAAGGTGCATCTCAGAGAAGATTCTCCAATGTTCACATTTCTATTTTTGTTTTGTTGTACTTTTGAGAGATGAACTAAGGATTTTGAGCAAGAGACAGACTTTGCAGGTCATCCATGGTGTTTTTCTTTGAGAAATGCTTTTACTGTTTTGCCAATTTTAATTCTGATCTGAGAAATGTACCAAAACGACAAAAGCTAATATACATTTATTTACAAATTTGTTCATTTAAGAACTTTTATTTCTTTACCATCTCCTCGCATATGATCTTTTAAAAATGTTATTTTTATGCCTAATTCATATAAAGACTGGGCACTGTTTGACAAAAAAGGGACAGAATTAAACAATGCATTATTCACATCAAGTTAAAAAAAAATATTATATAATATAATATTATAAAAAAATAAATAAATAAATAAATAACAATAATATTAATAGTATTAATAATACAATTCATGCTAACAATAATAATTTAATATAACAGTATTATTATTATTATTATTGTTATTATTATTTTTTTTTTTATTAAAGGGACTGAGCCAAAAAAAAATTAAATTAATGAAATTAAATTATTATTATATTTATATAATAATAAAATAATATAATAATAAAATATCATTAATAATATAATTATTACAGTTAAAATTAATAATAATATAATATTTAACATAATACTATATATATATATATATATATATATATATATATATATAACAGTTCTGTCTGGTTCTCAAATCTGATTGGCTGATAGTCGTGCGATATTTTGCAATATCAGAACTCCTACAGCCTCTTCCCTTTGTGTATTACTCCGCCCACATACAACCAGCAAAAAGCAGACACTACAGATCTAAAGTTTAAAAGATGCACGCTCAACCGTTTAACTGTCAGCTTATGATTTGAATCTGGAAGAGAGTAGTTCCTCATACAAAAGGGTTTTTGAGACTCTCCATGTTTGATTTTGTTTTTATATACACAATTATGCCGTCAAACTGTTATATAAACGCAATATCACACTCGTAGCAGTGCGATATGGCTGTATATCGGCACTGGTGGGAGCACTAAGGCACTCGGCCTGCGGCCTCGTGCCAACGCACACCTCCCACCAGTGCCGATATACAGCCAAATCGCACTGCTACGAGTGTGATATTGCTCATATATTAATGGTATATATATATATATATATATATATATATATATATATATATATATATATAGTAGTATTAATAATACAATAAATATTATTAACAATAATTTAAAATAACAGTATTGTTATTATTATATTATTTAATAATAAATGTCTAATTATTGCAGTTAATATTAATAACACTATAATATTTAACACAATACTATTTAATAATAATAATAACAATAATAATAATAATACAATTAATATGAATAATAATGTAAAATAACATTATTATTATTATTATTATTTAATAAATGTATAATTATTATTACAGGTAATGATAATAGTTATAATAATAATAATGACAATAACATTTTTCTTAATAAAATACCACGACTATGATAATTAAATATTAAGACAAAAAATGTATGCATCTATATAAATACATTCAGTTTAAATCTGAAATACCACACTACAATGTTCATTTTTTATTTAGAAATTAAAACTATTATCATTGTTATTTACTCACCATGCGGTGCGATTGAAATAGTTCACTGAATGTTATTTTTTTATATTCAAATTATAACACATTGATTACACACCCTTTAAAAGTGCCAGCTTAATATTTTATGTCATTGTATGTTTTGTCATTTCAGGTCCTAAATACCCTCAGAAAATCACAAACTGGGGACCTGCAGCATTTACAGACGCAGAACTCAACCTGAGAGAGAAGGACTGGCAGGAGAAGAAAAACAGGCCTGCTACACCGCAGTAGTGCTCTTACAGTGCTGTTTATGCGGTGTTACTGTAGACAGTCACTAGTGAAGTATATTTACTGCCTCTGTGGGGTTAGTCAGTCTCTGACCACACTAAAACTGTAGGCCACTGAACTTTACACAAGTTCAGTCTGGTCTCATCGCTCCTGTCTCTACCGTAACATTCAGTGTCATTTTAGCCTCTGCTTTTAAACGTTTTATACAATTTGTTTGTATGATGATCTACATCTTGTGAATGTGTTCATTTCGGTGCATTTCCACCAAAGTAAAGGCAGATGTTTCTTCCCTGTAGTTCATGAGTTTAGTTTATGTTTTCATTTTTATAAAAGTGAAATAATGGAAATAACTTCTCTGACCAAGTAACATTTAAAAAACACACTTATCATTTTACACTGTGCAGTCATTTCTAATTTAGCTTTTCAGAAATGTCAGTTTTACATTTGAAATTGTCACTCGGCATGCAAAATTAAACTAATGAACTAACTGTTCTACTTTACTAGAACAGTTGACGTAGCAGAAATGTATGAAAGTGTTTACTACACTGTAAAGGCAGTCTCATTGAAGAAGACATGATTGCAGTATTAACTAATTTATACTCTCAAGTTATTAACAAAACTGAATTTTTGGGATTGTTCTTTCAGTCGTGTATATTTCTGTACCAAACTGATGCGTTTGCTTTCAAACTAATGTCCCGATTTAGGACCTGAGACTGTACTGTTTATCATTCAATAAAAAGGGATTATTTAATAGTGGAACATGTGTTTATTTTGAGAGTTATAATGCCTACACTGCTTTAATAGCACAAAGCATATAATATTTGGCCACTAGAGGTCGTGAGATTACTGCATTTGTAGCCTAGTTTTTATTCTGCTGCTTGGATAAGGAGTTGAATCTTGAGAAATGTTTGGGAAGGAAATTTGAATTGTTTTAAAAAAATCACAGATTAGTTTACATATACATTTAATAATGCTCACTTTTATATTGGAACGGTATATGATGACTCACTTTTTAAATATTGGGAGGGAAAACTATGGATCTTAAAAGTTAAATACAACATAACAGTACACCATACGTTTTTTCCATGAAGAAATAGATTGCTAACAATAAATGATAAACCTTTCAAAAGAAGAGCTCTGAGGTCACTTAATTCTACATTATATGTTTTAACCTGAGTTCAACTCGAATTAAACCTGAATTTTTAAAACTGCCATTAATCACTCCCAACAAGTAAAACATGCTAAAAAGCTACCATCTGATGCCTGAATTCAGCTTACTTTTAAAACATCACGTTTAATAGCTGAATTTGTGCAGATGACTACATTACCCATAATGCCATAAACGTTCTCACTAATCAGAGTCAAGGTAAGTGAAACCCACCAATAAATCTACCATCTGATAGCCTGAAATCAGTTTATTTTTAAAAGCATCACGTTTAATAGCAGCATTTGTACAGAAAAAATACATTACCCATAATGCCATAACTATCCCACCAATCAGTCACAGTGAGTGAAACATGCCATTAAATTTACCATCTAATAGCCTGAATTCAGCTTATTATTAAAACTGTCATGTTTAATAGCAGTATTTCTGCAGAAAACTACATTACCCATGATGCCTTAAAAAGTCACACCAGATTTTGCACTGAGGGAGACAAGCAAATAAGTCTACTATCTGATAGCCTGAATTCAACTTTTTTTTTTTAAACGGCATGTTTAATAGCAGTATTTGTGCAAAAAACTACATTACCCAAAATGCCATAAACGATCCCACCAATCAGAGTCAGATTGAGTGAAACATGCCAATAAATTTAAAACTCCATTATCCATAATGCCATTAAAGTCACACAAATCAGATTTGCACTGAGACGAGCCAATAAAATGCTACATTATTACCCATAATTCCATAAACAATCTCACCAGTCACAGTCAATTCAGCATATTTTTTAAAACCAACATGGTCAAAACCAGCATTTGTACAAGAAATACTACATTACCCATAATGCCATAAACAATCTCACCAATCAGAGTCACAGTGAGTAAAACACGCCAATAAAACTTTAGCCCGTTCCCATGAAGCACTGTGAATGACACCATCGAGACGGTCTCCCTACACCAGGGGTGTCCAAACTCAGTCCTGGAGGGCCGGTGTCCTGCAAAGTTTAGTTCCAACCCCAATCAGACACACCTGGGCTAGCTAGTCAAGCTTTTACTAGGCTTTCTACAAACATCTTTGCAGGTGTGTTGAGGCAAGTTGTAGCTAAAATCTGCAGGACACCGGCCCTCCAGGACCGAGTTTGGACACCCCTGCCCTACACAGTTAATAAAATGTTCTCATTAGCAATGCTTCACAGGCTTTTTAGTTCTTTCCTTTTCTTTTCCAATATGATTATGAACTAAACTCTCAGTCATTTCCTTGTAATAATCAAAGAACTCTACTGCTGTACCATGGCTGCAGCAGGAGCAATGCGATTACACAGAGCCTGAAATTAGTCTCCATAACTCTTCTAATGTGACCTGCACTAATATCATTGTGTTCAAGGAGTTGTAAAATGAGCCTATTTTCAAAACAAATGATGTGTTTCTTCATTGTATGCTCAGTTTTAAAGTTTCAATAATGTTCAGTCTGGCGACTGGGCTGGCCAATGAGCACCTTGACCTTCTTTGCTTTCAGGAACTTTGATGTGGAGGCCGAAGTATAAAGGCTGATTTATACTTCTGTGTCAAACGCCGGCGTATGCTACGGCGCTGACGCATAGCCCTTTGCCGTGGCCGTCGGCGTCGCTGACGTGCACCTCTCAAAATTTGTAACTACACGTCGCAACGACGCATAGCGCAAGCTCTGTGATTGGTCGGTTTGGTAGTGCTGACGAGTCTGGGCAGGACCAAGAGCCGCGTGAATGGCGCGAGCTGGACGCTAGCCCAATGGAGCGATCGTTTACAAGTGTGGAGTCCCGTGAAGGAGCTCCTGATGGAAAGTTTTGTTTTGTGTTTACCTCATAGTTAAAGTTCTTGCACGTCCGCTGGTTCCTGCCTCAAAATGAGCGAGTTTGAGCCACTTGTACATCCAGGAAGTGTTCAGGAAAAGCAAAACAGCAGCGAAGAAACTCGACACAGAGTAGCATTAACACCTCACTGCCCACTAGTGTTTCGGAAGTGTTAATTCAGACCAACAGAGACAGCGCGCAGAAGTATAACTGCACAGCTACGCGCGTGGGTCACGCCGGTCACTTGACGCAGAAGTATAAACCAGGCTTAAGAAGGAGCGCTATCCTGCTGAAGAATTTGCTCTCTCCTGTGGTTTTTAATGTAATGGGCAGCACAAATGTCTTGAAACCTCAGATTGTTGCTGTTGCCATCCAATATGCAGATCTCTCACACCTCCATACTGAATGTAACCCCAAACCATGATTTTTTTCTTTACCAAACTTGACTGTTTTCTATGAGAATCTTGGGTCAATGCGGCTTCCATTAGGTTTCTGCAGTATTTGTGATGATTAGGATGCAGTTCAACAGATGATATATTTGAAAAATCCATCTTCTGCCACTTTTCCAAATGATCAACTAGAAGTCAAATAATATTTGTTGTTTTTAAAACTGGGAGCAACGACAAGACTTTTGTCAAATAGTGTATAATGTGCTGCTCGCTGGCATGTTTTGATCAAACGGTTATTAAAATGTTTGGCCATCATTCAGGCCACCGCCATTCTCTAAAGATATGATAATCGGATTCCTCATCCACTCAAAGTTTCCATAAACTATTTCATTGATTGAAAATTGTTCACAGCCAAAACACTCTACTCACAGATATAGCTCTTGGAGTGAAGAGGCAGCGCGGGCTTCATTTCTCAATGGGTGTTCAGATAACAGGAGGAAATTAAATTTATTGTTTAGTGCGTTCGCTCGCGTGCAGCATGGAATGATTAAGATGAGATTGGAATAATGATTGTTTTGAGCTGTATTATCGTCTCAGAGCAGAGGTTAATGTGGATGACATCTCCACATTTGTTCACTTCTTGTTCGGAAGTGTCAGATTTGTGTTATTGGTCGCAAGGGTCCGCTTGTTTTCCATGAACTCATCCCATCAGATGATCAGAAAAATGCAAGGCTTATCTAACTGGACATTTATTTTTAGCTTGTTTACATGACGATTCCTTTCAATTGGATAAATAGTAAAAGAAAACATTTTAAAAATTGTAGTTTATAGTTTTAAAATAGTAATGTCATTCATTTATTTAACTTATATTAGCTAACTAATACTGTTTTGTAAACTGTTACCAATACTTTTAATAAAACAAGTTTAATAGCCTATATTCGGGTGACCGAGAGAGCTTAGTGTGCTGCAGTTTAAGAAAATACATGCAATTACAAGAAACACCAGCAAATTAAGAAAAGATCTTCATCAGTTTCAACAGCCTGATCTCATGAGGAAACGTAAGTATTTTACGTTTTGTCAGTTCCGTGGCTAATTCATATGAATTCGTACGAGTTCAGTTGTACGAAAATGTACGATTTGAAAACGGAGGCGTGGCACCTAACCCCAACCTTCATTGGGTGATGAGAAAATCATACTAAATTGTACGGATTAGATCGTACGAATTCATACAAATTAGCCACTAAATCAAAAAGAGCCGTGAGATTGTGTTGGTTTCACAGCACAAGAGTTGTAAATCTTCACAACGCATACACACACAAAAAATTAGCTGCATTTTCCACAACACAAACAAATTAGTTAAAAGAGCTGCATTTTCTCACGACACAAAAACAACAGAACACAACGGGAATGTTTTAAGGGGACCCAAAAACGTGACAAACGCCGCTGTGCTCTGACTTTTGCTCAGTGAAGTTGTATAGGTGATCTTTGAAAGGTGTTTTTTGTTTGTTTATTTTAATATCCCGATTCCCTTGTCTTTAGTATTCGTTTGCCTAAATAACCATAACCTAAGTAGACGAGTCCTTCACGTTTTAGGGTCTACTTGAAACAATTTCATTGTGTTGTGAGAAAATGCAGCGTTTTCATAAAATGTTTGCACGTTTTATTAATTATTTGCATTGTGTGAAAATGCAAATGTGTTTGCAATGTGAGGATATGCAGCATGTGTGCTGTCAAACTGATGAAGATCTTTTCTCAATTGACTGGTGTTTTTTTGTAATTGCATGTGTTTTCTTGAATTGCAGCATGTTAAGCTCTCTCAGCCACCATACTATATACATTTTATAAATAGATAAAACAGTGTAACAACAACAGCAAATAATAATAAAAATAATTATTATTATTGTTATTATTTAAGGGACCTCGTCTACCATTAAAAATAAACAGTTGTATTTTATTAACTACTGTTAACAGAGACAATACTACATACTTCTTCATATTTACAAATCTAGTATTGTACAATATACAATACTAGTATATTTTTATGTATTCTGCAGGTTTCACAAAGTCACATTTAAGACTATTGAAAGGCCATCATGTATTAAAAATACAGACTTGTAGAGGGCTAAATGCTAAGGGGTTTGTCCAGCTGTAAAGATTTTTACTTGCCACATCACCAACATTTCTTTAGTTATTTCTTAAACACAGCAAACTCTAGTACACTTTTTTTTTTTTTTTTTAACTTTTATTAAAAAACACTCTTTAAACACTTTAATAAACTGAATGTCTGTACAACAATCAGACCAGATCATTGTCCTCAACATATGGTCTACAAAAACATAGAGAACTTTCAAATAAATGTTATTGTAAGAAAGATC